CCAGGAAATAAAAAATTAAAGTCTAACCTAAGCACCGTTGAAATGATCATTCTGTTATGCATATATATTAATCGAAATGTGTTTTCATTTTTACTTTTACTTTTCTAAAAAAGCTCTCCATCCCTTTTCGCCATTTAAATGAACTGTCTAATATTGACTTTACTGAATTCACATAATACAAAATGAAAGTAAAATATTTACTAGGAAAATATGACATTCAATTTGTACAAGGAAAATATCACTTGCAATTTACACATGGAAAATATACCTGGTACTATTTTGTATCTTATATTTCAAAAGGAAATCATGATTTAATTTAGATTGTGTGTTGACAAATATAGGGAAAAAGGGTACATGTAGTATTTGACAGTTAGTGTCGATTGAATAAATGGTGTATGTTGAAAAAAGCATAATTTGAAGAGCAGTCTTAATAGTTTGTGACAATTATTTTTTAAAAAATGTCAAAAACTCCTAAATTGAGTTATTAATTATAAACACAACTCACCATACTTCTACAGCTGACATAAGTAGTATGTTTCTGAAAATAAATACAGGGGAATTTTTTTGTTTCGTTTTCATTGTGCCATTAGTGTAAAATTTCTATTTAATAAGATTACGATAGAAAATATTTAACTAATCTATTTGCTTTTAAATTTACATATTCATATTATTATTGTTCATCGTAGCTTGATTAAGTACATATTTATGAAATACAGGTACATCTAACAACACACACAAAATTTCCATAAAAATTATTATGAATTATAAATTACCTTAAGAATGCACAAATTCACTCTTAATACATAGGGTTTAGTTATAGCTATTTTTTTCTTTTAATTTCTGTCAACATCGGGTACCTCTTAATTATTAATAATAATACATAATGTAATAAAATTATGTATTCCTACTTACATACAGCTAGTCTTTTGGCGTAACAGTTCTTTTACAGCTTCTGCGCATGTCTGCATATATTATCTAAAAGGCTTCTCATCAATAAATCCTTCAACTGACTCATTTTGAATCGTACTATATTTCTGCAAGAAAAAAATGTAAAATGACTATAAGTGCAATCATATAAAGTTTGATACATTTTAAAAAAAAATATTTGGCGTTAAAATTCAAATAACAATTATTCTATTTAAAAAAAAACACATAAACACTCCACTTCTTAATTAACACAGCTCACAGAGTCTATGGCTGGCGTAAACAATATATTTTCTGAAAATGAACACAGAAAAAATCAGCTTCATTTTCATTTTGCATTCGCAAAATATATTTTTGTCACGAAAGTAAAAAAAAAAAACAAAAACAAATAAACAAACCGTAACGTTTCAAAAGTTTAATATGCATAATTTGGGTTATCATAGCCGCAAACAGGACATTTTTATAGTTTTTCTCTAGCAGAAATTTATTAAAGGCCAACTCTACTTACTCAAGTAAGAAAATGTTGAAATTGTCAGAAACATATCCACTGAAATTCTCTCCTTCAAATGAAAATAAATTACATTCATTCTTAGCGCACAAAAATCTGTATAGTTATTAATGCAATTCAAAAAAGCTTTCCTGTAGTTTTTTTTAATCTTTATAAGAGAAAATAGATGGCGAATTAATATCAAGATTATATTTGATGACATGAATAAACTCATCGCTTTTTATAGTGGTATGTACCAAACTCTTGACATGTCGTGGAGAGATCTTTTGTAGGCGGTGTCTTCTATTGAAACCTATTGTGTTTATAACGTAATAAAGTATCGTCTATATTAAATTGAATTTAAGCTTATGTCTTGTTTATTCTCTAGAACTCGCTGGGACTCCATCAGCAATGCATATTTTTTGCACTTACTATTTTAAAGCAAGCATTTCTTTTTATGACATTTTATCATTAATATGCAAGAAAAAGAATAGAGACTATAGTGTTGAATAAAAAAGATTGTAATCCAGTTTATTTATGGATATCAGGTGTCGGGATTAGGTGAAAATATTTTTGCATTGCATGAGTCTGACAATATCTTGGTATGTCCTTATTTTATTTTGCCATGAATTCATTATAACTTGTAAAAAAAATGTTGAGATTTTTATTCATCCAAGACCTGTAGGTTTATTAATTTTTACTCCTTCAAACACAACCAAATCTGCATTTATAAATGTTGCAAAAATACTACTTTAAATACTTAATATTTGTATATTAAATGTTATTCAAGGACCAAGAGAGGACACTATTACAAGAATATTACGTGTAATGTTATTCATACAGGCAAGCAAATAGATCAAACTTTAGAAGCTGTTGATTAATATCTACTAACTATTTTGTTGATCTCTGGTCGTCCTATTTCTCTTACTTTGGGCAACATTTCTTCATCTTTCAGTTTATCTGTTATGTTATATACTCATCAAATTGCCATTCTAGCTTTACAATGTTGTATTATACTAAGGTGGTCGTTAAAAGCCCTGAGGCATTTTGAATATACATTATAAACAAAATTAGTTCTCAGAGAGAGAGAGAGAGAGAGAGAGAGAGAGAGAGAGGGTAAATTATTATAATTTGAAATGTCAGATATGGTAAATTATCATAATTTGAAATAAGTCAAAGATTCCAACTCACCATAGCAAAAATAGATGTCGTAAAAACCACATTTCTAAAAATAAATAAAGGGGAATTTCGGTTTCGTTTTCATATACATGTACATGTACTTGTTTGGGAAATTATCATGGTAAATAATTAACCCGGTTTTTTTTTCTTTAAGTTTTAAGGAGGCTGATTATTCAACAAATGACCCACCAGCAGATCCACCAGCAGATCAGAAATATGAATATTGTTTTTCTTGTCATAAGCTATTATTCAGTAAAACAAAAACACACGTTCAAGCTATCATATTTTTAAAATGCAATTTGACATATTTTTACAGAGAAACTCTAGCTTTCCAGAAGGTTCAAATATTCAAAAAACGGCCATGTTCACTAACCGCTCTTAATATGCATAATATTGTAGGTCAAAAATTCAAAATACAAATTGTTGTATCAAAGCCAAGTTGAAATTGCCAGATTTGACATCAGCTGTAAGAAGGCTCTGAAAAAGACCTGCTTTACTTTTTTTAGTACATTTTGATCTAAAAATTATTAAAAAAAAAAAAAGAAAGAAAGAAATACCTGGCTCGGGAATTGCAAATTTACAGATATTTATGTTACACTTTAAGATCTTTGAGAGGAAAATCAATAATTTCAGATTACAAAAAAATCAACAGGATGGCTAAATTGAAACAAAGATTAAATTGTGACACCATGGGGAAAACTGAACCATGTATTTTAGATATTTCTGAGATTTAAAAACTTTCAATGCAGAAAAATCAGAAGAATTAGTAGATGACATCGTAATATATGACCTTTGACCTCTTAATATGACATTGGCCTTTACATATTGCACATGTGTCCAAATATTAGGTTTCTACTATGAAGGAATCAAAAAACTACACTATATTTAACAACAAAATTAAATCGCATATAAACATTTTAAATATGAGCTCCTGATTTTCAATACTTCTGATGTCTCTTTTTTCAGAATAGGGTAAATATATTTCATAGTTTATAATTTTTATCACAAAGATCATTGACTATTGACATTTTATTCTTTCTTTCTGGTGTGTTTTAGAAGAAATGAGTTAAAACTGATTTCACACATGTTTTCTACTACCTTAAGCACATAAATGTTAAAATAAAATGTCCCTTCTAAACTCTATAGGTTTATAGAACAACTAACAGTCCCCTTTCGATTTCCTTGCAGCTGACTATTAGTGTGCGTGTCAGTCTTTATACTTCTGATTCATTCTATCTTCCCAATATTCCACGGGAATAATAGATTTACAATGCACTAAGTTAATGTAAAATGAAAAAAAATGTACATAAATAAATAGATCAGTAATAACAATAATGAAACATCATAATTAAATGCACAAACATGTAAATACATTCCATTCTTAGAACCCCTTTAATGTTATTCTAATGTTTTCTTTTATTATATCTGACATATCCTCCAGTTCTAGTGGATTTTTTTAAAAGAATTAAACTATATGAAATTTGAGAAATCTAAAATACATTCATCAAGTACGAATCCTTAAGAATTCTTGAATATTTGAATGTGCATGTAGCTTACAGAAAAGTTATTGAATTTTACACTTTGACTGAAATGACATGTTCATGTACATATATACATGTAGTTACATAGTCAAAACAACACATAAAAAACATTTCTCATTAAAAAAAATAATGGCATGTTCTCTGCAGCTCCAGTTATCTCAAAAACATCAGTTTGGAATATCACAGAAGTACAATAATCAAAATACACAACGGGATTCAATCAACATTTACCCATAAACAGAATAAAGCAATGATGTTTATGTGTATCAAATATTAGTCAACGGATAAGAAATTTTCACATTATATAGATGCATCCAAATTTTTATATGCGTGTATTGGCCTTCTTCAACATTGGCATAAAAAGGTCATTTCTTCACAATTGCAAATATCAAAACTAGAGGTATACTGTGAGCACTAAGCACACCGCTCATATGTGAATATAATAGCAAATTCCATATTTTGCTATGGGAATCCTTAAATATCTGTCCGATCAGAACTTAAAAATAGGAGGTACACAGTGGCACTTTATTTGAGATTCTGTGAAAGTCTTAAACTTTATCGAGTGGTATAGGAGTTGCAGATAAGAGATGGGTACTCTAAAGTGTAATGGACGTACGGAAAGACGTATGGAAGGACGGACACCCCCATTACTATATACTTCCCGCTTTTCAAGCGGGGGGAAGGGGGTATAAATATAACAATGCAAAATTAATTTCAATTCACTTAAAAATATATACAAAAAATAAAAAGAACTTATATAAAACTACTAAGATTTTTTGTCAAATCAATGTCAGATAAAGAACAAGAAGCTAAAACATAAGCAGTTCGTCAAAACAGAGTTCCAGTTGAATATGATCGACATATTTACTTTACTCCCGGAGCTCTGTTATGCATTCTGGAGAAATTTTACCCACTACTAAAACTTCCTCCGCCCAAGACGCAAAATTTCTCCCTTTCCAGTTGTCTTCTTCAAAAGTTTCTGGAACTGTCAAATCAATGACCTCAATTATATCTGAGTCATCTTTGTCGATCTCAATTTGTACAATCCTTACCGGGGATGTCCACGTTCTAGCCACAAATCTTTCAATTGCTGAATATGACTTACAACACGAAATAAATCGTGAGCCACGTCCTCTTGATCCATCGGTCACGTGGTCTTCTACACTGACGTCGGAAGACGGGTTTTTAGCATAGAGGCCTCTGCTAGGATCTTCATTAGGTCGTAATAACCTATACAGAACCACCTGCTAACAATTATTGAGAGAATTACAGAACATCACATGAATTAATTTTTCAAGCGAGAATCATAAAGAGTATAATAGTGAATATTTAAGAAACATAAAAATATGGCTTTTCCACTTTTTCTCTTCATGGACGCCTTGTCACATCAACAGAATCAAATTCTATCCAAACAACAGAATCAAATTCTATCCAATCTTGACTATGTCAAAAATTCTTAATGTCATTTATAAGGGATTATTACAACATCAACAAAAAGCGCCAATAATATAGCAAATAAATGAACCACTAGAATTATAGTCTTTATTATTTATCAATAAAAAAAATGTAAATTTATTACGAGATACCATTAGACATACAACTTTTTGTAGTTTTTTTATATCTTCCAAAACCTATATCTTTCCAATTTCTTCGTTACGTATTTCATTAACAAATCATTTTCCCAAATATATTCATAAATGCTTTTTTTTTTAAATTATAAAACGACTTTTAGTTAGAGCCACAAATAAAATGCGAGAGTCGTAAAAGAATCACATTGTCCGGCTGTCCGTCAAAATTAAGCTATGCGGTAACTCTAACGTTTTTTAAATTTTTGTACAAAACAGTAAGAAGAAGACACCTCTAAACTTTTGGGTAATATCACTTTGTCTATATGTCTGTCTAAGAATGTTTTTTCCCGAATTCCACGTCGCCTTCCTAATTTGCTGCATTTATTCTGAACATTACTGTATCGAGTACAGTTGATTTCCTATGACAGTCCTTGGGTTTCTGACATCGTTATTTATTTATTTATTTATTTTTTAATTTATTTTATTAATTTGTACAAATAAGATAAAATATGAATACACTAGATATAAAAGACGAACTTTAAAAGTTTATTAAAAGAAATTATAGAAAAAAAATTAGATCTAAAAATTTTATGTTGTTTTGTATCGATCTTCCTACGACTTGAATGATCAGAAAGTGAGGACGTTTCTCAATCCATCCATTTCTCGACTTAGGTGTTTGCTATTGCAAGAGGGGAAAAAATAATGTTTGTTAATTCGAACCTCTATTATTATCAGATATTTTCTTCTCTTTTTTAAGGAAATTTTTGTTTCTTTTTTATCTTGAATTATGGGGAAATTGCTGTCTTTAAAAAAAATTGTTTTTAGTCAAATTTATTTTCATGCGCATAATTTTGGATCAACAAACCTACAATCAGGTCGTAGGTTTTTAAAAGGTTGAACTTACTTAGCAAGCTACTTATCTTTTTTTTTTTTTTTTAAAAATTACATTTGTTAAGTTCTGACTACATTGAGTAAAAAAGATAGCGGTGTGGTAGAGCCTAAAAGCAAAATATTTTTTTCGGTACTTAAAACATTACACAGAGTTATAAGATCACTGTTAACTAACATTTCATAGTCATTCATCCTCATTAGGTATAAATGCAAATAAAATACAAACGTGAATTCATAAGTGATATAATAGTTTGGGGAAAAGATTAAAGCAATAACTTTTAAGGTATTAGAGTGGTAACAATGAAAATATTTTACATGTACAAGACTTGACGTGCAATAGTTATACACATAAAATGCAGTTCTAAAGTGATCAACTCATTTCATTGATACGAAGGAATTATAAACGTATAAAGTCAGACTCCATCAGTTTGTAATATCATGCAGTTGATAGTAGGCTATAAAAGACATTTTTCTCTGAATATTAAAGAAGGAACTGTAAATGCTCTTTAAAATGCAATGAATTTTATTCATGGGTCCTTCATACAATATAATAGCATGTTGACAAATGTTACTGTAACGAAGGTTAACATAAGATTGAACGAGTATTCCAAATGTTTTGATATGAACGTCTTATTGTGCCGTGAGAATTTCAGTTATATAATCATAGATTAATCTTCTGAATAGATAGCGTGTTACATTTACATGGCAAATAGTCCAGTCAAATTGTCATAAACCTTAAACAAATTGCAACAGAATTTTTTTCTTTATTTATAATTAGTAAATTGTATTATAATCAACATATAAAAACTCTAGAAAAATATATAAAGGCGAAAGATGTGTTTTTCAGAAATAAATATTTACTGGTCTGATAAAATATGTATTGCAGAAATGTGCTACCATATGCACCAAGGGAGACAATTTTAACCACTGTAAACAAATCACTTTTCTTCTTAAAGAAGCATAATAAAATTTATAATTCATTTTGTATACATGCTTTGGTTTAAATTTCACCAATGCACTGGAGATATAAGATCTGAGAATCTTATATATGTCTAAACTTAACGATATATTGTTGAAACCTTAGTATATACTACATTATCTGCATCACAATTTTTAAGCATGTAGGAACCTTTCTTTCAAATATTAGGTCTATGAATCACAAGAAATTATATATTAATCATGTATTTCTGTAAAAATTCAATCTTCCAATTAATAATAACTCGTGCACATATATAACATGTATAAATTAGTGTTTACTTCTCTTTTATTAGATATTGGAAACGTTAGGGGAAATATTCTATGGAAAGTTGTTAGTGGTATTTTTGCAACATAAAAATATTTTATTACCTACAGTTGTAAAAGTTATATTTTGGTGTATGACCTTGTTTAAAGATTTTTTTTTCTTTAGAATATTGATTATATTAGTGAGATCTACTTTGCTATTTCCAAAAAAAATAGATTAGGCCATCTTGGAAAAATTTTTTGGTTGCCCTCTCCCGACTGACTGACTAAAAATGGCCCGACTCAAAACTTTTTTGTTTTTACATTCCAGGACATCATATTTTTTTTCTTTTTATTCCTCTTATCCTGTCAGCAAATATGTTGAAATTGTCTAGAAAAAAAAGATTTTCTTACCTACCTGCCGATTTAATAATTTTACCCTGAATCAGGAGAGGGCAAACAAACAATACTTTAATGATGGCCTTATTCATATTTTGGGGGGGGGGGGGTGTGCATAATCACTATAATTATGCTTATTATGTATAGTATATTTTATTGTAATTTGTAAACATATTTCTTAAATATTATATTTGTGTCACTTTGATTCAGATTTCGCTTCTAGTTTCTATTTAACATAACCCCGGAGCCAAGTAGGGTCACACGAGGGCCGGGATCTAAATTTACAGGAAGTCTTTGAAATAAGCGGCGTTGTGGATTATTTGTATTTTTTTAAACACATCCTATTATGTAATAGATTTGTGCATTTCAGCTTTTTAAAAACTACACAACATTATCGACTTATTTTCCAAGTAGCATCCCAAATACACCTGCATATATAAGAAAAGTTTTGTAAAAATACTATTTTCCTATCACGAAAAATGAAATTTATCACTTAAAAGAGCATAGAAAATGATCAGATAGGTAATTTAATTGTCATAAAAATGACTCTAGATCTAAGCCTCTATAAGCAGTGCTTGTGAAGATTGGTTGATTGTATGTTGTTTTACGCCCGGTTCAAGAACTTTTCACTTATATAGAAACGTCACCATAATTATATCGGCAAAGTGCTTGAAATTTAGACCTTTACACGGCGCTTAGGGCTATTGAGCAGTGAGGGTTCTTTATCATGCAACGCCTACATGTACCATGATATGGGGCCTTTAATGGGGTTTTTAAAGTCTCATCCTAAAGACCTGCAACGTTTACTTCAAAGTGCCGAGAGCTTAAATGATGTGATACCCCCCCCCCCTCCCCCCCGAAACACACACACAAATTACAAAATAAATCCAAAGGAGATATAAAAACTATCAATGAACATTATATTGAATACAAAAAGAAGCAATTTGAATATATACTATTGAGGTTGACATTTAGGTGAAGAACCAGTTCCAGTTTCAAGATTATCATTCATTTATTTTTTAGATATTCTGTGGCACCTTCAATGGATTTTTACGATATTACTTTTTATTATATCTTTTAATTAACCTTTCAGATAAAAGCAATGGGGAAAACTGACTTTTAAGATTTCGTTCAAGTGATACGTATCCATAGATATGACGTATTTCAGATGAATGTCCTAAGCATGCATTGCTTTAAAGGGAGATTTGTCGGGAAGGGGGGGACTGACCCCCTCCCCCTGAGATTTTCAAGAGTTAAAAGGTTATATGTAAAAGTAACAAAAACATGTCTATGAACCCATTTCCCCAGGACACTTATTAAAATGGCAACAAGTCATGTGCATTATGAACCCATTCCCCGGGACACTTATTTAAAAGGCAAGAAGTCATGTGCATTATGAAAAGAGACCCCCCTCCCTCCCTTCTCCTCTGAAAAGGTTTTTAAGTTTGAGGCAATTAATTTTATTTATTTTCATTTCCTTTTACTTATTTGTTTATTTATTTATTTATATTTGCTTGTCAGAAAACTTCCGAGACTTGACATCTGTGATATTTAATATGAACCCTCCCCCTCCACCCCCCACCCCTGATAAAAATTCCTGGGATGAGTGCTTAATTGTCCCCTATATATAATTTTTAAAAAAATTATTTTAACTAATAAAACTTGTCATTCTTACTATGGCTACATATTCTTTATCCCTACACAAAGCCATACTGAGGAATTGGAATAGTTTTATTTTTCAATTATGTCCGTTGCCATGGAAACAGGAATTCATAACAATTAATGAAATAATTACCAGTTTCAGTGTGCAGGATTCATTTCTGCATGACGTATCAAGAAAATTCAAGATCATATAGATGGCAAAACTATTTTTATGCATATATAGAGTGTCTTTTTAAACAGTGATTTATCGGCATTTTTGAACAAAAATCGGGTTTTTTGAAAACTGAAAAAAGTGATGTTTGGACAAATATATTTTTCTAGAGTTTTGATATATCAAAAGGCACATTATAAATAACAAAATTCTACTGTAATAATTTCTGTTGCAATTTGTTTAAGGTTAGGGTGTTTTAGGACTAAATTGACTGGACTAAAATGATTTTTCTGAGATAACCGTGTCAGAAAATATATTTAAAAAAAAAAATCATAAGTATCAATTAATATGTTACAAAATTAGGCGCTTAATAAAGATTAGAAAAAAAAACAAAAGATTACAGTAAGTTGATGAATGCTTTTATCTGCTCCTCATGGTTCCAAAAATAATTATAAAGCAGTGTACAAATACCTGTATAATATTACACGATGAAAGAAAAAAGAGGCACTGCATAATACGTAGTATGATCATGGAAGTAAAAAAATATTACATGTTTACGAGTCATCTTATGAAATGATTACATTCAAAGATTAGAATGAGACGTCTCTGATGTGACTGTGGCTCTACTGGTTTGAAACTACACAATTTGGGTAAAAAAAAAAAGTGAACTTGTACTTTTCCTTTCCTTTTCTAATTCGTATACTTGTAGTTTTCTCTGAAAGGTAACAAACACACCTCCTTTGGAGTGGAAAGTCAAATGAATATTTTTTTCTGAACTATCTCAGAAATTTTTTTTATTTTTAGTGACAGCTACTTTATCACTCAATTAAAAAAATGAAAAAAAATGTAAACTGGTGATTAAATTTGATTCATCTGAACATTTTTTGCGATAATATTTATAGAACTTAATTTACTCTGTAGTTGTTACCTTCAAATATAATGCAACCATTTGCAATGTTTTGGCCTTCAATAGTTTATGTCCTAATGAGGATATTTCTGTCCACTTACCTTACTTGGTTCACAGTTTGGACAAAGATGTTCATTTTCTGTATCACTGTACGCTTTGTCCATGTTTAATCAATGCCTGTGGCGGTCTGATTTATATTCCTTCAGTAGAGGTAATTACGTACATGTACGTACTGTCTTTCTATATTGCATGCGCCTTACGACTACTTATTGCCATTTCTAGACCATCTCTAACTCCTACGTTTTTAAAGTCCTGCTCAAAGAAATTACAATTATTAATAAGATGTGTTTGTGAAACACTGATGCCCCCGTTAGGCAGCTCATGGCAAAGGTTAAAGTTTCTCAAATGCAAGTCAAACTCCAAGGTCAAGGGGAAAAAAATATTGGTGCCCAAAGAAAGGTTTTGTCACAAGGAATACACCCGTGAAATATGAAATCCCAAGCACCAACCGTTCAAATGTTATGGTCAAAGTTAAAGTTTTTCAAAAGTAGATCAAACTCTAAGGTCAAGGTCAAAAGGTGATTGCTTTGATTACCCCCCCCCCCCGTTTTCACTACTTTCTTCTTCATATTTCCAGATAGTGACGTCTTGAACAAATGAGTTATAAAATCGGAATAAAATGAAATTTCATCATAGATAATTATATATTACAGCATGAGTGAAGTATGGTTTATTAAAAAAAATAACAATACATGAAAGTACTGTACTTTTGGTAACGAACAAATAAACGAATTTAAAGCGGAGCTGCACAGGGTCCAGATCCTTTTTACAAAAGAACTTACGACTAAGATCAGAATACTAGTACGTTTTTAGAGTAATTTTCTTTATTATATTAACTCAAAAATGGTATCAATCTTTTGATTTCAAAGAATTTTAAAAGATATTTTTATTCAAGCAAATTTTAGCTGAACGTAATTATTTTGCAAAGTTTTACAATCAGATTTGGACTTACCCAGCGTCTCTGTTTTAGTTGTAGTCTATGATTATAACAGAAGAAAAGGTCAGAACTGTATAAACTTGGTAAAGATAGCCCCCTTCAAAACTACTTCTACTCACTCACCCACCGACCCAACTTCCCGTTCTGGTATCGATGAAGATTCAGCATTTATTTGATATATTATATTTGATAACACAAGTTGGTTGTGTGTTTTGTAAAATAAAAAAAAATCTCAATTTGACAGGCTTAAAGCATGCATAAAATTAATTTAATAAGTAAGTTGGCAACCAAACTTCAGAATACACTTACATTGATGAAATTGGCAGGACGTCCGTTGAATTGTTTAATATACCTTGTATGGTTGTTTATGACTCTCAGATCATACAATGGCATATGAGGTACATGAACATATTTACACATATACAAAGTCAAGTAAGGAAGAGTAGTATAAAATAAAAGAGTATTACAATACTGAAAACATACCAAAATCTTTTTAACAAACAAAGACAGCTTTATCATTGAGTCTACGTCTGTGGTGGGCATAAGATTATCGTCAAGACGAAACAATTGGAAAGGTATAATAAACACAGCGCCTTCGGCCCTCTAGCTATGTCCGTACTTATTTTGAGAAAAGTGTGAAAAACTTCGGCCTGACCAGACCTGCATCGAGTAATTTTAATTAACAGGTGAAAGGTAGATTTTGTGCGTAATACAACAATGATTTAACTTGAATTAGAAAATTAGAGAGACACTGCCAGTAAATATCATGCATTTCGTTTATGATATTGTATAATAAATTTGAAGACTTAAATATGCTTATGTACAGCGAAGTTTTGACAAAATCATCTGCACTGTAGCAAAGTGTGCAATATAAGAAAGATTAATCACCATAAAATGCAATACTGCAAACTCTCGGTCTTTGCACTTACAATCTAATTAAAATTAGATGTTCCGAATCCGCTACCGCTTAGCGGATTCGGAACATCTAATTTTAATTAGATTGTTGCACTTATTCGGGCCTCTCCGGCAAGCGGAAAATCAACCTCGAGTCAGACATAAATATTTATGCCTCTTCTTGAATGTATTACATAGGCGTCCAAAACAACCTTTTTTCATAAAAACAGAAATGTCGTAAACCTCTTACCTGTAGATAATTGACACCCCGGATCGTTGTTATTGTCTATGCATATAACAATCTGAGCATGCAAAGGTAAACAATATGTTCTGATTGTCTTTTTTCGCGGATTCTGTCAAAATCCTCGGTCTACCATATTCTCACATTCTATACTTGAGACCACGGTTCTCTGCGCAAGCGTAGAGTCAGAAGGAAGGAGCGTATAGGGCTAAACCCTTTTTTCTCCTCGCCGCTGTAGTTTATTTTTTTGATCATTCTGAAATTTACAATTTTATGAAATCTAATTATTTCAAGAATTGAAAAAAATGTATATAACTAAATTGAGCAATGCAATTTTTGAATATTAATATTTTTAGGTTAATTGCGTTACTGTGTTTCTAAAAATTCATCGAAGATTGTGTCCGACGTTGAAAAAAGAAAAAAAACTGATTAATATTTTTAAAAAGTTAATCAAAGAAAAATTATTCTTGAAATTCAATACCATAATTTATTCGATAACGTTTATGGCCAGGGTAGAGATTAAAGGTGCCCCCCCCCCTTTTTTTTTTTTGATATGACTTAATGCTACATGCTTTCCAGTCAGTACTAAATTTAAAACATGTATGAGTTTGTTAAGGTTAAAAACATATTATTGTACATTTATGCATATGTGTGTCCCATGTAGTACATAAATTATTCTTCTAAATTCTTAAACGCTATTGGCTGATTTCTGAAAAATATACACAATTCTAAGCATATCAGTTGTTTTATTATTATTATTACTTTAATTTTAATTTAGTTATCTATTTTTAATTAATCTATTTATTTAATTATTTTTATTTATTTAATTATTTTTTTTTTTATTTATTTATCTATTTTTTTTTATATATATTTTCTTTTGTATTGTTGGTAAAATTATCTTTCTGTTTGGAGTAGAATCAAATTATTGTAAAATGCTTTTTTCTCTAAACAATTTCATTAGATTTTTCAGACATGATTCTGAAGTAAAAAGAAAAAAACGGAGTTTTTATACACAAGTATAGATTTTAGATTACATTTAAATTTAAGAAGAATGCGGACTTTGAGTTGAGAAAAACAACTTTTAATTATTTTTTCACATCTTTGGTATATTATATATACAAAATACAATATTTCCTACGTCACATAATTACATTTCTACATTAGTATAAGTATATTGTATAATTACTTTTCTGAGTATATTGATATCAGAAATGAAATATGAATATACTTCTTGAATATATTTTGTACCTAATGTCCTCTACAAAAATTTAGAATTTTTTAATTTAAATTTCTATATAACAATAATACAAGTTTAAATTGAAAAGTTCTAAATTTTTGTAGAGGACACTATGTATTGAACATAATAATACATGTATTAGTGTAAGATATTTCTTTCTTCATTTTACATGACAAATTTTCAAACATCTTCTCCATCATTGCTGTATAATATCTAAAGACCACCTTCTCCTAAACAAACTATTTCAATGTAAAACTGGTATCATTCTGTGTCTCGCTGACATGGTCAATTAAGAAGTGTGAATCAACTTGTTATCTATAATCTATTATTTAAAAAGATGGTTAGTGAATGGATATCGTGATTTTAATCTAACTGATGTAAGGTATGCTTTTCTGTTCTTTTCTATATAGCAATTGGTAAATTGCAGGGAATGTATGGAAATTATTTTATTTTTAGTTGCATTTTTTTGGAGGGGGGATGGCTGATTTTCTAAATGCATTTCAATTACTGTAAGCATTTAATTTTTAATTTTTTTTGGGGGGGGGGGGTGGGGGGTGTGGGGTGGAGGTGGGGGGAGAGGTTATTTATATACTTTTTTAAATTATTTATTCATTTATTTTTCATATAATGTACAAGGAAAACAACTTTGAAACACACAAATATCGCATTGTAATTGTTACATTTGTAACAGACAATTATTCCAATACTAGATTTATTGTGAAATAAGAGTAAAAACATTTACAACATAAACTAGGCTAAAACAAAATCAACTTTGAAGATATAACTCTAACAGGAACCTATATATTGTTCGTTAAAATATTGGTACAAGTATTGGATAAGAATCAGGCTGAATCGGCATCGTTCAGACTTTCTGTAATCTCTATGACACAGCTTGGGGGAACACTTCCGTCAATCAAAACTTCCTCATACATCCTTGCATAACATCTTCCTTCTTTGTTGTCTTTCTTAATATATTGCTCCAAAATCTCTGGCTTTGTCAAATCTATTATTTCATTGATTGTTGGATCTTCCGAGTCGATCTCAATTTTTACAACCCTTTGAGGAAAGGTCCTTGATTTTTTTCGGAGGCGTTTAATTCCATTAATCGTCTTACAACACGATATGTACCGTGATTGAAGATACGAGCCATATGTCACGTGATCCTCGATGCTTATCCTGGAATTGGGATCTTTAGGTCGTAGTCCTTGAGATGGATCTTCATCGCGCTCCAAAAGTCGGAGTAATATTTGCTTCATACTTATTTCATAAATCAATCACTTCTCTTCTGCTTAAACCGCTCATATGACGTCATAAGAAATAATACTCCACAAACCAGAACATGTCAATATTTTCCGGGACTCTTTTTTTCTTCGAAATAATGGTAGTTACAATGTTTTTAAGAATGGACTGAATCTGAAAATAATTGTGTGCAAAACACTGAAAATAATCTCCTATAAAGCAGTATTTGCAGATTATTAATTATTGGGGGGGGGGGGTCAAAATTTCTTTACCTACATCATTGTAACAAGAGAAATAACTCTTTAAAAAAAATAAAAAAAATAAATATCATATCAAAGTTCTTTTTGTGGTTCATTATGTTAACTGTTCACATGTTGATTTGTTCAATTGTTAAACTCTTATTGTACTAACATACCCCATGTGGGGGCTTTAGTGAAAATAAAAGTTTCAAGTTTCAAGTTTCAATTTTTATGCCCCCGGATCGAAAGATCCCGGGAGTATATTGTTTTTGTCCTGTCTGTCTGTTTGTCTGTCTGTTGTCAACTTTAACCTTGCCCTTAACTTTGTATTGGTTGGAGCTATGACTTTAATATTTCACTTGTGTATTTCTTGTGACAAAACCTTTCTTTGGGTACCATCATTTTTGACATTGAACTTGGAGTTTGACCCACTTTTACAAAATTTTATGAGACTTTAACCTTGGTCATAACTTCTGAACAGTTGGTGCTTGGGGTTTCAAACTTCACATGTGTATTCTTTGTGACAAGGCCTTCCTTTGGATACCAACCACTTTGACCTTGGAGTTTGACCTACTTTTGAAAAACTTTAACCTTGGCCATAACTTTTGAAAAGTTGGTGCTTGGGGTTTCAAACTTCACATGTGTATTCCTTGTGACAAAACCTTCCTCTGGATATCAACCTCTTTGACCCTTTAACCTTGACCTAGGAGTTTGACCTACTTTTGAAAAACTTCAAGCTTGGCTATAACTTTTGAATGGTTGGTGCTAGGGCTTTCATACTTCACATATGTAATCCTTGTGACAAGACCTTCCTTTGGATACCAACAACTTTGACCTTGACCTTGACCTTGAAGTTTTACTTACTTTTAAAAAACTTTAACCTTCGCCATAACTCTTGAACAGTTGCAGCTAGGGCTTTCAAACTTCACGGATATATTCCTCGAGAAAAGACCTTTCTTTGGGTACCAAAATTTTTTGTCTTTTGGACTGGATTTTGACTTGCATTTGAGAAACTTTAACCACAGCCATAAGCTGCCATGTATCAGTGTTTTACAAACACATCTTGTTTTTCTTTGAATAATCAAAGTTACCAAAATGTTTCTGAAAAACGTTCTTTTTAAATATTGCGTTTTGTTTGACATATTACCAGCATTTCCAAAAATCTAGAGATCCGAGGACTTGAATAATTTAACGTTTGTAAATTGAATCAAACTTTTCATTTTTAGCATATTAATTCGATACATAAAATTTTCATCATTTGAAACAGATTTAAAAAAAAAAAAGAAAAAGAAAAGGAAGTATGAGTTAAGTGAACAAAAGCAATGACGGGAAACGGCTTACTTGGGATTTTTAAAGCTGCAGAACTGTAGCGTTATCTTTTATATTTTAGTCTTTGACCAAGGCGCCACAGACGTTATAGGAGATGTAGAGAATGGATAAAATTTACAGATTGGTTATAGAATATGTCTAGAATTAGGGAATGAAAGGGAGTTGATTGACCAATGCCAGAAAGTAGCGAAATATATCCTCAAAGTGCGCAGAAAATCTTGCGCCGTAAATTGCACCATATTTGCATTATATACGGATCTGTAGCGTTATGGTCAAAGACTAAAACATAAAACCATAACGCTACAGTTCAGCAGCTAGGATTTTTAGTGAAAGATTTTCATGAATGAAGAAAACGGATGTGATCTAGAATTAAACTAATATATGTCTCTGAAGAATATCAAAATAATAGACAATAATGAATTAGTGGACAAATAAAAAATACATGTAGTATGTTTATTTGCAAAGGCATAACAAGAGAAGTACGATTAAAAAAATGGCTGGCTTACACTTCCATTTTATACTTTTTAAATGAAAAACTATCGCATACAAATAAGAAATTGTACAATACAAATAATGATTTATACAATGCAAATGGAAAATATAGAATACAAATAAAATATTATACAACACATATGATTTTTTTTTACAATACAAATGGAAAATATAGAATACGAATAAATGTTATACAATTCAAGTGGAAAATTATAGAATAAAATGAAAAATTATACAATCAAAATAAAAAATATACAATACAAATGAGAAATTATACAATACAAATGAAAAATTATAGAATACAAATGGAAAATTATACAATACAAATGTAAAAATATACAGTACAAATGGAAAAGATCGAATATTGCAACGTTTGACATGCCATACCGTATTATAGCCTCATTTTACTTGTATTACCTTTGTTCTGCTGGTATGACAATTATATATACGTACATAAAGTTTAATGATCACTTTTTTTTTTTATAAATATGTTGTCTGGAATTCTCCATTGCACGCCTTCCGATTATCTTAAATAATACATGACCTTAAGCAAACATAAAATTTGCATGAGACCTAGCTTTACTAAAAAGCTTGTTTGACGTGAGCAAATTAATTATTATGCTGAGAATCATAAGTCTGCGTCCAGAAAATAATTCCTTTGCTATGAATGAAGAAAAATTGTATCCAGTGTCATCAACAGAAAATGAGACTTGCAGATTCTAATTTATTCTATATTATAAAATAGAATAAGATATTTATTTTATCAGGCCCGTAAGAACCAGGAGAGGGCATGGAAGCTAGTCTGATTCATCCCACCTTCCGACAAATCCTAATTCCCCTCCTGCTTCCCTTAATAAGCAGGAAACAAAGACCGTAGTCCGACTATTTCAAGAAAAGACACACATGTGATATAGTGTTTTCAGCTATATATATATTAATGTTTGACATAAATTGTATTAGAATTGATAAAAGACCATGTACCATCATGGGGCATATGCACCCGGTCCCCAATAAAAGGGTGAGGGTCAACCACTTTAATATAGTGCATTCAGGAATATTGACATGTCTGACTTTCATTGACGACAGGAAGGGCAAAGGTTTACAATGATATGCAATGACATGGTTTTAAAGCATAAACTATGCACTTAGATGTATATACTGAATTGGATAGTGAATTGACTTGTTTTATACACTTCTTTTCATCATGCGTTAGCTATTTTGAGAGCATGGCATCACAAATGTATTAAAATTGGAGAAAAATGCTTATTAACACCCCTTTTCTTGTTTTGTTCGTGTGGTGGACATATTGTTTAAGCACATAATAACTTTTTTTTATTGAATACATCATTATAAAAATATTTCAAACAAATTAAAACACGTGTTTTTACTATATAAGTCTACCGGCCTTTATAAGCTAATTGTGGTCCGGGTCCTTCAGATTCAACGCTGAAACGGGGATCGTCACTGTTTAATCAGCTTGGAAAAGCGAAAATATGGAGGGTAATCGTGTTCAAAAATCCAGACTTGTAAGTTTGTAAATCCAAACTTGCAATCGTGTCAGTTTCATAGTCTACATATGTAAGTAAGTGATTCCGACATCCAAGCATGTAGTTTTGAGAACACAACTGTGTTGACTTTGAGTTTATTCTATGATGTGTACAATGTATGTGTGTACAACGTGTACAATGTATATATGGTCCATATATTTATATTCTCCCTCACTTCGTTCGTCCAAATATAAATAGTTCAGGAGATCGTGAACATTTCTACTTTGCAAAGAATCTTAAGGAAAAATATTTGGAAATGTAAATATATCGAAGTTAACAATGTATTTTTTATATTGCAGAATGTTACATGAAGAAAAGCAAACGTTCTTTATGTAACATTTATGAATAAAGTCTGTTGCACTCGCACAGGCGAGCTGTTCCTAATTTTTGTGTTTTGAGTTCAGTTTATAAATATTTTATGTTCATTTGAAAAGGTGAAGTAGAACATAATTAACATTGGAAATTGAAAATATTTATCATACTGAAAAACATGAGCGTCGATTATAACCATATGTAACTCTGTACACATCGAATGACTTAAAGAGTCGACCTTTCAGAATTCGAGATAATTCTTTATAACAGTACACACTGTCCTAACAATAAATACCATTGGGTCAATCAACAAAGCCGTGGTTTTTAATTATTTTTTTTTAATGGGGGGGGGGGGGTTATGCCTTTGTAAGTATTGAATTCAAGGTAATCTTATTTTTTAAATGAAGTGCATTTGTTCAGGATTAGCTCTCATAAGTCGTAGCAAGAATTGTAAATGACGAAATATAATCAGATCAAATTCAATATGTCGTGTACATGTATTTTTTATTTATTCATACCTAGCATAAAGGCCCGTATCAACGATTTGAAAAGTGGGGGAGGGGGGGGGCAAAAAATTATCAAGCAGAAAAAAAAAACGTTTACTGTCCATTCTGGAAGATCCTATAATCCTATTTCATGGAAGGGGGGGGGGGCTCTAACTTTTTGGTATACATTTTTTTTTTCAAATGCTGGAATTTGCCAGTGTTTGACCTTACAGCAATAAAAATTGGGAGGCCAACCAAAATTTCATTGAAAATTTCCATATTAAAACTACAGCGAAAAACTATACTCAGAAAAAAAGGGACAACCCCCCCCCCCCCGCATTCTACGAGCCTGCATAAGTACACCTTAAGGAGGCTGGGGGGTCAACAAATTAACCATCAGATACAACTTAATTTTTTATATATGTTATCTTAAGCTGTCAACTATCATTTGGCAAACAAAAATTTCATACATTTTAATTTTAAAATTTGATCATTTTTGTATATCTTTATATGGAGCTCTTCTTCTAAAGGAGAACAACATAGTCTGAAAATGGCCACAACCACCCAGCCCTCTTAATGCATGTATCACTCGAGTCCTTACCATATAAGTATATATCCTACATATGAGTTGTAAAATAATGTTTCATATATTGATTAACTAGTATGTGAAATGTGATCAGCAAGATTCGTCGAGACTAAAAATTTTGGACAGACGTCTCGTAAGAGACGTCTGCCCAAAATTTTTAGTCTCGACGAATCTCGCTGAGATTATGTGAAATGTAGAGAAGTAGGAATTAAATATTTCTGAAGTGGGGAAAATAGAGAAAGCTGAAGTCTATAGATTCGGAATTACATATAATGTTGATCACATCTATATAGAGTATATTCTTGAGACATAAGGGAGGAATGGCGGCGTATGAAAATATCTTCTTTTCTGCCTCTCAAAATAATTATAGAACAATAAATTTAGTTATAATTTTTATACAATCAAAGACTTGAGAAAATTTTTAAATGTAAGTTAAATTAATAATAAGGGACTAAAGTTTTAAAATATATCAAATAAATATGATTTTCCAAACAAACTACAATTATGTTAGCTTTTAAAAGCTTCCAATCTAAGGTCAGATTTGAGCCAAAAATCCGTAAAAAGTGCTTTTTCTCTCTTAGTAAACGGTCAAAACTTTTTGTTTTCATATCATTTTGTATCTTTATGTGACAACTGTACCATATGTGAAAATAAGAAAAATTTAAATATAGGAAGCATATAAAAATAACTAAAATATCTTACAATTTTAAGAAAAATAGAGAAAATTCGGATTAGCCAATATCCATTTTATTTATGTAAATTTGATAATATCATCTTATAGACCATATATGGTAATATCTCTTTATGCAAAAAGAAAAACATTTAATTTATTGAAATAGAAGTAGGCATCGCATGATTGGCAACAGTAATTTTCTATTCTTAATGTCCAGGGAAAAGGTACTGACCTTGACCTGACCTTCCCTCTAATATAAAACGGTCAAATTTAATCTAACTGATACCATCACTTAGTGATATTGTCTTCTTGATTCTGTGAAAATTTCATTGATTTGTAAATATAAGAAATAAGTGTTCTTATGAGAAGAATCCCTCCTTAAAGGGGGAGGAAATAAGCACCGCCCTCAATTTTACCTGGTCTGTGAACCCCTGTCAATCAGATGAAATTAAGCCTGAGATTGGATACTGAAAATTGATTGACATCTTGTTACCTGCCGTTGTGTATATCTTGTATACCTTGGCTGGGGATCGTACCGATCATTGAATTAACATTCAGTCTTTGATGCCTACCGCATATAATTTATAACATCGTGATAAAGAAGCAGCCAGAGCTAATTTTTTTTAACTTTATGATAAAGTAATTAGCCATATATAATTTATATTTAATAAGTCTGTCAAATAATTAAATAAATGAAAAAGAAAATCAGTCATATATATCTATTTAAATTGTAATTAAGAAAGGGGGGTTCATTTCACTATACAATCTATAATGCAGTATAGATTATCCAAATTTACACGTACATCGATTTTACTTAAAACAGAAAATACCTAACTGCATTGGAAGCATCGTGTAATTTAATAAAATAATAATTCCTTTTAATTTTATAATTATGAGATAGTCATATTGTCCAAGTTAGAAATTTTAAGACGTGTAATATTTCTTCGAGACATGGTGATGAAAGTTACGGTAAAATAACCAGTTTTAAAGAGAACTAAGCATTATTATAAAAGCTGTCATTGCATATACAAGTTATGTTTAGAATTATGTATCCCGAGGAAAAAAGTAGGATAAAGTGATTATATTCCCGTTTCGTCTTCCTGTCGGAGAAACAATACGCGGATGCCTTGACCATTTTTAACATGCATGCGTCATGGGTTAATCACATACGAATTATACAAAAAAAATATTTATCTAATTTATTACATATTTTCTAAAAAATTTAGCCTTCAAACAGGATTTCTAAGTTTTAGAGATTTAATTATTCAGGACTGCGCTTTTTTCTACTTTCGTTTTGTGAATGACTATTTCCCTCGGTGTCGCAAGCTTACAACCAAAGATTTGAAATTTATTAAAGCACAAAATTAAACTAAAATTGTCTCCTTTATTCAAACATATTTTAAAAAAAGAATTGAACTAAAGGATTCAGTCTACATAAAAAAATTAGCATGTTTTATTTCATAAATTTGACGATCAACATTTCGATTGACCAACACGCGAAGTTAAACTATGTCTTAGGAAAACATTTACAGGTAATATATACAGGTAACATTCTGTGTATATAGGTAGGTATACACAAGCCAGCTTGGTTCCCTCGGGGCTTCACAGCCGTTTCAATTAAGCTCCACCCCACTCCAAATTTACCTGAGGAAAACCGACCGGTTGAAAACCTCGGCCTTTAAGTCAAACGTTAGGATATAGGTCCCTAGTTAGTATATATAGGTCCCTGATGAAATGTTGTTTTTTTCTGAATGTCCATGAAATTGATTCTATGCTATTTTCTAGTTCACGATCTTTCTACTTTAACTTTAACGAAAGAAGAATAGGAATTATTGTAAAATAAATAACAACTGGACTTATCTTTTTTTTAAGATAAAGAACAATTTTAAAGTGTATTTGGTCTGTACCTTGTTCTTGGGGGGGGGGGGGGGGGGATAGATATATTTTTGGATTTTTTTTAATTTTGTCAAATTTCTTCTCATAGATTAAATTATAACTTTATTATTTTTATTATTGTAACGTATCATTTGAGAAAAACTTCGATCCACCACTATACAATGCTATATTGAAATTGATGATTAGAGTAACGGCCCTTGTTTCACAAACGCTAGAGGTCACATCGGTACGACTTCCTTTGTGGTGAGACGATGAGCAGTCGAGAGTTTTATACCGAGAGAGTGAGTAGATAGCTTAGTGAACAATGAATGAACAATGGTACAAGTGACTCCTGGTTAGTGAACAAGACAGACTATATTGTATTTAGACATGGAGAAAATAACAAAATTGTTAACGGTACTGAAAAGTCCTGAACTTGTGGCTGATTTTCAAAAACAATGTGGAGTGGATTTTTCTGATCCTGAATCTGAAAACAAGAAAACAGAAAAGGGTTTAAAAAATGATGAGTTAAACACTGTTCGTTTGAGGAATGGATTTTCAAAATGTGCTGAAAATACTGATGTTGCTGATATTCTGAAGTCGAATGGGCATGTTAAAAATGGATACTCTGTCAATGGAATCGGTCATATTTCAGATAAAAATGGCTTGATCAATCACCAAAAGTGTGAAACAGGAAAACAGAAAACAGAGGAGGAGGAGGATTTAGGAAAATCTTCCTACAAAGTTCAAAACAAACTACTTTTTATTCTCTTCCATTTCGGTGCCAGTCTTGGAAATGAGATTTTCTATCTCATCTTTTTTCCATTTGTTCATTGGAATTTAGATGGAACTTTGATGCGACAGATGGCTTTTGTGTGGCATGTTGCAATGTGGGCAGGCCAAGCTTTGAAGGACATTATCTGCTGGCCTCGACCAGCGTCTCCACCTGTAATTAAATTAGAGAGTAGATATAGCTTAGAATATGGAATGCCATCAACACATGCGACTGTGGGTACAGTAATTCCCTTCAGCTTGCTTATTTTACTCCGTACATATTATGAGGTGAGCATTGTCTGTGGTCTAAGGGTGAAACGATTACACATGTAAATGGTTAAGTTTCAGTTAATTGCTCTGAATGTTTACGAAATGAGTAAACATGTTAACAAAGAATACTGTTATGAATAAAACTTAATTTATTTCTTGTTACAGTATGTTGTGTTGGCTAACATTTAATACATCAATTGTACAATAAACAATGTTTTTCCTTTTAATTTCTACAGAAAAAGAGATGCACACAAGTAACGCAACTTTGAAAACCCAAATATTGCTGTCCGATTAAAAGCTTACAAAGTTTAGTAATCGTTTCACCCTTACTCTGGTCCATATCATAAAGTGTCACTGTGTGGCTAAGATGATCAGCATCATTATGATGCGAGAGTGAAACGGATTCTTTTATGGTTGATTATAATTACTGTTAATTTAATTACATTTAAGTTATTGATTTGTGTGACCAGATACAAGTAGCTTGATTTTATATATCAAGACTTTTTCAGAGTTCGTGTGATGCTGGCTCTGACAAAGAAAAAATCAGGCAGATATTTAAAATTAGACAGGGGCTGTTGTGAGCCTGAGTACATTTCTCTTGGGTTTGAAAACCTTTAATAATAATAATATAATAACTCCTTTTAAGAAATTGTTGATTCAGTTGCCATAGTCTTTATCAAGGCTTCTCTACAGGGAATATTTAAGAGATGGACTGATGGTGACTTTTGTTCACGCTGGTCAGATGTCACCTGTCAAGGGTTTAAGGGGGGTCTGCCTCAGCTTTGAGTTAAGTCAGTTATAACTTCCCTCTCCATTACAAAGAGATTGTGTGTACATATAAAGTATACTGTGAATTTATATTTTCTTTATCAAAGGAATTGAAATAATGGTGGCTTGAGGCATTTCAATTCATCAGATACAGCAGATTTAAAGATAATTACACTGAGATACTTTGTATATTAGAACTTACAATTTTTCTCCAAATTCAATTAATAACATTTTAAATATAATATTAAAAACTTAATGAACATGTCTCAAAAACGATGAAACTTTTAATAAATATTGAAGCAAGGACTGTATCAAAATAGTTCTGATCAGAAAAAAAAATATTTTATGAAAAAAAGATTTACTTATTCAATGGGTCATAATCTCTATTTGTGTCAGATAAATGCTTTTTACAAATAAAACATACTGTATGCATACGTAATCAACCAATCATGTGTAATGCAATGCATTTAGACCACCCTTGACTGCATTGATTGATAATAACACATGTATTAATTGTACGTAACATACATGTGAACTGAATTTATCAATTATCATAATATTATATTTAAGTAGTGTAATGAATCATCTGACATGATAAATATGATTTTTACATAATTTGGATTTATAAATTGTTCAGTATCTCTTGATATCATATAATTTATTTGCTGAGAATCAATTTTTTTTTTTTTTTTTTTTTTTAAAGGGGCTTTTGATAAATTCCTATTGAAATGATGGATGTACTAGATTTTAAATTCATTTATCACTGATTTCTTGGCAGTCAGTTGGTAGATTCCTCATTCCCATAGCCTGATCATGCTGATAGAGCATGAAAGCATTTGAACCTATGCTTAACTGCATTCAATTAATCAAGAGTAAGACTCAATAATGTCTAAAAGATCTCCTCTCCCTTTTATGGGATCAATGAAATTTAACACTGATTTTAAGTTTAAAATGTTTGCAAACAATTCTCTTTAGAACAATGTTTAGGATGTGTTGGCCTGTGTGCACAGGTACAGAAAATAGATGGAAATGCATAGACATGTATATATATATATATTGACAAATAATCCTGATAGTATTAGAAAAAGTGTCATTTTAATATTTAAAAAAAAAAAGATTATTAATTGAACATTGACCAGTTTTCTTCTGATGATTACAAAAACAAGTATCAACTGATGTACTGATTTCACACCAAATGCCCAGTATATTTTGATGCACATGTTTTGGTATGTAAATTTTTTTTATCTTTTTTTCAAGTTTAAATGTTTTTCAACACTATACTAGGTCACCAGTTTGAAGTTAAGTCAGCATGTATATTTAATAAAGTCACGTGAGAAGTGCATGTGCTCATCAGATGATAGGAGGATTGAGAATAATACATTCTCCTTTAATAACACACCCAGTGGGTCAATAGTTCAACAACTTCGGGTATAATCTTTTATTATCTATTTAATAATGGACTTTCCCCTTCATTAGGAATGTTACTGCTGAGTGAATTCCAAGGATTTAGATCTGACCAGGCAGTGTTCTTTCTTTCATTATGACATGTGACAGCTTTATATCAAATTTATTGTGTCAGACTCTCTCGTACTTTATTTAGATTATAAAAACTTATTATCTTAAACATAAAATTAAAGTATCATAGAAATACTATATTTCAAACAAATGTGTTGAAAATTTATTATCAGGTATTTCCAGTACATGTAGTTCATTCATAGTCTTGAACAAATAGACCCCTGGCAATTACATTTACAGTGCATGTTTTTGAATGGTGTCATGTTTTATTTTTTAAATTTTTAAACTTGTCATTGATAAGAATTTAGTATGTACACATCTGTATGGTCTCCCTTTGGTATTTGGCAGTGTTTTTCCTTTATTTCAAAGTAAAGGATTAAAGATCAATTGTAACAGGGCAGGCTAAGGGTTGATGTTTATGAACAGAATCTCTGTCGACCTTACAACAATTTTTTTTTTAAATTTTTGATTTCTAAGCGGCATTTTTATCAATTGAAGAGGTCAATTTGGCCGGTAACTGGTTCTTAGGGAAAACACTGTTTGGTATACTCTTGACATGAATTATTTCCAGTGGCAGATCCTGGAATTTTGTAAGAGGCGCAGTATAAGGCAGGAGGGGGGGGGGGTCTGGGGGCTGCATTGAAACCCCCAGTGGGTCTAAGGCAAGGTCCTGGTGGGGGTCTGGGGGCAAAGCCCCCGAAGCTGACAAATTCTTACAAATAAGAGATTTTTTTCCTTGAATTTACGATAATGGATATAAATTCTACATTCAAAAAATTCAAACGGGGAAGGGGGGGGGGGGCACGCCTGGCACACCGACCCTGGATCCGCCTTTGATTTCAGTGTTACACATGTGAAGTAAAATGAAGCTATAACCCATGGATTATTCCAATCTTACACATACCTGTGATCTCATGTCTTACCATGATGTAAAATAAAGTTTACACAGTAGAGGTATAAGGCTAGCTATAGGAGTACAAGATATTTATTTACCCGTCATGGGCCCAAATTTAAATACAGAGGCATACAAAATATATAAAGTATAAAAATTAGAAGTCAACATGGTCAAGTTCCTGTTTAAAAAATTGTACTTGTAAAGCATCAAGACATGGCATTAATTAATATAAAAAGCAGTTTTCATTATGAAGATATAATTTTCCAGGCACATAATTATGGTAATCTATTTATCTAAGATATATTCCATATGCACATAGATACACACTTGTACAAGTGTACACAAAAATTGTACATAATTTGACACATATTTGCAGTGTATACCATATGGAATACTTAAGACCTACATTTTTTCTACATGGGATAAATTTATGCTATGTGCACGGTCACTAATCTTCCATGGAAATTTGTCAAACATAATTTAAAGTGAATTTAAAACATACAGTGGAAATCAAAGAAATCCACATAATTTATTACCTGTGAATTGAACACAAATTGAGATTCCACGAATTATGACTCCTTGGAAGAAAGTGCGTTTGCATTACCTATACATCAAGAGGTTTCCCAAACTAATTTTAACTTTGACAAATTCTATTAATTACCTTTTTTTGTACTGATTTTCACTTCAGGAAATTGGTGCTAGTAAATTAAGGTACATGCATCACAGTTGCTAGTGTGTGATGAACATAGACTGATCTGAATGATGCACAGCTGCATATATTGTCATGGCTGTGTAATAGTTAATTAGTATTAAGATTTATCTTACTTTAATTGCTTTAATGTACATGTACTCATGTATCTTGTTTTTAAAATAATAATAATCCTACATCTTGATTGCCAGATTGTGTAGTGTTAATGTAGAAAAGCTTGTAACAATAATGAATTGCACATGTTTATATATTATCACCCATAGGTAATGATACATTCTCCCATCTTGCTAGGGGGGAAGTGTACTGAAAACATTTAGTGCTAGTTGACTTTAGTAGCAACAAGTAAGGCTCTCGCATTAATATAATCATAATTGGTACAATTGTATTTATAATAGACCTGTGTGAAAGAATGTAGATGTATTTGTCATGTTTGTTGGTACTCAAAATTTGATGAATTATCAGGTCATCATTGTTTCCTGTATGTGTAATCCTTTTTCATATGTGTACCAGTATCACTGTATGTCAATTTTATAAATTGATATAATTATATAACAAGGAAATGATCACATTTCATATTGCGCTTTGAGCTACCTTAATATTGTTAATATAGAAAACCTATCTTCCCATTAAGTCAAAGTTTCTGATGTGATTCATTTCACGTAAAATTATGGGGACCAGAGCAGATCAGATACCATTTTTATAGGAAGATGGAAACATATTGACATGTATCATAGACATACCATATTTGTCCAAATTAGTGTCCATGCATTTATAATCACCTATCCCTGTAGTAGAACATGCCTATATCTTTTGATATATTTTTTTTCTTGTATTAACCCTATTTCCATTTTTCTGAGCACTTTCAGACTGGTCAGTGGCTCGGGTTGATTAAGTAGTAGCAGATGTTTGAATTATCCAAGTTTGTTAAGAAAGTGCCATGTTTCTTTTTTTATATATATTATTGTCAAACTTTATTACACTACCCTGAACTGGGGCCCCAGAAAAAAAAGAAACAGAGGTATATCGGAGGATTTGAGATACTGAAGTTAAAATACACATTATAGTCTTAAAAATGGTTGGGACTTCCAACTCACATCAACATATCCATGGAATTTAAGATATATGTTGATGTTTGAGGTACCAAAGTTCAACTGTACACATAAGTTTTGAAAATGGTGTAACTTAAATTGTTATTTGTTGTAGGTACCCCTAGGACTGGGTATTTTGTGTGCCACAGTGTGGATGCTTCTAGTCTGCTGCAGTAGAATTTACTTAGGAATGCACACAGTTCTGGTATGTTTTGGTATTCAATCAATGTATATATTATTTTAAAAAATATAAATTCAATGAATTTTTGTTGCATCTATAAAATATTTTGATTAAATTAGAGGGAAGAAATAAATCATTAAACTAAAAGCAAGCATATTTGCAAGAATGAATTGGTGGTACATCACTTTTTAGCTCACCTCGACGAAGTCGAGATGAGCTTATGCTATACCCCCGGCGTTGGCGTCGGCGTTAGCGTCGGCGTCCCGGTTAAAGTTTTAGGAGCAAGTCCCATTCCCAAGTTACTATAAGCCCTACCTGGACCAAACTTGAATGGATGATGCATCTAGAATGGACACTGCCACACTTGCTTCGGATGCTGGATCTGACCTAGATTTTCCAGATGAGTGACCAGGTTAAAGTTTTTGGAGCAGGTCCATTCCCAAGGAACTATACGCCCCACCTGAACCAAACTTGTAAGGATGATGCATCTAGGGATGGACACTGCCACACTTGCTTCGGATGCTGGATCTGACCTAGATTTTCCAGATGAGTGACCAGGTTAAAGTTTTTGGAGCAGATCCATTCCCAAGTAACTATAAGCCCTACCTGGACCAAACTTGCATGGATGATGCATCTAGGGATGGACACTACCACACTTTCTTCGGATGCTGGATCTGACCTAGATTTTCCAGATGAGTGACCAGGTTAAAGTTTTTGGAGCAGGTCCATTCCCAAGTAACTATACGCCCTACCTGGACCAAACTTGCATGGATGATGCATCTAGGGATGAACACTACACACTTGCTTCGGATGCTGAATCTGACCTAGATTTTCCAGATGAGTGACCAGGTTAAAGTTTTTGGAGCAGATCCTTTCCCAAGTAACTATAAGCCCTACCTGGACCAAACTTGCATGGATGATGCATCTAGGGATGGACACTACCACACTTGCTTCGGATGCTGAATCTAATCTAGATTTTCCAGATGAGTGACCAGGTTAAAGTTTTTGGAGCAGGTCCATTCCCAAGTAACTATAGGCCCTACCTGAACCAAATTTGCATGGATGATGCATCTAGGGATGGACACTACCACACTTGCTTCGGATGCTGAATCTGACCTAGATTTTTCAGATGAGTGACCAGGTTAAAGTTTTTGGAGCAGATCCATTCCCAAGTAACTATACGCCCTACCTGAACCAAACTTGCATGGATGATGCATATAGGGCTGGACACTACCACACTTGCTTCGGATGCTGGATCTGACTTAGATTTTTCCAGATGAGTGACCAGGTTAAAGTTTTTGGAGCAGGTCCATTCCCAAGTAACTATAAGCCCTACCTGGACCAAACTTGCATGGATGATGCATCTAGGGATGGACACTACCACACTTGCTTCAGATGCTGAATCTAACCTAGATTTTCCAGATGAGTGACCAGGTTAAAGTTTTTGGAGCAGGTCCATTCCCAAGTAACTATACGCCCTACCTGAACCAAACTTGCATGGATGATGCATCTAGGGATGGACACTACCACACTTGCTTCGGATGCTGAATCTGACCTAGATTTTCCAGATGAGTGACCAGGTTAAAGTTTTTGGAGCAGATCCTTTCCCAAGTAACTATAAGCCCTACCTGAACCAAACTTGCATGGATGATGCATATAGGGATGGACACTACCACACTTGCTTCGGATGCTGGATCTGACCTAGATTTTCCAGATGAGTGACCAGGTTAAAGTTTTTGGAGCAGGTCCATTCCCAAGTAACTATATTCCCTACCTGGACCAAACTTGCATGGATGATGCATCTAGGGATGAACACTACACACTTGCTTCGGATGCTGAATCTGACCTAGATTTTCCAGATGAGTGACCAGGTTAAAGTTTTTGGAGCAGGTCTATTTCCAAGTAATTATAAGTCCTTCTTAAACCAAACTTGTATAGATATTGATCTTGGGGTGTACACTAACTAGAAAAAATATGATGTGAGATTTGCCTTACTTATAGATAACCTTCGTCGAGGTGAGCTTCGTAATCTTTGATTACCTATGTTTTTATTCTGACATCAAAGATAAGTATATATAATTATATATATATATATATATATATATATATATATATATATATATATATATATATATATATATATATATATATATATATATTGTTGTTGTTTTTTTTTTTGTCCATCTGGTTCTCTCCTTTTTCTTCAGTTTTAACTTTGTCACAATTTTCAAGCTAATTGATAAAGACTTTGTTATTAATGTAGTACATTTTCATGTCAGTTAAAAGGTCAAACCTAGAGGTCACACTGGTACATAACACTCTTGTTTAATGGTGAAATTTGAATATACATGTAACAGTAAATACCCTTATATAATTATGTTAATTACAATTTAACTTCACATATAAAAATCTAAAATGCTTGACTGGTATTTCCTATCTTTAAAGATCCCTTATAGACACTTCCTAAATTAGAAAAATACCCCAAAATGAATTTAGATTGAGGGGGAGCCTTCAACTTCTCAATAGAGAATATACAAAACTTATGAACATATACTGGAGTACTGTAGTTGAATGAGTCATTGTTGCTTATGTGGGTTTCTCTTCCTTTTTCAGACATCTAAATATTTAATCGCCCTTCATTTAAATATGTGGTAGACATGCTTCTAAAATACTCCAGAGGATCTGTGTATTGTGTTCATGTGTGTATTTACTTATCTCATTATGTTAATGCCCTGTGTTACCAAAAAAAAAATGTTCCAAAGTTTAGTGGATTAATTGTCTCTGTACACCTGTCCTTCTATCTTCTGTGAAAATATCTGGTTTAAGGTGTAAGAAATTAATCAATATTCAAGTGTTTCACATGATTTAGAATTAAAACCGGTTATTTATGCTTCATAGGGCATTGAGAGACTCTGACATAGCACTTTTGCTTTTAAAAAGTACTGGCAAAATATTTTTTTGCCAGAAAAAAAAATGTCCCCATAAAAACATCCCTACACTGTTCCAATGAAAACATATTTTGTATTGATTGAGAAGTTAAAATCATTTTACTAGAAATTGAGCCCATCACATTCAAATCTTCAATTCAATAACTAAACTACTATATGGATGATTGACATTCATTTTAAAGGATGGAATAATTAGTGCCTACATGTTGTATTATTATCAAACTTTTTTCTTGAATTATTGATTTTCTGTTTCAGGATGTGGTAGCAGGTGTTGCATTTGGCTGCCTAATAATTCCCACAGTTTTACCTTGGGTTCATACCCTGGACCTTCTGCAAGTGACACACCCACTTGCCCCAGTTGTGTTTATAGGGGGTTACTTTTTGTTCTGTTGGTTATATCCCAAGCAGAAGATCTGGAATACTGCTAGAGCTGACACCGCCAATGTTCATGGCATCTGTGGCGGTGTAGCATCCGGATACTGGTTATTATATCAATTCGGATGGCTCACGAAATCCGAACAGGGCCCGCCGTTTCCTTTACCATCTCCGACATGGGACTGGGTCTATCTCAGTTTTCTTAGAACGCTTCTGGGTGTCTCGGTGTTAGCCGTCATTAGGGGTATTTTTAAACCACTGTCAATTCATTTTCTGTGCAAAATGTACAAAATAGACAAGAAAGATATACAGGCACAGAGACGAGAAGGCTCCGAGGTGCCACAAAAGTTCATCACGTATTACATGGTATCGATAGGTGCCAGTTTTATAGTTCCCCTGCTCTGTTCTTACTTAGGCATAATGAGAGAGAGTTTTTACCATGAACTCTATTGATAATTAGGAAAACAAGATTTTTGTGTGTTGATCGATTTATTTTGCTCTGTTGATTTTATTTATTAATTACTATAGCTTATTTAGATAGTTTCTTTCAAGTTTTACATACATCCTTGTGAAAACAGATCTATGAAAGATCTCCCAAGTTGTCAGTTTTAATCTTTATGATCTATACTAGATACTTTTATAGTATTTAAAAGTCTTTGTTATACAGTGGGACGTTACAGTGTACTTTCTATTTTTGCAGTGGTTTTAAAACTGTTACAATGAATTATTCTGTACACATATGGGGCATATTGTACGATACATGTATGACCTGTGTCTTGTTACAGTAGCAAATTAACAATTTGATCCATAATAGGAATGATAAGAATAGTTAATTAAATAAACAGGCCAGTATTACTGTGAATATGTACAGGATGTGAGAAAATGTGTCTTATATAACCTGAAAGGAAATGTTATATAAATGATTTTGAAATATATTTTATGCAGGACATCACATATGTGTAGTGCATTTGCACATATTTATTGATAGGGTAATGGTTTAAATCTTAATTCATTTCTTTTCAATCATGTTTTTATACTCACAGGAATTTTACTTTTTTAGAAAATTAAATTTTGATAATTGCTCATGCAGGAATACATTTTTTATTGTAAAATGAGAGATTTTGAATGCATTCAGGGATAGGTAAAGTACTTTTGACACTAGGTGTACATTTAGAGAATTAGAGACAGAAAATAATTTATAAGGAAGTATTTTTAGAAAAAATGTGAATCTTCACATTAAGTTAATTGAATAATTTGACATTTTATGGTTTGTCAGGTAATTAAATTAACGCATTTCCTAAACATGCTGTTACAAGTCTTGGGGGAAAATGTTAGAAATTTTGTACATTTGTAGTATTTAAAATACGGATGTACAACATAATTGGTGTTGATGATGCAAATGAAAATCTTTATTGTGATCTGATGACTGTATGGACTTTGTACTATGACACCATTAAGTGTTATTCAGATATTTTGTTTACTTACATGTATACTTGAAAGTGCAAATTCATTCATGACAGGGTCACGAGGATAAGAACCACTGCAGTCGACCTAGTTACTTCTTTTATTTTTAAACTGTGTTATCGGGAGTTAGGCCTTTAGAATATTATGTCACTTTCATAATGGTGATTGCAAACTGATCAAGAAAGAAATACTTGTATCACTAAGTGAAGAAAGTACCAAGTACACTGTTTGAACATGTAGACACTGTTTCCTAGGGAACTCAAGTTATTTGTTCAATGGAAGTGCAATATAATATGTGTACAGACATGTATGAATAAGCCTTTGCTCTTGAAAGTGTTTGAGTTATCTAATACAACATAATGAATTCTTATAAATTATACATTCTCCAATTCTTATGAAATGAGCATAGTTATTGTTAGAAAGCTAATAGTTATTGTTAGAAAGCTAATATTATTTATGTTTTCTCCAATCATGTTACAGAAGTGATTTTTTTTAAGCATGTATGTAACTTGATGACTTGTGTTCTAATTTATTCATTATCATAACTCTCAGATGAATCTTTATGACAGAGACTGGCATGATTTTAAGCTAAATGGTGTGTCTCATTTTTGCTTTAACGTACTGTATCCTGTACGATTAGTTTGAACATAATTACGACAAAATGGTTGAAAAAAGAGGAAGGGGGGGGGGGGGGGGTAATAGAAACCTTTCTTAGCAAACCCTTTGGCATTATATAGATAAATTTATCTTTATATTTTCATGATATTTGATTTCATGTTACTTGCAATTAGGATTTAATATTCTGTATTCTAGATTAGAATGAGGATCAAAGGTCAAGTCAAAAAAAAAAAGATGTGACAATAGGACGCACATTGGCAGTGTAATTTACATAATGACATGCAGTCCCTTGAGAGGTTCATTAGGGAGTATGAGATATATTAAATTTCCTTAAGCATTTTATGCATAAGTATGCAGTATTTTCCTGGCTAGTCTAGAAGATCCTGTGATAAATGTGTTAAGTGAACAAAGTCTTCAAAGGTATTTTTATTTAAACCATTACTTCTACATGTATTTATACATCAGTATTTTGTGTCTCATTACTCAAGTATTTGCATACACAGTAAGTTTATGATGTTATTTTAATGCACCAATATTCTGGTCTATGTTGTATGTTCCCAGAGCACCTGGAATGGTACATACAGTTTTATCTGTACTGCTATGTACCAAAATGTTTGAATAGTTTTTTTGTCACATGCACCTGGAATTGAACACATTCAATTTCATGTATACTGCTATGTACCGATGTGTTGGAACTGTATTCTTGTCCAGTGTAAACTCCAGGGTGACATGAGTTCTTGTGGATTTGATAGGTATCCTTTGGTTTGCTGTGCAATAAATGTAGAGTTCCCCCCGGACCAGAATTCTGTGTGATATCTATATGACAATCCACTTGACTCATTATACCTGTGGTACCTGTAAATCTAGATCACTGCACCAGTGTTTTTCATTTAATCAGCATCACAATCATAATCCATTCTTTTTTGACCTTCATTTCGTCTTGGTTATTTGTATTTGAAAATAAATCTGCATTCTCTGTGAAATAAATCATTTTGTATTTTAACAATCTACACATTCCTCTTGTTTTTGCAACGAAAATTGGATTCTAGTATAGACTATTAGCTGCATTATTTTTTTGGAAGACCAAGTTAAAAGTGGAAGTACAAATAATGATTATTTCTCTGTCAGGATTTTTTTTTTTGGGGGGGGGGGGGGGGGGGGGCAGTGTTTATAATATTGTACTTCATAAAAGATAATTATTTTTCCATTATGTAAGATTTATTACTTGATGCATGCTTTATCTTTTTGGTTTCATTGTTATATAAGTGTATATGTTTACATGTTTTCTGGTATAGTGAAACATATGTATTTTTAAAATTTGTTATTGCAAGGTAACATATATTAGAAATGAATTGAAAATTATGTGAAAGAATGAATATAGTAATCAATTTAACCTTTGATCTTTATTAAATGCAAAACAATTTTAGGGAAAGAAAATTAATTTTTTTTAATGTCGGAAGAAATATTAGTGTTTTATTTTAAAAGTAGGTGTTAGAGACTACAGATGATGTATTTGGAAGGAATAAAATGGCTTGTAGGTTTTACTAGAATAATCTGTTTAATGGTATATGTACTCTGTGTTTCAAAACTTTGTTTTCCTGTTATCTTTTACAATCTAATTTGCCCAAGTTATTGTTAATGCTTGTGAAATTAGAAATCCAACAATAACTGCATGACAAATTAATACTCATCTTGTTATTTTTTTAACCATTTTTGTAAAATAATTGTTTCTTAATTTATGCCGTCATATTTTACATGGTACATGTATTGGTGGAGATGGATGGGGGGTAAAGAATATCGTTTAAATATGGAACACCTTTTAGCATACTCTTTGTTTAAAAAATAACTGGAAAAAGACATGTGTATGTATGTTGGTTGAAATTAAATTCTAAAAAAAAAAGAAAAATTAAAGACAAAAATAGAAATTATGAAATATCCATTTTGAAAATTAAGTATCATGTATCTATGCAAGTCATAATTTTTTGTTGAAATTTTGCATGTAATATGTATTAATCAAGTGAATAAAAGATTTAAAAAACGTGCATTCTTTTATTTTATGTCTCGTGGGTCGTAACAAAAATAGCATGATTTCCTAAGGGCCTTATCTGGATTTGAAAAATTCAGATAATTTTTTTTAAAATTAAAACTATTCAATTTAAGTGGATATTGATCAACTGGACTCGTAATGTCTAAATACTTGGCTACTTTAAAAATAACTTAATTTTCTGAGTTGCAAGTCTTGCATTTTATGTTGTCATGAATTGTGACTGACATCATTCTCATTTTATGAACCCAACCTCTTGAATCCAAAAGATATAAAAACTGTAAACTAAGATTTATTATAAAAGTTTTATTATGGATAGAGGAATTTTCTAATGATGAAATTTTTTTCAACTTGTTCAATTGCCCCAGTTCTCTATAAAATTCAAGAAAACCTTCTATTTCACAAAGTCTGTTCTCTGATATGAGTTCTTATAGAAGAAATTTTTTTTATAGGCTGCATGAAATCATGAAGTAATTCTTCCTGTATTTCAATGTTTGAAAGAGAATATAATAAATATTCTGGATATTTTATGCACAAAGTAAACTTAGCTCTTATATTCTCTACTTTCCTGCATACTGTTGAATAAATACCAACCCAAGCAATATTGTGTGATTACTTTTGTATGCAGGAGGGAGAGAGCTTATTTTCTGATTAAAAAATGATAGGATTAGGCTGGGTTTATGGTTATTCTGAGCTGAATAGTCTAAGTACGTGCATGTACTTCAGAACTCGATGCCTTATAAATGTTTAAAACCATGCATTATGGATCGTAAGAGGATGAACATGAAAAAATTTAATTCATTAAAAGACTTTGCACTATTATTTACAATAAGCACTAGTAATACCCGAATGTTCTGATGTGTGACATTTGATTTTGGGGAATGTACTTTATATAAAGGTCATGCAAACATTGATTAGGTTGACATTGATCTGATTTTACTTAGTTCTATAGAGCTTACTATTAGTCAACTAGTGCAGCTCTAATCAATCTGTGATGATTATTTCTGTTAAATTTTCTTAAGTGTGGCTTTGAAACATCTTTAGAAATTTGAATGAGCTGATACTTCAATAGAAATCAAGAGCTAGGTTACACATGTATACCAATATATAGATTATAATTATTCAATATAATTGTACATGAGCCTGTTTTGTGATTGAATAATAATTATTGTCATAGACAGATACTGTAATGTAAGACCAAGTCTCAAGCTCTAATGCTTCAATTTTATTTACTGGTAAAGTAAAGGTACAGAATTATTTGAATGCTGAAGACCAGTTGTGGAACATTATGGAACAAAAATTCTGTAGTCCAGTGCATTCAATTGGATTTCTCTTCCTGACAAAATGAATATATTTTAACCCAGAAGCTACTGCAAGTTTGAACAATTTTAATCTACAGCAAATTGATTGAAACAAGTTAATTGTAAAAATGTAAACCTATCAACTCGACTTTTAACCCCCTCTCCCTTCCTCCCCACCTTAATACAATCAAGATTTTAAAACTTTTGAATCCTCTTTAAAAGAATTAATTTAAATTTGCATATCTTGTTAATTTTCAATATTTTCCTTCACAATACATAAAACTTCGACCTTAATAGTGTTCCCATCCTATGTTTTTGGGAAAAATAAATATACATCACTTTTTCGATTCGATGTTTTCCTATTAATTAAACTAATTGAAGCATAGCTGCTGTTGAGATATCCCTGCGAAAAATGTTCCTGTACTGTGGATTCACGGGCGAGAAGTAGTTTTATAGTATCTGATTGTGGTCCAGCCATTCCTGAGAAGATTTTAAAGATTCTTCTGGCACACACAACTTTGAACCCCTATTATATATGTAGCCCCACCCTAGTCCAGGTAATAAACCTAAATCATGTGTGCATATAGCCCCCCCCCCCCCCCCCCCCCCCCCCCCCCCGGGAATTTGAAGAGTTATTTTAAAAAAGTATATACTGAAGCAAATAAAAAATGACTTTTGGACCCCCATAGAAAACAGGGACCCCATCATCACCACCACCACGAAATAGGTGTTTTTAATGTTTTGGAAACAGATTTTACGTTTTCTGGGTTTAATATGTTTGGGAAGGGAATTTAGGTTTGTTTTTTTTTTTTAATTAATATCTTTTTTTTTTTGTCAAGAAAATTTTTTTTGACTGGTGTGGACCCCCCACCCCACGGAAAAATTCCTGGGTCCGCACCTGTAAATCGTAAATCACAACATAGGGATGCATTCACTTTACTCTTGATTTAGTCTGCTGCTATTGAGAACAAGATGTATTTGTCAAACACTATATGTCCCCCGTATGGCAGCTCATAAGGTTAGTTTTTGAAATATAGGTCATACTCCAAGGTCAAAAATATTGGTACCCAAAGAAAGGTCGTTACAATGAATATGTGAAACAGGAAAGCCCTAGCACAAACTGATCAAGTTATAGCGAAGGTAAAAGTTTTTTTTTTTTTCAAAATTTGGTCAAACTCTAAGGTAAAAATTGCTGGCACCCAAAGAAAGGTTTTGTCACAAGGAATACACATGTGAAATGTCAAAGCCCTAGCACCATTCAATACTTATGGCCAAGGTTATATATTCACAAAAGTTTTTCAAAAGTACGTCCAACTTAATGGTCAACAGTTCAAATTTGTTGACACACAAAAAGGTCTTTCACAAGGAATAAACATGTGAAATATGAAAAGCCCTATTGCACCAACCATTCAAAAGTTATGGCCAAGCTTAAAACTTTTGCCAACGAACAAGCTGATGGACAGACCAAAAACTATATGCGGACTAACAGAGAAAGATCAAAAACTGTATGCCATGGAATCTTTGATAACAGGGGCATAAATATTATAATAAAACAAGATGAGTTTGTGAAACACTGATGCCCCCGTATAATAGCCCATTGCCAAGGTTAAAGTTTCTCAAATGCAAGTCAAACTCCAAGGTCAAGGTCAAGAGGCCAAAAATGTAACATTGTTGGTACACAAATTTCTGCAGACAAAGAGACAGATGGACAGACCAAAAATTATATACCCCCGAATATTCAATTATGGGGGCATAAAATTTTTTTTACTAAATACTCCAGATCTCCTCCAAATGTAACTGACCATAACTGGAGAAGCTTAAGGCTGGAGCAGGAATCAAACCTTGGACCCCTGCATTCCTAGTCAGGTCTCTAACCACTGAACTATCATGAAAAACCCAAACCACTACACATGCAAGTACCAGCATATCTGGCATGAATACATACAGATCCCTGTTTTTACAATGTTTTTACCTCCTGCTGACTCTACTAGTACTCTGTTTCAGGGTAAATCATAAATTATATAGTGAATTATTCATTTTTTATTATAAATTTGTTCAATGTTATTGAAAGCATTTGTATACAAAGGGTTATATTGGATCACTTCCACAAAGTAGTCACTTCACATTCACTCAGGATTTTATAAGTACATTCTGCAGCTCCTAATGTCCGACTGAACAATAAATAACATTGACAGAGGGCAGTGTATTAGAATTCATCCTTAAAAAAGTTATAATTGATTGTCCTTTTAATCTTTATCCTGCACAGTTGACCTGAAAAAAAAAAAAAAACAATACAGTTAGATGTCTTTGCCAGAGTAATAATTGTTATGGTTGAATATATATCATGCATCTACAGTAAATCACTTTTTATTCTCAAGAACTTTATTTTCAAGCAATTATGCAAGACTGTCTGCTCACAGAAATTTCATTTTCATAATCTTTTAAAAGACTATGTACAACATAAAACAATATTCGCAAAAAATTTTGTCTCCCTTATTATATTGTCTCCTTTATATTATACATAATAATTTCATGAAAATGAAGTGTTGTAAAAATTTTGTGATCTACAGTATTCAAATCCACTAAGGAAAACCATTCGAACTAATAACCATATGCTGTCTTTGGATGAATCTGTCTTAGTGAATAAGATGCACATTTTCTGATGTGTATACTAATGTATATACTTACAATATCATCAATTTTCATAATGCTTTTAACAGTCTCTGTTGCTAGATGAATAGCACTAGTGCTAACCAATAAAGGCTGAACAACATTCTCCTCTAAAATGTTAGTGATGGCTCCCTGAAAATGAAAATTATACCTAAATTTTACAACAACTCATAAATAAGTTTATATTGGTATCTACTTGGCATAGACATTGGTCTACAGAAATTACAAGTTTGAGAGAAAAATGCAGATGTTCAGACAGGCATTAATTATACCCTTACATAAAATCTTGTTCAATATCAGACTGAACCAAAGTTACAAAGATAAGAAGTGTACATTCCATATGTACAATATATTCTATTTTTACCCTCTGATAAGAGAGATTACTCTTGCTGAGATGAATGACTGACTCATCCCTTTAGGCCAAAAAAATTAATCAATAGTTTCTCAGGCATCGAAGCATCAGGTCAAACACTGCCGCATTGAACAATTTTATTGACATATTGAAAAGGGAAATCTCAATTTTCTATTTTTCTAAGTTGAAAAAGAAAATCGAGTTATTCCCCTTTTCATAGATGCTAATAAATACACGCTTTTATTAGATAAACATTAAATTTCTTGTTAATACAGTATTTTATTAATTAACTTTGTTTGGAATAAAATTATTCAAAGCTGAAGTGAAGTAAGCATCAGTTGATATCATCATTTTGTTGAATGACTGACATGAAAAAAAAGGTACAACACCTGCTTCCAAAAAAAAAAAAAAACCTGCCTGCTGCATTGAATTTTGAAATTTTTGGCCTGAGAAACTATTAATTAATTAATTTTTTATGGCCTTAGTAAATTGTCAAGTTCAAGGGAAGTCAAATTTCACCAAAAGGTATGGTGAATTGAAATTTTTTCATATTTTAAGAGGTTTTATTGCAACTATGTTGAGTAACTTCCCATCAGTGAGCTTTTTTCTTTGGGAGTTTGATATAGTCCAAATCTTGTGAGATTTGCCAAATAAGTTAACTTGCAAAACCCCAATATTTTTTCTGGAAAAGCCCTTAAAGACAGGGCTCAACATTAACTAAAATATCCACTTGTCCATCGGACAAGTTGCCAACAAATTTTACTTCTTCAAAGTCATTGTTTACTTGTCCAACTCAAATGCATAGAAATTTTGGGGGAAAATTCAAGAATGAAGTAGTTATACACATGTAAATAATACTGACTTGCAAAGATTTGTTTAATTATGAAACAAATATTATAAAAGACATAAAATACAGAAACACGGTCTGTAAACTCGTCTTTAACAATATCCAGTGAGGTGTGACGTTTGCGTTTCGTTATAGAATGAATTAAGGTGGGATTTTGTTTTCATATTTATAATATTCCGTAAGGGTAAAAATAAGAATTTGTGTGATTGGACAAGTGTGTCTGGAGATTGACTTGTCCGACCACAAATTGAACTCCATGGACAGGGACAATTGGACAAACGTTAATGCTGAGCCCTGCTTAGAGTCATCATATTCACAGATTAGGAGTTTTTTGCTCAATGCTTGCTCTGTACAATGGTCTTGACATTTTTGTTCAATTTATGTGGGGTATGTTAAATAACATTAAGCTTTCAACTTGCATATATTATTGTTTCATGATTAACAATTAATTAATCACAGTCAAAAGATCATCAATTTTTTGTTGAAAATTTTCAAATAAATTGCATCACCTCCATCTTTTCATAGCAATCATCTAGTAATTTTGACGCCAATTTTCAATTGCTAATCTTTGCTACTTTATTAAAAGGAATAAATTACAATTTCAAACCCAGGAAAAACAGGAGAAGTACATGTACCTAGAGCTTTCTCTGAACCTACCTTTCTAACATTGATACCAGCAGTTCTCTCCCCTTCAGCGTGTTTATTTCTCAGTTCGGTGACTGTGGCTATGGGATTCAGACCAGCATTTTCTGCCAGAGTAATGGGAATGACTTCCAAAGCCTCAGCAAAAGCTCTGAAGCAATACTGCTCCATTCCTGTCAAAGTGTTGGCATAGTCATTTAACCTCAGAGAGAGTTCTATTTCAGGAGCTCCTCCACCAGCTATTAATGCCCTGCACACAAAAATGACAAATATTTTCACAACAAAAATCAGGGAATGCAGTATTCAATACTAATTTCATTGATTATCTTGATAATTTAAGGAAATTCTGTGCATGTAAAGTATGTGTTCTTGTAAGAGCATATTCAAAATTTATTTAGCCCTTCTGTAGAAAATAGACTAGATAGCACAAGCATGGTTCAGTGCTGAAGGTGTTATCATTCATCAAAATCACAAAAATTCAGATTAATGCAATACAGATTGTCTTAAAACATCAATAAATAATCTAATGTAAAGTTCAATACACAAGCACATGTAAACTAAATGCTGAATTCCAACAACCTGGCTAGGTCTGGTTTTAACCCTACCTTTTCTTGACCAGACATCTGATGACACACAAAGCATCATGGATGGACCTGTCCGCCTCCTCCAGCACTAGTTTGTTGGACCCTCGTATTAATACTGTCACTGTCTTTCCAGGATTTGCTATTCCAGTTATCTGTTTTTTAAAAGACAAATGGTTTTTACTTGAGCTACAAAATTAATGTAAATGTATAACATTTGGCAGTGTATTTTTTTTAGCGCTTTTGGAGGAAAGCAACTTTCTCTAATTAAAGTACAACACTAAGTATCTTGCACATATACTTAACAGAACAATAAGAATTGCGCTAAATCAAATTTGTGCTAAATTTTTCAAAAAAACTTTTCCGGCATATATCGTACATGCTAAATATAATACATTTACAGTACTTAAGCTACAGGGAACAACTATCAACAAAACAATAATGTATTTCAAGATTGTACATAATTGTATATCATATACAGAGAAACTTGTCTAATCCGGAGGTTGTATATTCTGAAATTTTGTCTAATACGACGTAAAATTCAAGTCCCTTTCAATTAAATTTGATTGTTTAAAATGTTGTCTAATCTTGAATGTTGTTTAATCTGGCCAATTTCTTTGGAACCAGTGATGTCTGGATAGGACAATTTTTTTCTATATTTGACAATGAAGTTGTGTTTTAAGACTATCCTGTGTATATATTTAACAACCAAGTTCATTTTGTTTGATCAACTGGCTGAAAAATTACAAAGCTTATCTTTTATCCCTGGGGTATTAAGTAAAGACTTACTTTGACAATTTTACTTGAACCAGTCTGAACTTCTTCTACAAGGTCAGCACTTCCAAGATTCTCTGGTAAGAAGTGATCTAAGCTAGCAACAGGTCTGCATCCTATGCTCTGAAATATGACATGAAAATCCAATCACTACTTTTGGCAGAAATGAGAATTAAGAATACACAATTAATATTATCTTGAACATTTTTTTTTTATTGTACATGACACACATGTATTAGTTAATACTCAATTCTGACATACAACATGTATAATCCTACCTTACAGATGAATTCAATATCTTCCCTTTCTATATCCTTAACAACCATAATTTTCATTTTTGCCAGAAAATGAAGAGCCAAGTCACTAACAGCATCTCTGTAAGAAAACATGAATATCATCTGACTAAATCATCTCAAAGCAGGTTTCTCCATAACAAATTGTAGACAAAAATTACAATTTTCATCACTTAAATCAATGCTTAACCCTTATCATGCTTATCGCGGCAAATGCCGCGATCGGCAACTTTACGTGTCAGTGCTGATCGCGGCATAAGTCGTTTTTTGGATATCAGAATTTCCCATTCCTATTTTAAGAATAAAAAATCCTTGTACAAACTAATTTTTGTTGGTATTTCGTCATATCCGATTTACAAACTGAAACACTGTTTGTAAACCCTGATTTCATTGGTTGAAAGTACATAAGCTCATCAAAAAGACGCAGGTTGTGTTCCTTGTTTACCTCAGTTACAAACATGGTGGGAGGTATCGACACTGACGATGTATTCCTAAACAACACCGAAATAGCTGCATTTATTTTAAATTATCTCGATTATTTGATTAAGAAATTGATTGTGATGGATTTCAATATATTGGTTTTATTAATATCAATGAATTTTTACCGGAGATATAGATGTATTCGTTTGATACAGTTGTCGTTACGTAGAAGACGATAACTGGGACGTCGCTGACGTGCCTCCGAAATAAGACCAAGTAATTCAGTTCTTTGTTCCTGTTTAGTGTATTTTTTACAATTATTCAGTCTGATGAAATAAATAAACAGAGTTCCCTGAAAATTTTCTATAGTTTATAGGTTAATGAGGTTTACCTGACATACCTGTCTCACCTGAGCGTACCTGTATCACAGTATGAATACGTCTAGTAAATGGCGATGGAATATCATCGCATCAAAATTGTCATTAATTAAAAAGTCATATTTCTTTTGAAAGAACGAAATTTTACTATAGTTTTGTGTAGAATGCACTTGCATTACCTTTTCTCACCTGTAACTTACGCAGGTGGGTTTCTAGAATGAATCTGATGTTGGAGTGAAATTGGTGCCGATTTCAACAGTAAAAATTATATAAGGATTATGGATGTATCTTAAAAAATAAAAATTCTCCTGTAATTTAAAGATACCAATATTTTAAAAATGATTTAATTGTTTTATACAGCACCCTGTTATATTGATATACAAATATTATAAAGCATGATAAGGGTTAACTAAAATATACATGTGTACAATACCTTAGAACTGATTTCTGTATAAGCAGTACATTGCAGCCTGCCTTTTTAATCTTTTTAATAATATCCAGAATGTATTGCCTCTCTTCCCTTAGAACACGGTCCATTTGTGCATAGTCTGACACAATGACAGAATTGTCCATCTGAAAAACGGTAATTGTCTCTTGCAAAATTCACAACTTGGTAAAATGTATGTATTTACCCATGGAAAAAAAGAAAGTTTTAGTTTCATATCAAAACGCTGAAGTTATAAATTCATAGAACCTTTAAGTAGCTATGAATCAATACAAAATTAAGATGCCTGCATTTTTTCTTTGAATCAAAATCCCTTACTCATGAAATATACATTATCTTAAGGGTTAACAACAATTAATAGGTTTTATATTTCTTCATCAGGAATTCTTTAAAATAAGTGACTCTATTAGTTTAAGGTTACAACAGATATAAATCACATACATCAGTTTTTGGAGGAGAGATACAGAACTGTATGAGCCCAATCTTGGCCTTCTCCACTTTGTTTGGACCTCCCTGTCCCCCTCCTTTTTGGTTGAATACCAAACCATCAATGAGTTCTGTGTCTTCAATGGTCCCACTATCAAATAAGACATTCATACTATGTGAAACAAAGACAGTTGTCCTCTGCATATGAAAATCAATGCCTAGAGCAAGATTCACACTTACGGATAATAAAATTTCTAAATTAATTTCTTATCATATAGTTTTTTACTATGTCCTTCCAATCTAACCATAATCTCTCCAAAATCCATTTACTCTTCCTTATTTTGCTCCTTACCCTAGTCGTTTAACAATTTTGATGTCTCTGAGATCCACATTAGTAGCAGTGGCAGGATCTATCACTCTCATCACAGCATCCACAGCTAATGGTGACAGAAGACTCGAGTACTGTGAAACCACCTACCAAAATAAACCAAACATTATCACTAATCTGCTTACACACCTATACAGTAAAGTCGGAACTTTCATTTGACTTTACAAGTAACCGTCAAGGGTTCAATATTCACGGATTGCACTAAAATATGCAACCTCAAGGAATAATTATAGTTTCTTTCACTGCCAAATATCTGAAAAATTATGTTCGTGAAGCTACAGTAGTTAATGAAAATTGGTTCCCCTAATTTAAAATTATTCCACAGAAAATTGATCCCCCCTAAATTAAACTTATTCCACAGAATATTTGATAAATTTTGGTTCCGTACCTTTTAAAACATTGGGAGATGTATTCAATCAAATCCAGTTTAACATATTTTACTAAAACCAATCCCTCTGAGTAACATTGGGTAACAGATTGTCGGTTACCTTGGAATTCAGAGAGGTTGAAGCACTCTTTAACAGTGAATCTCTGTCAGACAGCTCTAATGGTGTACTAATTTCTCCCAGAATCTCCAGGGATTTCTCTGCAGCATTTTGGAATGACTCGGAAATGCTTGTTGGGTGAATACCTATTCAAAGTATAAATCAAAACTTTAATAACATGGATTACTCATCGAACAGATCTATGGAAAATACTATAGCTTTCTCACTAAAAATTTACTTTCATGATTTTAGCCTAGCTTTTCCAGTCTATGCAAAAGTCACCGGACCGTCGCTTTTTACCGGTAAAATTTGGTTCGGATCGGTTAAAAATTCAGGATACAGGACCAAATGTCCGATGAAAAAATAAGGCCTAAAAATCTGAATTTACATGTTCATATGGTCTTATTTTTCACACATATCCTTTATTCGATCCATTCAGCAGTAATGCATGATTAATTTAAATTTATATCAACTGTCATGATCGGTTATTTCTAATTCGAATTTCCTCTGTCATGGAATATAGATCTATAGATAGCTCATACGTAGATTCGGTTGGGTAGATTATTTTCATTATTAAACAAGAGTAACTATTATGAGTTACTTCAGGAAATAAATTATATTTTGAGGTGCATTTTAAGTTTTAGAAAAAAATCTTTGACACTGTATATTTCGTTTATGTGTCAAATAACCAGAAAAAGAGAAAATTGTATGCATTTGTCATATGTACTACCTTTTAAAAAAAACAATTATAAGTTTGTTCATTTCAATAAAATCATTTTTTTTTTTAAATAATCTGAACTCTGGATCTATTCAAGGTTCAATTTAACAGGGAGAATACCCCCCCCCCCCCTTTTTCAATCTCTGAATCATAATGATGTATGAATTTAAAGAAAAAGGTCGGTCTGGTAAGTAAATGCTTGGTCTGGTAAAATATATATTTTTACCAGACTGTATGTCCTGTAAATTTTTTTAGACTTTCGCATAGACTGCTTTTCCAAGAAAAACTTACCGATAATCAGTCTCAAAACTGTCTCCAATAGTGTTTCAAATAAGTCCCTTATTTTAAAAACTATGTTGTAATACTTAGATTTTTGCAAAATTATTTTTAGTCATAATGCTCATTCTGGACAACTGACCTTTGGCCAACAGCTTGGCACAGGCCTCTAGGAGACTTCCAGCAATGACCACAACAGATGTGGTTCCATCCCCAGCCTCAACATCTTGTGCATGAGACAGCTCCACCAGCTAATAAACCAATCAAAAGAAAAACTTCCAAAAATAAATCATTAATACATGGAGAATAACCAACATAAATTGCTACTGAATAAAGTGTAACTTTATAATATATTCCACATACTGTTTTCATACATACATACATATATATATATATATATATATATATATATATATATATATATATATATATATATATATATATATATATATATGTTTCAACATTTTTGTGGGGTTTTTTTTGGTTTGTTTTTTTGTTTGTTTGTTTTTTTTTTTTTTACCATTTTTGCTGCAGGGTGTAAAACTTGCATCTGCTTCAATATAGTTGCACCATCATTTGTAATTGTCACATCTCCATTGGCAGCCTGGATCTGTAAAATCAAAAGGTTTACTTTATCGAATACTGCATATATGCAGTTTGAAAACTTTAAGGTATAATACTTCTTTCCATTTTCCTAGAAGTTAAACCATTGTTTTACCATTTTATCCATGCCACGTGGCCCCAAGCTCGTCCTCACAGCTTCTGCCACCGCTAAAAAAGGTAAGAAGATTTTATCAATTTGTTATATACATGTACTATAATGTTAGTTTGTATATGTGTAACAATGCAATATCTTTGGAAGTCTCAATAAAAATATATCCATGAAATAATCTTTTATTAAGCAGTTATGTTCTGTGTAATGGTGATTAAGTGGATTGGCCTGGTAGTTCATTGATCGAGTACCCGCACAGTTAGCGGGAGGTCCCAGGTTCAAGTCCCAGTCACTGTCTGAATGCCACTTTTCCCCGCCTAGCCATTAAATTTTGGACCCAACAACAAACCCACGGGTGGTTTAAAAGTCTCTATAAGGTTTTCAGAGTGGATAACTTAAAAAGGGGGGAAGAAGTAATTTTATATATATGATTCCATAAGCAACTAGTAATATTATCCAATTATTTTTCTATGTTTAAACTTAAATCCTTCCAATGTAGTTGACCCTATAGAAATTTGAAGGTAATTGATGGTGAAAATGGATCTGATCTCTTGATGCTGATGATCAACAGTCATTCAAATATTGTGAGGTAACCAGAAAGTTATATTTTTAAACTTTAAAAGATAGAGTGCAACTGATGACAAGTGCATAAAAATCAAGGTAATGAAAGAAAATTGCAAGGGGGGGGGGGGGGGGAATGGTGTAGGGTAAACAGTGGTCACCTTCTCGAAAGTTCAAATATTTTTTTAAGCTTTAATGACGTAAGGTACTGGTAAATGATTTATTCATGACAATAAAGGACAACAGTCTGCCTTTCAACTGAAAAAAACCTTTTTCCTGGATGTTATCGAGTTTATGAATAAAAATTGAACTCTCAAGTTTGAACGTCAATTGAAGGGAGTCACCGAGGAATTAATGACGTCCCTTCTCCCCTGTTACACCATGTATACAAGTTTTGCTAACATTGTCTCAAGACCCTGTGTTTAAATCTGTATGACATGACAGCACACGTTACTTTCTAGAATGATCTTGTTACTCAGCTGATTGGAACATAAACAAACGTTGTATTCCTGTTAAACACCTTGTAAAATTATCAAATACTATATATTGTAAACAGGAAAATCCCTTTTAAACTGTTCTGAGTTTCAAAGGGTAAAAAACAAACCTTTAGCAGCATTAATGTTACTAAATCGTATCTGAGTAGGTTTCTCTTTATCCTGATACTCAGATTTTTTTCCACCAGTGTTTCCAGTACTTTTAGCACCAGACTTCTGCTTTGGAGCAGCCGGCATGTTTACTTCCCGAATTTACACACAGATAAGTTCCTTTCTGTTTCAATTTGCAGGATGATGGTCGATTGTTTTGGTCAAGTTTCACGTTGTTTACCCTGTGTTTCCAAATATGTCTGCAAAACTCTCGAGAAGATAACGGGATATACGAGATTTCATTTCCGATTTGATTAAATCGAAATAATCACAACAAAAATCCTATCAAATATTTTCTTTTATCATTTGCAATGTGATCATTGTATAGCTTTTATTTTAATTCTATTTTGGTGTATTTATTTTTAATATTTTTTTATACCGGAATAAATTCAGTACCGCTTTTGTGTCATATAAAATTCTGAAACGAGACTTGGCGCGGTTTTCGTGGTTGTACTGCACTGTTTAGCTTAGTAAATCAAGGAATGATTATTAAAAAGCTACAGAACCGTGGGCTTGGTGAGTATTTTGTTTCAGATTGATGCAAAACAGATTGCAAAGTAATTATATTTTGATACAATGAAAGCAAAACTTTTCATAGAAGTTATACGTAGCATAGAACTTTGCTAAAACGGGAGAATATCCTTGTTCAGGTTGGGTCAATCGCCCAAATCGGATATAATAGCCCTTTTGGGGTATAATATCCCAAATGGGATATAAATTTACAGTACAAAAAAAATATTTTTTTTAATTTGGCTATATCATAAATCCGCATCAAGATACTTATGTAACAGGAGAGGAGAAAATGTATGGCTGGACCGGGAAAGAAAGAATTCTGTCACAGTCTGGACTCTGTCCCATCAGGGACCTATATACCTGATAGGTCCCTGGTCCCATGCGGATTGAAGTTTGGATAGGTGGATCAAAGTGACAAGTGTATGCTGTGTAAAAGTTTTTTAATGTTGCAACTGCCCTAGATAGAACGTTCTATCGTTAAAATGATATTGTCCTACGGACTCGGTTTAACGATAGAATTTGTTCCATATATTGGCAATGTAGCAAAATAAACACAGGCGATTCCTCAAACTCCGTGCATTTACTATGATCAATTCAGAGAGTTCTGAATGTCAACATAGCGTTTAAATTTGAAGTGAGAAAAAACGTTGAGAAAATGAATTGAATTTTCGTCTTTATATGGATTATTTTATAGGTTAAAAGGCATATACAATCTCAAAATGGTCTGTTATGATTGATTTTGTAGTTATTTTCAATGCAACTCTTTTTGTATTCTTCAAAATCATTTCGGAGCGGATCCGCTCCTATTTGCTACGTTGCAAGTACATGGGACGTATTTGAACTGTGGTGAGGGCTTTTCCCGAGACACAGTTAGATAATTCTAACTACAACTGCCTTTGCCCCATAGTAAAACATATTTAATACACAAACAATAGATATTCAGGAGCATTTAAAGGTTTGGAAAAGTAGGTCAGTATTTTCATACCTGTCCACTCCTTAAAAGCATTGGGCCTCAGCCCCATTGGGGACTTGCCTTTGGCTCCATTACTTCAATTTAAGGAACGGAAAGGTATTCGAACATTAACCTATGCATAGTGTCCCAAATGAGAATTTACGGTACAGTTAGCTCCACCCTGTAAGACAAAGCCTAGAAAAGTATAGTTCTGAAGTGTAATTGGTATTGAATTTTTGTTTTTAGGATGTACACCTAAATTAGACTTGAGTAACATATTGGAATCATTTGAATGTTTACATACAGATGAATACCTGGGTGAAGACGATGGGGTAAGGTTTTTACTAGATTTTTTTGTATCTTATCATGTATATGTGGTAAATAACTATAGCCTCATTGGACAGGGCTCTCACACCACTTTTTGGGACTGGGGCCAGGACCGTTCAAAGTGGGAAAATATTTGTCATTTAGGGGAAAACTGGGAAATCTGGTTCCTTATCAAAGCCGGACCAGTTTACGGATATAGGTGCATGCACTAATTTATACAGTCCAATGCAGAACTAGTTTGTTTCACTTTCACTTTTCAGCCATTAAGTTTCATAAATTAAGATTTAAAAAAAAAAATTTGCTATAAAAAATTGCAAAATTTACACTTGGCTTCTGGGACAAAAGGTATCTTTTTTGCATTAGGAATGGGGCCATTCAACAGTCCCAATTATAAAGAATCGAGAGTTCTGTTCAATTTTGGGGGCTTAATTCTAGTTTAACAGTTGCAGATTGAGTTTTATGACTGACACACAATCAAAGCCCCAAAATATATATAATATATATAATATTTGCATTTAATATCTAAACAAATATTTTCATAAAAATGCTCAAAACAACCAATGCAAATTAATTAAATTCTCAGAAGAGATATGACATAACAGTTACATTAATATGTTAGGAGTAGAGTATACTAATTAATGATACTGTCTAGAAAGGAATGAGAGCAAAAAATGTACTTGGCGTGCAGAGACTAAAAATATGTGTTTTATATAGTATACAACTGTACATGCAACATACACCTGTACATGCAAAGATGGTTCAGAGACTTCTTAGGAACTGGTACTCAAGGGAATTAATCATGAGCAAATATGATAATAGTTCTTTGTGCAATCTTGTATCTACATATTAAGAAATATCCTTTTTGTGTTTGTTTGAGTTGTACAGTCTTCTTGTGTTTTTTGATGGGGAGTTGCCTAGCGTATGTCAATCTTCAAACTGAAGACATTCAAACAGACAGGAATTTCAATAGTACTGTTGATGATTGTACAGAAGCAAAGAAGTTCATAGTCTGTGTACTTCTTAAATGGAAATGATTGCAGAATTTTTTAACAAATGCATAACTTTTCAATCCTTTGTGTTCTACTTTTTTAGGCTTTGGTTCCCCCTCTTGCATGTGAGTTCTGTAAAGGTAGGTCTATAATATGTACAATAATGGAGCATTTAATATGTAAGTTAAAAAGGAAATCATTAATTGATTTAAGAATTTTCACTCTTTTTTCAAGGGTAATGAATGTATATATGTAGGACTCCAAAGTGCAATGGTCACGCCAAAGTCCGATTGGCTGCGCCAAACCCTGATGGTTTGACACGCCAAAGTTCTATGGTGCGGAAAAACAATTAGCGTTTGTGATGTCATAGTACTACTGCGCAAAAATGCATGGCTGGGCCATGCCAAGGGTTTTAAATAAATACAAATATTTTATTTAATGCAAGACTAACCTTCACCTTTTGGATAGGTGCGAGACTAATCCTAATCAGTCGAAAAATGTGTAACAACTATAACCTAAATATATTGGGTAGGTGCTGGACTAACCCATTTCAGTGGAATAATGTGCGAGAACTAACCCTAAATCTCTCAGGTGGGTTCGAAGTAACACATTATCAGTCCAATAGTGTTCAAGGACTAACCCTTATCAGACGAGTGGTGTGCGAGGACTAACTCATATCTCTGGTGGGTACAAGCACTAAGCAAAATCAGTAAATTATATGTGAGGACGAATACTGAATTATTGACTTTTGAATGCAGAACGATGGCGTCATGGATTGCTCTCAGACTATTGTAACGTCATAATTGTTGATGTTTCTCCGCACCATCGGACCTTGGCGTATCAGACCATCGCATTTTAGTGCAGTGCGTCTCATTGGAAACGAGCCATCGGACCTTGGGGGACTTTGGTGTCCGTAAAGACAGCAAGCCATTGGGGTTTGGCGCAGACCATCAGATTTTGGCATCACCATCGGACTTTGGAGTCGTACATATATATTCATCAGATCCAATTTTTAACTATTTTATATTCAAATACTTACTGAACAAAGAAGATAACATATGATGTTGTTGAGGTAAAGATCCTTACTACTAATTTACTGTATAGGGGATTAATTTCATGGGTTATAATTTTCACTTTTTTCTCTCCTTTGCTTGGTGAATTCGCGGAATCGGTATATAATTAAAGTTACCTCCCTTGTGTATATCCGTTTAATCCATAGCATAGCTAGAACAGCATTAATCAGCATTATGTATTCACTTCACGAACAACAGGGTAGGTTTATTTAAAATAGTTAGATTTAATAATTAATTGACGTTTAAATAAAACAAGTGCAATTATCAAAATTAAAAGTCCTTGACTATAAATGTTGAATGACTTTCCTATATGCTATTACGATGAGTGCACGTACACCCCAAGATCTTCTTTCTGAAGGGATAATACATTGCCGTGAAAAAAAAACCACTGGACGGTAAGAGATGTGTTAATGTAGATCGATGAAATAATATCCTTCCACATCTTCAGCAAGTTCAATAGTTATTTGTATGATTTTTTAAAAACCAAAATGTCGATAAAAACTAATACGCATCATAATGCAAGTAACAAATACATGTGGTAACATAGTTACGCACGGTAATCAAAACCCATGACCCACGTGTTTTGATTGATGAAACATGTAGTGTTGGATATTAAAACATCATTTTAACAAATACAGGTTATTATCTGCTGATTTGAATTAAAGTAAAGCATGATAATTAAAATGATTGAATGACAGGTACGACTCGTAATAACTGAAATGACCATGTACTGCAAGTATATATACCTATCGTATTCTATTCTCAATTTTCCACAATAGCATGGAGGTTATTGAAAACTTATTCACTGTTTCTTGAATTCACGAATTTATTAACACTGTGAATATAGCGAATACTAACACCCCGTATTATTTTCCCCCTAGACAGTACTTATATGTGGGGCAATGTTAAGCAATATCTTCAATTTTACAGTCAGACCTTGTTATTATGAATTCGATGGGACTAAGATTAAACAAAATTCAATTGTATTTTACAGTGAAATCAAGAGGACATATTCTGGCTGTAGTTGATGAAAATGGCTTCATTGTTATTTACAATACAAGGAAAACTGGGCAGACGGCCATTGTAGATGGTATGTGATTTTCTTTCTAATTGTTATAATTTTCAGAAATTTTTTGTATCATTTAGGTGAATAAATATAAAAAAGATATATTTTGCAAATATTTGTACATTTAGTTTAAGAACAAAGGTGACCATTTTATGTATAAAAAAAAATGTAGCTGTAAATGAGAAAGAAAATTTTAAGAAAATAGGGAAAATTCTAAAAGATTACAGATTTATGTGATATTCAGATTGGCAGGCTCATAATAATGCAGTGTTTGACATGACCTGGGTTGAAAATGAGGAGAAGATTCTGACGGCCTCCGGTGACCAGACAGTGGTATTATGGGATGTAGAGAAGCAGGAGAAAATCGACACATTCCGCGGCCACACTAGCTCTGTACGATCAGTTTGTGCACAGCTTGGAAGCAGTGGTAAGTAGAAATGGAAACTTGCTTGTTATTGTCTATTAAGGAAGGATGAATTGTGTGGACAGAATTTCTTTATTGCATAGTAGTCTTTGAATTCTTAATATTTCAACTAAAACTTTGCTCCAACCTACTTTGTAATGTCTTTTTCAAGGTACTACAGAGAGAAGAACATGATGATGTCTGAGTTATTCTATTGATGTTTGTGTCGTCAATATTTAGTTTATTTCTTGAATCTTTTTTACCTTGTGCTTTTATTTTTCGATTTGTTGCTTTCAGCTGTTTTTGCCACTGGTTCAAGAGATGGTCATATCATGATATGGGATGCGAGATGTAATAAAAAAGGTACTGTCTACCTTTTGTTAATTTCATTAACCAGCAACCTTTTACACTGTCAAAAGAATGCTATTTGCTTTCTCTAACTACTTGTCATTTACTAGAGCCACCAGTCAAATATTGGGACTTCTTGACTCAAGTTTGTACTAAATAATGTATATGTAGTTTGTAAGTTGTAAATACATGTGCATTCAGTTTTTGAACAACTTAATTTGAACTGTGGACAGTAACAGTCCAGGTTATGAAGAAGTGTTTTTCTTGGTACTTGTAGTTTTATTGTGTTGCTGGTATTATATAAAATGGACTCGTAGTTCTGTTTTATCTGATATCATGTAATGTACATATGCAAATTGTTTGTTGATAAAATTTCTGAAGGTCATATCTAGAGGTTTGTGTTCAATAGCTCATAAAATGTGGGGAATTCTAGAAAAAGGTGTTGAAACTAAGTGTCAAACACAAAAGAATCAGTTGCCCAGAAACAAAAGAACAATGAAGAATTAAAAAAAAAATGTTGCATAAAATGTATTAATGGGGAATAATAACATTCTTGAAAAACTGTTGGAATCTTATGGGGGGTTTTTTTATGAGGCCCCTATGATTTTTATTTCAGGAGCCCAGATGGTCCCCTCCCCCCCCCACCCCCCCAAAAAAAGAGAAAAAATTGCATTCCTATGACACTAAGAATGTGCATGTTTGCTTCCTATATTGATCTTATAGAATGCTGTACTTGGTATCAAATGGTTTTATAATGGATACTCTCTACCAGTACTTATTTTCAGACCAAGCACCAATCTGGTCTCATTTAACAGAAATGTTTTTCTTTAAATCTTTAGATGGCCATATTTCTCCTGTAAACATCATCAGAAATGCCCATTCAGTTTCCCTACAGTCTGGGTGCAAGTCTCGATATAAAAAGCTTGGACCATCCAGGGTATGTGAAAGTATACAGAAGTGCACCTCATACCATACTCATTAAAAGTCTATCTTAACTCTTATAAACACATTATCTTCCTTTGGTTGACATACACATGTATATCTAAAAAAAAAAATTCTGTCACCATTATAGGATAGCCAGTGTAAACTTTTTCAAACACATTGTCTTCCTTTGGTTGACATACACATGTATGTATAAATTTTTTGTCAATTTTAGGATAGCCAGATGTCTGTGACCGCAGTGCTTTTTCAGACAGACACAAATCTCTTCTCTGCTGGAACTGCAGATGGGTAGGTATAGAAAAGATTTTTTTAGAAAGTCCATTGGATGGACATGTTAAATATTATGATATTTAAGGTCTTGAAGATGCAGGGGTTGGAGTGAATGGAAAATATTCTGAATCCTAATGAATTTCTGATGACATTCAACAACTCTTTCTTTTTCCTTCTGGAATAGATATCTAAAATTTAAAAATTGTATTTTTGCTCTTTCCCCAATTGTTTTAAATTGAGGATAATTTACAATCAGCAAACATATTTTTGCAAATATAAAAAAAAATATTTTTTGATTTTATGAATTTCTTGTGTTGTTGTTTTACACCATCTTTTGAGCTGAATTTTAAGATTAATTTTGAATTCATGAATTTTTAGATGCATTAAGCAGTGGGATTTGAGGAAAAACTTTTCTATTTCAACCTCTGAGGCTTTGCCAAAGGGAACTCTAGCCTATCCAGGCCTCTCCAAGAGAAGTCATGGTAAGACGCCTTATTCTCCATTCATTGGATTGTAATAATATTGTTCAGTCATTATTTTTATTTTTTTTGGTACTTTTTTTCCCCTTTTTTAACAGAAGAGAATTTCGGTACATTTTTCATAGTGTCTGACCATCATTTTGACATTCCAATGTTTTTATTACAGGGTATTCCAATTTAGTGTTTGATTCAACTTCTAGTCAACTCTTTGCCAATTGCAGAGATGATGTCATCTATCAATATGATGTCATCAACTTAAATCCAAAACCAGGTATAGTGATCAAAATCTTAAAGCTTTGTCAGAGGAAATGCCCTCACCTGATTTATTATTGTGCATATATATGAAATGGCAAGTAACTGTTGGATAATCATTTTGACTTGCATGCTATGAGTATTCCTGTTCAACAATTGAATGGACATTTTTAAAATGTTCTGTAGCATTTTTAAGAAATCTGCAATTTACCGAGTTAAGTCCTTCTCTGAACCATAAGGCTCATATGCTTATACCCAGTTTCTGTGGTGCTAAGTTGATGAGAGTCATTGACTTCCAATGGATGGGACACCAGTTCATTACAGGCTAAACCCCCCCCCCCCCCCAAGCATAAGCTGTACCCATTTCAGCTGGATGGACTGAGACTGCACAGATAAAGTGCCTTGTTTATTGTCTAAGAACAAAGTACACATCAAGTGCCCACAGTGGGGCTTGAACCAGCGTTATTTTGGTTACTGTCCAAACACCTATGACCAATGAGCCTGTGCTCTACTATGCAATTTATGCAGAAGAAATATTGCTACACCAGAGCAAAGGTTGACGTTGGTCAATTGAAAGTTGACTTTATTAATGCAAGTGGGTGGACTTTAGAACATGGTTTTCATAAAGCAATGATATTTTTCAGTACACTGTTACAGAGGGCATCAGAATGGCTCCTTCTTCATCAAAGCCTGCCTTAGTCCAGATGACGAATATCTCCTCACAGGGTCCTCTGATGAAATGGCATATATCTATAAGGTGAACATTGAGTATTACTTACTTTTTGAAATTTAAGACATTTTTTGGTCAGAATTTTGTATAGGTGAGAAAATGTACAATTAAATTTAAATATAAATAAGTCACCTGTCAACTTATATTGGATCTTAGTTAAACATTGTTTCTATGTACTGGTATTTGTTTTATGTTACATATTTTACAAGTAGCCATGTGTTTTTCTATGGTCACCTGTCTGTCTGGTCTTCTTATGCATGTCCCATTGCAAATTGAGTAAAATTTGGATTTAATATTAAGCTTATGTATCTTATTTCCCATGGCTTAATAGTTTATGTTATTCAAAAATAGGCGTTGCCTTTGTGGTCATAAAATGTGTAGTGGTGGGTAAGGATGAGAGATGAAGTATCTGTAAATGTTAAGTATTGCATGTTCTTTATAGATTGGGAGTCCTAAGCAGAGTCCAATTGTTCTAAAAGGCCACAGATTGGAAGTGTCAGATGTTAAATGGTGTCCAACAGAATTCTCAAAGGTTGGAATAGCAAATCATATGTTATATTTACATCTTGTTTACTTTTGTTCTTAGAGAATATAAAATATTTGAACATAAATTGTCTTAAGAACCCTCTCTACACTGCACACTAAAGAGTTCTGATTCTATGGTATTTTTCTGCAGTTAGAGTGATCTGCCCTTAGATCTAAATTCAAAAAAAAAAGAAATTTACAGTATATTACTCAATTTGTAATCAATTCAAGTATTCTTAACATTTTAAAAGGGCTAGATAAATAAATTGAACATTTTATTCACATGTATTGTCTCTATGGAAGTAAACAGTAGTGATTTCTATTCACTGATACTGTGTTGTGTTTGAACATTCTTCCTGGGGGAAAATGCCACGTACCATATAGTGAAAATTAAATTGATAAGCTCAATATTAACACATTTATACAATATATTTTTCTCAATGTCCAAAAACCATTTTGCACTGGTGTAGAGAGGGTCCTTAACATTATATAGTACAGGTGACTCTCGATCTCTCGAAGTTCAAGGGACCGTAAGAAAAGTTTGAGAGATCGAGGGGTTCGAGAGATAGAAAGTGAATAAAATCGGAATTATCAGTTCCGATCATCATTGTTCTACTATTATAAATACCGGACATACATGTTGATAATGTCATTGCACATTTTCATTCGTATTTTACAGGTAATTCACTAGATTTCAACAACAATTATGTTGAATAAATAAAACGATCTCTTTAAGTTTCAATATTTATTTGTTCTCATTTCATGAAATTACATGAAAACTGAACAGCAATCGGGGGGTGTGGCACCCCACCCCACCCCCTCCCGGGGGGCTTGATCGGGTCCTTCACCAGATTTCTCGTATTAAATCGGTATTCAATTCTTGAGATAGGGCTTCTCGTGCAATGTTTGTCATACTGGGATTATGTAGACTCTAATAAAACTTCATAATCTATGGAAAATTATTGACGCGCCTCTTAAATTATTTTCTAAAAATTATTGTCTCGCTGTCTTTAAAGTCAAAATAAGTTGTAAAGCAATTCCTTTATAATTTACCAGTTATAACTAATTTTAAAACACTCGGATGCTCACAGGTATAGTGGCATCTATGTAAACACCCAATTAAAACCTCCATGCCAGCCCCAGGCGTTCACTGTTATCCAGGTAAGTCCAAGCTGCATTAATTTTACGCTTGATTGGAGTGTACACGCGCGCAATCAAAACTTCGAGAGATAGAGAGTAAAAAACAATGAAATGTGTGTAACGGGACCCAGGTCTTGGTTCGAGAGATAGAGAATTCGAGAGATTGGAAATTCGAGAGATCAGAAGTAAATTTGCTTAGTTATATAGTGGAAAAAAACGGGACCGGGGGTTCACTTCGAGAGATCGAGAACTTCGAGAGATCGGAGTTCGAGCCCTCGAGAGTCACCTGTATTTTTGCTACATTGTAGATAACCACACTCTCTGATGACAACACTATGAGGATTTGGCGCCTCCATCGTAGACCATGGCCTGCAGATCCTGGGGAAGTTACAGGAACTGCAGAAAGAACCCACAGGGAAATAGGTATATACTTACAGTGCAATAAACATTTGTTCCATTTTCAGTTATATATGTTCATTTTTCCTAGAGATCAAAGATGAGGAAACATAGTGGTTTTGGTCTTTGTCAAGTGTCCACACCTTTAGTCTGGGCCATGTACCGTATATACTCGTCTATAAGTTGGTTTTTTGGGAGTTAAACTTTGGTCCAAAACTCTTTATCCGACTTATACGCGAGTTATAAAAAGATTGGTATTTTAGCAGGTAAATCCTTTTAATTTAAAGCTTAAAAAATACAACCGACTTACATGCGGACTGGCTTATAGGCGAGTATATACAGTAATTGAATGTTTATCAGAGGAAGACTTGGGTTAAGGTTCCATATCAAATCATGGTCATTCATGGGGACAAAGATGAAATTTTAGGGTGTAGGATGGGGAATTGTTATCAACAGACCTTTTTTTGTTTTAATCAATTTGCAGCTGCACATAAAACTCATCTGAAGTGGTCCTTTTAGTACTTTTATGCCAACAGATATTGAACCTAAAGTAGACATGTTTATTTTAGCTAGATTTATTGAATAATACTATAGATTTTCTTAATATACGTAAGGAATAAATTATAGTTCTGCAACAAGCACCATTTGTGAAATACAGTGATTTTTATGGTGCTGAAATATGTGTAAAAACTCCTGATTAACAGTCCACTCATGAATTCATATTTTCATGATTTGGCGTCAACATGTTATTTCACATAAAGTACTTGCATAAAATAAGCAATCTACAATATTAATAAGGGGATGGAGTGTAAGTGAGCTCTGTGATCAAAGATAGCCATCCACCTTTGATAAATACATGTAATTCAGGGGTTGAAATTTTCCTGGAAATCCCACTAGCCCAGGGACTACTGATCAGTAAAAAAATTACTAGCCCCAACCTCAAACTAACTAGCCCAACAATTCTTTTTTTTATGCAAAGTGAAAATGTAAAAATTTAAAGTTTCAAATGCTTATGTGACAGAAACAAATTGAACTTTCTCAGTCAAAAGAAACCAGTCTACATAGAAAAAGAACGTAAACTGATGAGATTTTTTTTTTCCATTCAGCTAGCCCGATGGACTATAATTATATTTAAATTAGCTAGCCCGAGTCTTAAAATGACTAGCCCCGGGAGTCGGAATACCGTATATTTAAACCCCTGTAATTTTACACTTCTTAATTCTTCTCCAGTGCCAAACATGACACATTTCTGAAATGAAGTTATGTTGAATAAAATAAGAAAAAAACTTCTCAGAGAGAAAAAACTTTTCAGAGAGAAATATCTGTAAAATGAATGAATTAGTAAATGATATAACAGATTCTCCTTGCATTGTCCTTTTGATTCCATTTTCTGTTTTGCAGGTGTATCAGCTGATGATCTGGAACAGAGAATTGCAGAGAAGATGGACCAAACATTGATCTCAAATGTAAAAACACCTGTCACAAGTGATTCTGCTATCACCCCAATGATTTCACCCTCCATTAAAACTTGGCTATCTAGGAGTAATCGAAAGACACAAGCCAGTAAAACTCAAGGTCATAAAGCATCTGGTTTAAAGGACTCCGAAAAAGATGTGTTCAAGAATGGTGATGAAAACACTGAGCATAGTAAGAAGTCAATATTCCAAGGAAACCGACTACCATGCAAGAGAAAATTGATCGATGACGATGGTGAGGATAGCGGGTCATTTGAGAGATTCACTAAGAGGCAGAGATTACAAGACAGTCCTAGGAAAGTAACAGAGATTAGGAGCCCTAGAAAACTGGAAATCAAGCAGAGTCCTAGGAAGGCAGATCACGCACGGCAAGTTTTCTGTGACTTTTCTATCCTGAAGGACAAAAATGCTAGTGCTGTAAGTGAGGGTTCACGACTGTTACAGAGGAGTCCATTGGCCACCAGACCAGCTCCATTGATGAGAAACACTGTTGTTGAGGCACAACTCTCAAAAGATGTGGGATCTGTTTTGTCACCAACTGTGAATTTACCCAACTTAGTGAAAGAAGGTAGTGTTAACAAGGTTAATATTTTCTATAAGCAAAGTGATAAAGAGAACAGTCCTCAGAAACTCGATTGGTTGTCACAGATAAGGCAGCAGAAGATGGGTAGTAATGGTGAAACACTTAAAGGATCACCGAGGAGAGCTTTATTTGAGAAAATATCAGAATCACCAAGGTCCAAAAGTTCCCAGTCTTCAGCTTCTTCCTCTCAGAGCAGCAGTCAGGAGGAAATTAGGTCACCTGTGGCAAAGGTAAGCATAAACCATTAAGTCCCCCAAAATATATCTATAAATGCACATTGGATTTACATGGACATTGTATACCTGACAATTGTGTATCTTTAATATCAAATCATTTGTTTGTATTTTAAAAGCATTATTTCATTTTCTTTTAACCATAAAAAAAATCTTTTCATATTATAATTAATTTGTCTGAATCTTTACTCCTTTTTTTTTCAGGGAATGAAGCCACTTCATGCTTACTTCAAAAGAAAGGAAAACCAATAAAATGTTTATTCTTGTTTTTCAATGAAATCAGATTCTATTTTTTTACTACTGTTTATTTTAAGAATTGTGCAATAAAATATATCCTGGATATACATTTAAATGTTGTGTACAATCCATATACAGGTACATGTATTCACTTTAAGGGTAGATGGAGGGATTAACTGACATGACTGCCATTGGCTTCTGTGTCAGGGATACTCAAAAATATTCAGACCCGATGGAAAATAGATCAGTTGCAGCTCACTTCTATTTGGGCATCCAAGTAATTTTTATACCCCCGCTCCGAAGGAGAGGGAGGTATACTGTTTTACCCTTGTGTGTCTGTCCTTAACAAATTTTCGTCGCAGTTTTCTCAGCAACTACTCATCACAGATGCTTGAAATTTTAGCACAATCTTTGTTTAGGCATGCCAAATGGTGGGATTTATTTTTATATGAATTAGATATCAACTTCCTGTATATCCGTGCGTTTGTCCATAACAAATTTTTCGTCGCAGTTTTCTCAATGACTAACTCATCACGGATGATTGAAATTTTAGCACACTCTTTGTTTAGGCATGATAATGGTGGGATTCATTTTTGTTTAAATATGACGTCAACTTCCTGTTTATCCGTGCATCTGTTCGTACCAAATTTCAGTCACAGTTTTTTCAGCAACTACTCAGCGAAGATGCTTGAAATTTTAGCACAATCTTTGTTTAGGCATGCCAGATGGTGGGATTCATATTTGTACGAATTCAGTGTCAACATGAGAGGGTAACCGTATATTCACATCATAGCGGGGGTATTACTGGAGCATTTGCTCACAGACTTGTTTGGATAAGTCCTCTATCAAGTAAACAACAATTCCAAACTTAAGATAAAGATACTGTTGCCTCCAACCTACATATTTATTGGAAGTCGGCAAGGTTTTTTAGGGTCTGAAGGGAGTCAAAATAAGGCCCCATTCCCATTTCTGAAAAGCAAATATTCTCCCAAATTTTTGCTTTAAAATTCCCAAACAATGAAAAAATATCAAAGCAGGGTAGCATTATTATTCATATTGATTACATTTATAATTCCCCTTCACAGTCCCACAGATTACAATTTTTGTCTCCAAATAACGTTAAATTTTAACCAGTTTTGGCAGATAGCATCTATGGACAAACGGAAAAAAATTGTGAATTCCCCCCCCCCCCCCCCCCCGGGCTTCAGGGGTAGGGCTAAAACGATCTCAGTGTCATCTTTAATGATCTCTTAACTCCTGGACATCAAGCAGTCAAACTGTTGGCATGACTGTAATAAGCATTGAGCTCTAGCAAAATTCTTGCTTTGAAAGTCTTCTCTGCTCCTAAGTATTAAGCAAACAAACTATATGCATAGTTACGATGAGCAAGGGTACCTCTTCCAAAAATATATTTTGTATACTATATTATAGTGAAAATACAATATTGCTTTTAAAATCTCTGCTCCTGGGAATTTAGGATAATCTAAGTGCATAGTTATGAGCAAGGGTGAGACTCTTAAAATCGTGAAATTTGTGGCCCCAAGGGTCAGGGGTTCAGATGGGGGAGAGGGGTATTGACCTTATAGTGAAAATGCATTATTCTTTTATGCTCCTGCATATTTAGCAGATAAATGAAGTGCATGGTTATGATGAGCAAGAGTGCGTTTTCCACAAATGTGAAACTTGTGGCATCCGGGGTTCTGGTGTTGGAGTGGGGCTAAGATGCCTTTTCCAAAATTGTGAATTTTTCTGCCCCTGGGTCAGGGGCTCTGGTGTTAGGGTGGGGTTCTATTGATTGTATTTTGAAAACGCATAAATTCTTTGAAAATCTTCAACTAAGTGCAGAGTTATGATGAGCAAGTGTGCTCTTACAAATTTTCATGGCCCCTCAGTCATGGGTTCTAGTGTTATGGTGGGGCTGTGTTGAATCTATAATGAGAATGCATTATTTCTTTGAAAATCTTCTCTGCTCCAGGGCATGTAGAAGCAAACAGGGAACTGAGTTGTTATAATTAAGGGTATTTTCACCAGGTCTTTGAAATTCTGGAGCACTTGGTCAAGTGTTTTGATGTTGGACAGGGCTCTATTAATTTCTATTCTACTGCGAGAAGTTATTCCCCTAGCTGTTCTATTCCCCTATGATAATTAATCCTGTAAATCTAACTGAAAGGTCAGTTGAATAAGAAAGTTATAAAAAAAAATTTATATATAATACTGTGATAGTGACAAAGTGGGACATGCACAGGCAAGTAAATCTTTTGTACAATGAAAGCGAGTGTTGTAAGATAATGCGAAAGGATTGCGCAAATGATCAGGTGATCAGACGATTGAACGTGCACCAATGCGATTGGACGTGCGGCGATCATGCGTTCCATGGTACGAATGCTCAAGTTTGCAAGTCAGAGGGGGTATATACATGTATACCGCCCGTTTCCGACGTTCATCAGTTAACATAACTGAATGCGAGAGAAGATGCTGCAGCATCCATAGTCAATTGTGGTCTGAAACAGAGATGCTTATACAGGGTATACTAGTGGGAAATCATGGCAGATTGAAGCTGATAAACCGTGCAATAATAATAAAACGTTTACATGAGACACGTTGAGCAACAGTCTCATGGTCATAAAACACACGCGTAGACAGCTGCGATTCATCTTACGACCTTTAAAAATTGTGCATCACTCTTGCGAGTACACATAACGTTGTAAGACGTTCGTACTAATGTTCCTGTGTCGCATTGCGATAATTTGGATCGCATGGTCGCGTCTGAATAGTGTGCATGTTCACTTTTTTGAGGAGACTTGATACGACCACTAAAACGCATGCAACGAATGCAAGGCATCGTGCGATGTATGCGAGATCTCGTGCGAATCTAAAACATTCCGATCGCAGTGTTGTAAAGTGCTCGTGCGCCAATTGTGAAAGGGCCTGAATATATGCTGTATGCATTGGTTTGGTCTTTTCCCCTTATTCTTTTTTATGAAACGTTTTACCCAATTTCAACCAAATGTCGCTCTTTTTTCCCAAACCGAAAGATCCAGGCTCTAGATATCAGACCTTAAAAAAGTTAGGCAAAGTGACTAAGTTGAAGTTATTAGTCCCCCCCCCCCCCCTACTGATTTCATTGCAGGTGACTGCAGGTTTCCTCTCCATCTGTCACATAAGTTTCCCTAACTTTTAGGTCTCCTGAATTGTTTAGGTGACCTGTTGCTATCTGTTTTCATCCATCGACGTCCAAAGTCCATTAACATTTGAAAATTTTCTGCTTCTTTTGAACAGTTGAACCAATAGCATCATTGTTATAATAAACATTAAGCTCTCTTCCAAAATTATGGAATTCATGGCCCCTGGATCAGGGTCTAGTATTAGGGTGGGGCTCTTAAGATCATACAGTAAAATGCATTAAATTCTTTAAAAATTTACTTCTCTCCCCTGTATAATTAGTAGACAAACTAAGTGCATTGTTATGATGAGCAATAAACTGAGTAAGCAATAGTGCCTCTTCAAAATTGTAAAATTCATGGCCCCTGGGTCAGGGATTCTGATGGGGCTCTATTTATCATACAGCTAAAATGCATAATTTCTTTGAATATCTTCTCTGCTCCTGGGTATTAAGCAGACAAACTTAGTGCATAGTTATGATAAGCAAGGGTGCCTCTTCCAAAATTGTGAAATTCATGGTCTCTGGGTTAGAGGTTCTGGGTTAAGGGTGGTGCTCTACTGATCATTCGTCAAGTGAAAATGCATTAATTTTTTGAAAATCTTCTCTGCTCATGGTCTTTAGCAAACAAACTATGTTCCTTGTTATGATCCTGGGGTTCTGGAGATAGTGAAGGTCTCTATTGACACTATAGTGAAAAATACACTAATTTGAAAATCTTCTCTTCTCCTGGATATAAAGCAGACAAACTAAGTGAATGTTTTTAAGAGCAAAACTGCCTCTTCTTAAATTGTGAAATGCTTGGTCAGGGATTCTGATGGAAGGGTAGGGCTCTAATTGATCATATATGTAAAAAAAAAAAAAAAAAAAAAAAAAAACTAGTCCACTAATTCTTCATGGGTTGTATTATACTCTTGAGACCGTGAAGGTCCTTGGATCTCATGATTTTTTTAAAACTATTGCCTTTTTATTTATCTCACCTGAGCTTAAAGCTTCCAATATTTGTATGGTTTCCGTCTGTAAGCTTCTCAAATTTTCGACTTCTCCTCCAGAACTATTGGAATCAAACTTGCCATAAAGCATCCTTGGGTGAAGGTGAATCAATTATTTTTTTTCAATTGAAGTGCCACATCATTTTGAAAGGGGAGATAAATAAGAAAAGGCAAAAATTGAGATGGATGTCTTACAAAATCTTTTCTCAAAAACCGCTGGGTCAGAAAAGACGAAACATAAGGGCCGGTACACTGAAAGGCTTGCCTTATAAGTCTAAAACCTTACGTTTTGCAGAACGTACGTCTCTTGTGTCCACACGTTAAGGCAAGACTTACAAGATTATACATGTATACAACATTTACATAAATCCCATGTATTTCTAGCCATAAATATTGCATTCGGTCATTAAAATAGAAGAATAGATTACTAGACTTTGAAATAATTATACCAACAAGTACATTCACACTTCTTAAAAAAAGAGGAAGAGGTTGAACAGAAGCATTTGTGGACATTTTCATATGCTTATTCGAAAATACTTTGTGTTCACTTCAATATACCCACGTGTATGATTCGATAAAAATAGAATGACATTTTGGCGAATGATTTTCATTGGTTGAGAAGAAAATTTCAGCTAAGTCTTATATTAAAGAATAGAGCAGTGTTCTATTTGTAAGTCAGACTTGTATTGAAAAATAGAGCAGTGTTCTATTTGCAAGTCAGACTTGTAAGGCTCAAAAACCGTGTATTAAGGGTGTACACAATGTAAGGCAAGAACTTAAGTTCTATGACTTATAAGGCAAGCCTTATCGTGTGTACCGGCCCTAAGAGAAAGTTTCTTCAGATTATATCCCCTGGAGTTAACAATGGAAGATCAAAGTTTAACATGGGAATGTATAGTAAAAAATCTGAAGAACAGCAGGGCATGATTTTTGTTAAAATACGCTAGTATTTTCAGGTTTGTTTAAATCATAACCCCTGGGGGTAGGATTGGGCCACAGAGGGATCAAAGTTTTACATAAAAATCCAATGTATATAGGAAGCAACTTCTTGTAAAGATCAGCACAGTCATGATTAGTCATATTCATATGCAAGTTTTCTGAAGTTGTGTAGGTTCAAGTTTGTTCAAATGGTCCCCAGGAGTAGGGTGGGACCATTTAAGAGGCTCAAAATTTAACATTGAAATATATTGAAAAATCTTTTTAAGAACAATAAGGTCATGATTGGTGATATTTTAAAATATGCAAATAATACCAGGTCACGTAGATTCAATTTTTTTTTTCAAATCGTGACACGTGGGGTGGGCCACAAAAGAGGATCAAAGAAAACGGATTTTAAAAACTTATAAAGAACAGCATAGTCATGATTTATAATATAACTAATTATACAAGCATCCTTAGGATGTGCATCGTCGGAACCCACGGGTTTTCTCTCCATTACACTACATTCAACGTAGTGTAACGGTGAGAATACCCGTGGGTTCCGACGATGTACGATGTGTAGATTCAAGAATATTCAATTATGGCCCCTGGAGGTACGAATGGGCTACTGTTCTGAAAAACAGCAGGGCCAAGGTGATTCGGGTGAGTGTTTTTGACCAGGGGCATCTTGGATTTTACAGGTTGGGAACTAGAAAATACTTCAAAATAAGTATTGTTAATACAACACTCTTTTGTTGTATAGATTTTGTGTATGCTTGTTTGAATAGCCACTGCATTTCTTTTCATTTGTAAATCTCACCAATACCCAGTTTGTACTGATGATAGAGATACAAACATTGCATATAATGCTTTCAAAGCTTTTTTCCTGACATGAATTGATGAAAATGGTCTTAAAGGAATATTCATCGGAACACTGAAACGTTCATCTCTTCATGTTCATGTGCGTAAATTGAAGACACTTTACAACACTTATTTATACAAGAATTTATCATCGGTAATCATTAAAGTGTATTTTTGTTGCTGTACACCCCGTCAATAGGTGGGTAGTAAAATCCGTAACTTTCCGGACATGAACTTTCTGGATGGCTGGTATATTTATGGTGATGATGACTCCTCTTTCCAGAGGTATTTTCTGAATCTGGGTAACAGTCCACGGGCTCAAAGGTCTTGCTCAAACAAATCTCTATTTCGTAAATGACTTGCCTCTTTGTATCCTACAAATAAAAAGATTTTTTTTTCTGATTTTTCAATATGAAGTAAAAGACTTGAGAGTGTTTAGTTTTCACCAATAGTTTTTAATCTTCAGGATTTCCTACAACTCAAGAGTATTTTGCAAGTACAAAGTACTTATATCAGTAAAAGCTTAGACTGGAAATACATGCCGTTGTATTTGTCTTTGAGTTTTGGCTCTTGCTAACTTTAAAAAGAAAATGGAAGTATACAAAATAGAAATCTCTTCGAGATTTACGGACGACGAGATTTACGACTACACTCACGTGGTCATATGCACATTGAACCAACGCGTTTACCCCCAGTTCTCGCTTCAAAGCGGCTTCTGTTGGCTTTATCTACAATATAATAAAATTGCAAAATTTTAAACTATAATCTGATACATGTATTTACTGTGATATACATTATTTATCAGCATAATGTAATGAATTCACAATTTTTTGTGGGAAAATATAATTGCGTACATTATATGTTGCGGTGTGACTCGGTACAATTCCTTGGTTGCCCAGTAATCTAAACGGAGTAAAACAGTCGTTAATGGGAGATACAAAGATAAATTGAAGATCTGATTAAATGATAAATTGTATACCTCTGACCATGTTTCTAAAATATTATACATACGTTTGTCCGTTAAAACGAGTATAAAGATCCAGTGCTTTAGAAAAATATCTATATTCCGTAGAAGTTACGTTGAGTGAGCTGGCGCAAGTCCCATGTTTACTCCATTCGTGTTCCCTGTAGGAAATTTGCAGATTTTTATATATTTTTTGTTTCTTGAGCGAAAGTGAAAATGCATAACCCCAGTTTCACCACTGTTCACTAAAGCTTTAAATGTAGTTATGCCGGTAGAAGGGGGGATAAAACTTTAGGTTTTGGTCATAGAAGCATTGGTATATAATTAGCTACCAGCTGGTACCGTGTTTCGACATAAACAGCAGACTCACCAGAAACTGTATTCAGAGGTGTCCGAGTACATGTTTGGCCACAAAATCTTCAAATGCGGCAAGAGCACCTGAAATGGATATGGTTGATGTTTACTGGAGGTGGCTGACCGGAAATTTGAAGTCATCTTTCGAAACTGACTGCTTTGTAAGAAGTGTCTTAATTCTATTTTTAAATTGTGATATTGACATCCCTCAACAATCGACATGTAATGGTATATATTAGAAAAGGGTGCCCTATATCTGCACTGCATGCGCGAAAATTTTTATATATACAACTACCCGGTATATTACAGAGACGTTAATGCCGTTATTTTACAATTTCATCGATACTTTGGACTTCTGATGGGAGTTGATTAACGTACAAATTGTATTTAAACAAACAGTAAAACACTGACACATGCTGTACAAGAAGTGTTAGAGCGAAGAGAGGGTAAATTTCTCATTTAATCATTGCATGCAGCATTTTCCAGCAGATAATCTTACGTCACTTTCTTGTGCCCTCCAAAGACTGTCCAAACTATCGGTGAAAATGTATTACCTCAACGGAACTCTTTGCTTATTTATTACATGTATTTCATTTCTATTTAGTTTAAAGAGAGAGAGTACCGAAATGGCATCCGTATTGAAAGGTTGGGTTCCACAGCTTGTCGGTCCCTCTGTTCCAGTCTTAGTGGGCCTGCAGAAAAAGGTCTAAATTTTGGGATGCATCATTATAATTTTTGGTATTAAAGGTATATATACCCATTCGTACAAAAATGTTAATAGTGTTCTTAAAAATAACTTTACCACATTCCATGAATACCCCAGCCTTGCACACCTTGTGGAATGGAACAGGTGTGATGCTGTAAGTAGAAAAAAAATGCTGACGTCATTGGTCCAAAGTAGGCATGTACTCTACGACATATATGTATATTTATTATTTAATTAATTTGAACAAAATTTTTCTTATTTTACATCCCTACTTTAAAAAGTGACGTAGGTAGATCAGATAATGAATTGATATTTAGCACATTAGATGTACATGTAATTGACTAGCTGATGTGTCATGACCACAAAGGTCATACTACTAGTAGGTCAAGGTTTTGTTTGTAATTGAATAATTTATTTTGGTCCATATCTCGTAAGCCACAGAATATAAGAATGACTGGATAGTTCACATCAAAGTTGTACTCGCCCTCATGGTGTGCCCTGACCTTATTTTAATGTTATACCTGAATTTTCAAGGTCATTGAACACGCCTGTATCAACACGGCCACAGATGAAAATCACTTGATACTTTTCACAGTAGTTGCAATGCTGTATAAGAGTATTAACTTGTATATTGTTGCAATTCAAAGCCATATTTCAACGATCAAGAAGCATTGCAGCCTTAAGCAAAATGAGTGTAGATCATTAGTTAGGGAAATTGAGATGGAGAACCAGAAATGGTCGTTCCTCCCATTTTTTACGACCAGTGAGGTTCGAATCTACAGCCTTGAGCCACAAATGAGAATGGATTGAGATGTAACTATAGTATTTTAATTCTTGCTCTAATTGGCAGTGTCATGAAGTCATAGGTGAAAGTGATAATACCTGCTGGAATTACATAATGTTCAGTCTTCATTTCTATAAAGCCTTAAATTTAATGTATCATTTTTAATGTTTGTAAAATTTATCTGATGTCAAATTTCTTAAAATTTTTTTCTTTATTAATTTTCTTGTTTTGGAACTACTCGTTTAATTAATGAATATTTATGGTGGATAGGTAGGAGAACAGTCGAGCCACATTAATCCGGACGCCTGTGTTCTCGAACTAATCGTCCGGATTAATGAAACATCCATGGTATATCTAAATATTAATTTCGTCCGGAAGGTGAAGCGTCAAGATTATGGACATTCGTATTAACGAGACTACACTGTATTCACTATTATCCATTTGAAATCAAACACGTTTTTTGATTTTCTCTTTCCATTTTCTTTGTTTTTTTCTTCATTATTTAAAAATTCATATTACCTCTTCCTTGCCCTTTATGCAAACGGCCACAGGCCACTCCTGAGTGTACGTAAAAATATCCCATTCATCAGAGTACGCAGCCCTACAATGACCAGTTGTTACATATAAACCACATTAACAGTTGGGGTTGACCTCAGCCTAACAGAAAGTCCATGACAATCAAAAAAAAAAACAGAAAGAAAAAACAATGAAAAAAGGTCACCAGGATAATATTGAAGGGATACAATTATAAGTTAGCTTTATATAGTATATATTGGCAAAATTATCCCCCCCCCCCCGGTTCCTACGGGCCTGAACCAAAGAGGACACGCAAAATACCTGTACCTTGCATATAGTGTCAGGAGGCTCCAGAAACCCCCACCCTACACACACCGAATGGGTCAAATTTATAACCTTACATGTATACAGCTAACTGCATGTTATACAGTTATTTAACTGTCTGCCTGTCTGTATCTCTCTGTTTTTCCGCAAAAACTTTAACCTTGCCCATGACTTTTGATTGGTTGGAGCTATGGTTTTCATATTTCACTTGTGTATTCCTTGTGACAAAGCCTTTCTTTGGGTACCAACATTTGACCTATTGACCTGGACCTTGGAGTTTGACCCACTTTTGCAAAATTTTATCAAACTTTAATCTTGGCCATGACTTTTTTAACAGTTGTTGCTCGGGCTTTCATACTTCACATGCGTATTTCTTGTGACAAGACCTTTCCTTGGGTATCAACACTTTTGACTCTTTGACCTTGACCTTGACCTACTTTTGAAAAACTTTAACCTTGGCATAACTTTTGAACAGTTAGTGCTAGGGCTTTCATATTTCACCAGTTGTATTCCTTGTGACAAGACCTTCCTTTGGGTATCAACACTTTTGACCTGTTGACCTTGACTTGGATTTGAGCCCACTTTTGAAAAACCTTAACCTTGACCATAGTTTTTGAACTGTTGGAGAAAATTCTTTCATATTTCACTTGTGAATTCATCGTGATAAGACCGTTCCTTGGGCACCATTAATTTTTACCTTTACCCTTTATCCTTGACCTTGGAGTTTGATCTACTTTTGAAAAACTTTAACCTTGGCCATAACTTTAGAAAGGTTGGTATGGAGGCTTTCGTATTCCACAGTTGTATTCCTTGTGACAAGACCTTTCTTTGAGTACCAATGTTTTTATTTCTTGACCTTGGACCATGACTTGCTTTGAGAACTTTGACCTTCGCCATGAGCTGCCATACGGGGGCATCAGTGTTTCATTAACACTTCTTGTTTCACTATGTATTAGTCACCACAACCTCCACCCTCACCCCCGCCTCACCCAACCTGGATATTTCTCTTGTTCTCTAGTACTTGCTGATGATATGGCACGAGCAAAAGAATCGGCTAAGTTCAGTTCTTTAGGTCATTGGTTTAATTTTGTTTTCTTTATTAAAATATATCTCTCATGTCATACTCCTTTCACAATTCTTTGAGTTCTACCATTGCAGGAAAACATTACAATATGCATGAATTAATGTAACTCGATAAAGGACTTGTCCAAATTGATGTATGATATAGGTTTTCGATAACTGTGAATCGTCGAGTTTAAGATCTGCTAAGTTAAAGGAAGATTTATAATATATATTACCATTCTATACACCAAAAGGAATTACGATATTGATAAAATAAAGTAAATATATGTATTAGCATTTGAGATATGTAAATAGCTGTAAATATACTCATTCCATACACTGTAGAACATAGTACAAGCAACAATAAAACTGTCATCTTTGGAATTTTCCTGAAATTAGAGAAGTAAAGTCTTGTACTTCGATTCAAACAAGAAGACTTTTTTGTGAGAGAAATGACCGTTCAATTCATATTTCTGGAAGTTCGAAGGATGTCCAAAATTTAGTTCGTGGACACATGCTTTTTTTTCTTTATCCAACAGTCTTTTTTTTTTTTTAAACATTCCCGATTTACCAATTTCAACAATTTGTATATATATATGGAATGTTTATAATAGTGATGACGTTCCAAAAGATGATAAACTTTGAAATATCACATATTTAAGTAGATTTAAAACTTCCTAAACATTGTCCTACCTTGATACAGTCCTGATAAACAATGATAAGAATATACGTCTCATATTATATTACAATGGTGAAAAAGTCACGCGACAAAATTGCGAAGAGATAATAGTTACAAAACAAAACAAAAGAACTTTGTAAATTGACTTCATCCACGTTTAAAAAAAAATATTAACAAATTATGTTTCCTTAATAATAAATATATATTTTTTTTATTTAAAAAAAAGTAAACTGTCTCCTTGACTCTCATTGAGGTGTTCTGTATTAGATTTTTATGTTATACATTATTTAACAGAAAATTAAAAGCTCTTATGTGTCTTATTTGCAATAAAAACAAATTTGTTACTGTACTGTGAAAAAAAAAAAATTTAAGAGTTTTTTTTATTGGTCCTTCAGTGGTGAAATCATATATCAAAAGTGATATTTTAAAAATGCATTAAATAAAAGTTTGGTGTGTCATACCACCTTAAGATTAGGAACGCTAAATACGAAACTTTTTAGCAAATCAATGTAAAACATATCTGAGTGAAAACATTATATTTAATGTTCTTTCCGTCTTGTACATGAAAAAGATGCATTTATACTTCTGTTATTGTATTTAACATAGAGTGTGTCAGTTTGCTAGGATCAGGTATTCATTTATAAAATGCCATCCAAACATCCAGCTTGAATACCTCGTACCTATCAATTTTTACGACATGTCTGTAAATTATTTACCTGTAATAAAATTTTTCTATTGTTGGTACTACATATATTTTATACCTCCCGCTTGAGAAGCAGGGGTGTATAGTGATGGGTTGTCCGTCCGTCTGTCTGTATGTCTGCATTTCTGTCTGTAACACTGATATCTCTGTGAGCTTTTGCAATGAAATTTTACATCACAATTCCCTATGGCCTTTTGATTTTGAAGTCAAAGGTCAAGGTCATAAATTCATACATACTTTCGTTTCCGGATGATAACTCAAGAAGCCTTTGAGCTTTTGCAATGAAATTTTATACACAACTCCCATGGCCTAAAAAATATCCCTATTGATTTTGAGGGCAAAAGTCAAGCTCATAAATTCATTCATTCTCTTTGTGTGTAACACTTTCGTTTACGGGCAATTAGAGCTTTTTAAATGAAATTTTGTAGCACAACTTCTTATGCTCTAAAGATCTTTTTTGAAATCTAAGGCCAAAAGGTCAAAAGTCTTAAATTCATGCATTGCAAATAACATTTTCCAGATGATAGCGTTAGTTTTCTTCGAGCTTTCTTTGATAAGAGGCCCTATGACCTAAAAAAAGAACCCTATCGATTTTGAGGTCAAAATGTTAAAGGTCATAAATTCATACATTCTGTCTGTGTTACACATTTTCCTAAAATATATCTTAGAAAGACTTTGAGTTTTTACAATGAAATTTTATACCTTAACTCCCCATGGCCTTAAAAAAAAACACCTATTGATTTTGAGGTCCAAAGGTCAAGGTCAGAAATACTTAGTATATATTGTATATATAGTTTTAAGATAATAATTCTAGTTTTTCTGTTAGCTTTTGCAATGAAACTTTTGGTCGTAAATATCTTTAACTTTAAAAAGACTCCTATTGACTTTGAGATCAACAGCTGAAAGGTCAAGGTGACATTTTTTCTTTCTTCATCTTCAAAATTTTTCCAGTTCTTCCATCCTCTATTTTTTTTCCTTAAGCGGGGGACAAAAATTCTCTGAATTAGCTTGTTTTATTATAAAGTTTTGCATCGTTCTGAGAGACTCCCAAAACCAGGGGCCAGAAACTTGAGGGGTCTTAACTTATTTTGTCCTTTGTTGAAATTTGTTCAGTCACTACAAAGAAGAAGTTGAGAACTTGAAATTAAAGTTTATAAATGATGGACGGCAGGTGGCGCAAAGGACGAATTATAGAACGGATGCCAGTATGTCATGACCTAAAAAGCAATTAACGAAGAGAACTAAAATATGATATTCCGGTATATATGAAAGAGCAAATTGTATTTGTGAAAACAGGAATTGATAAGGAAGTGCTTCATAAGTATAGAATTTGTGATTCATCAATATTGATTATTAATGACCAGGTTTTTATGAAGCGAATACCACTTCACAAAAAGTGAAAAAGTATATTGATATTTTTTATTCTAATAATTTTCACATTAATAAGAATTTAGTCGATCGAAAAGTTTATTTTACACTAAATAAAATATTGCCATGGACTACACTCTATTACTATTTCAGAACAGAAGAGACAAGACTAAATCCTTAGCAAAGTACGAGTATCATGCGGTCGATTTCTAGACTTTTTACATCAATCTGTATTTATTATCTGTTTTGCTTCCAAATGGAATTATTTCCATGTCAAGGCAAGTTTTTTTTTCTAGTTACATGTGATATTATATTTTAATACAGTATTGTATGTTCTTTTAGAAACATAGAGCATATCATTGAGATGGTAAAGTAATTAAAGTTCACAATGGATGTTTAATTATAGCTCTGTCAAATGAAACAAAATTATACATTAAATAAATTCATTCAAGTGTGGATATGACCGAGAACTTGTATCCGTTAAATAGCTCCTTGTTATTTTCTAGGTACCTCTGCTAACCACCATCGTGTGAAACGAAAAGTCGAATCATATTTTGAGAAAAAGCATATTGTTGCCTTACAAAATTCGACGAGAATAAATGTTCCAACGTTAAGGCACCACTTACCGGAAAACCTTTTCATGGAAAAGAACAGGACAAAGCACACAGTAATCATTGTTCGTGTACTTCGCACACAAAATCGAGGAACTAGAAGAATGGTTTTCATAGAAAAACTAAATAAAGTAACTTCCGCAAAACTGAAAAATAACAAATGTACAATGAGGGAATATAACCCTAGAGGAAGACAGAACACTTGTTCGAATTCCAGAAACATCGAATATTATCACTGTACAGTTTTTATGGATGAAGTTGAAGAAGGGATAAGTATGGTTGAGTTTAATATCCGGAATCATAATGACTGCAGATTTTCCGATAAAGGATCGTTTACTGTTGGTGTTAGAGTTGACAAGACGAGGACGGCGGTCCAAGAAGGAGCTGAATGGTTTTTTGTCGATCATTTGCAAAGGTCAATGTTAATTGGTGGAAACGGCTGTCAAACGCATCAACACTGATATTTATTATATAGTTAAAAAACATATTATAATAATAAATATTATAAACAAAATTATGAGCGACATACGACAGTATACAGAATAGATCCATTATTTTAACTGACTTAGTTTCCAGTTTGGACCTTCTCTATCATATATGTTATTATTGAAATGTTTAATTATTACTATTCAAGGTCGGGTGCATATTTGAATGTTTGTTTCTTTGCTCACAAATGAAGTATACGTACTTAGTTAAAAGAAATATCTAAAGATAACCAAAAGTGATCAAACTCATAAATCCAGTAAAAAATACCAATTATGAATAGGACAAAAATGCGGACCCAGGAATAATGCAAGGGAGGATGGCACTTAATATCAATCACACAATCATGATATTGAAGTTCCAACATGTTCATTTCAAACTGATTGGTTTTATTTTAGTTTATATCAAGGGGTACTCGGCTCTTTTCTATTTCAAATCAAATGAGGAAATCCTTCTAAACTGACCCAAATATACACGTTAATAATAACAAAGTGGCGAGGAACGGATTTGATATCTCCATCATACTTGTACAAAACCGGGCTGTTTATATTTTCAAGATCACGTAAATTTGGTTTTTTTATAAAACAATTAACAGGTGTCTGTTCTCAAGATGAGGAGATATGAGACAGATGAGGCTCACAAGTATTCTCAAAATTTGAAAGACAGGCGCTTATTGTTGTTTAATTTGATTTTCATTTTTTTTTTTATTTAATTCAATTTAATTTAATTCAATTTACTTTTATATGAGATCGGGCACCTGAAAATTCATTAATACTTTAACTATCCAATTTAATTTGGTACACAGATTAACTAAATATACGTATGGTTTTTTTTTTTAGAAAGGAATACCATTATGAGGAAGTATACTGTAAACTTACTGTAAATCACTTTTTTTATTCACGGTAACTATTTTTGCGTAATTACGCGAGACAATTTTACTTTCGCGTATATAAGCATTATCAATTCATAAGTTATACAGAACAATGACCGAAATTCGTTAAAAAAAATCGCTATAAATATCAAATAACAATATCGCAAAAATAAGGTGTCGCTAAAATTGTTAAACAGTATTATTTTAGCGGTCTATATCAAATTTTATTGTCTTTCGGACTACTTCCACCAATTTTATAAAGGGAGATGGGTGAACAAGGCGTGCAGAATGCCTATAGCTTCAGATATATATAAAAATCATATTCATTTTGTGAATTTTGTATTTAAAGTTAAGTTCTCACTATTGAAATTTATGAAATTATGATAAACAAAACTTTTCTGAGGAAAATTTACTCGGCAAAAATTTTTGTGGTATTCGTGGGGTTGGAACCCTAGAAATAAAAATACTGAGTATCATTTTTCTTTGAGACTAACACGCTTATCACTATGCTATACTACCCCTGATGAATAGTGGCATTTAAATCATGTTTGTGATATGACCCTTAACTATAAATGGACTACAAGTATTTCTCAGCAAGATGCGAATGTTGTGTCATAAAGGTGTATTTTAAAGGTAATTTTAAATTTTTAGATATAAAAAAAGATTTAAAGATATAGGCTCTATGTTTTTTTTTAACCAAAATTGTATATTTTTACGCAAACTTTGAGGATACACTTTCAAAAAAAAAAAAAAATGGAGCGAAGACCCACTTGTGTTACAGTATGAGAAAATGATCCTTTTTGCCCTCTTTAGTGTGTGTATGCTATTTTATAGGCAAATATTCTCAATTTTTGTGAGATTTTTGCAAAATCTGGGGATTTCGCATAAAATATACTTAAATGTTAAATGAAATAACAGAGAAAATTTTGTTATAATTGATATTTACTTCACCATGTTCGTCGAACTATAGGCATTTCGCTAGCCTTCTTAAAACGAATATGTATACGTATTTATGTACGTTTACAGTAACGATTACCACAGTTTGCATATTATTTAAATATTGAACATCTTTGACATTAATATTTATCGTTAAATGGTATCTTGGTCCACCGGTTTTCACCTGTGAATTTTCCTGTATCTATAAATTATGTCAGGGAAAATATGGTAAGAACATTTCTAAATACATGTAAATGTTTTTTTTAACTGCACAAAACATATTTCCTCCTTCAAAAGAGGAGATAGTTAATACATATTTTTATATATACATATATACTGGAAGTGTTGAAATCAAAGAACAGATTAAAAAACAACACTTAGTGTTGTCTTTCAATAAAAATATAAAATGCTGCGTCTTCAAGTCGAAGCTTTAATATTTACCTACTTCTTTCAATCTTTATTTATGCACAAAGGTGAGTAGTATTTTTTATTAAATGGGAAAAAAACCTTTTTGAAACATTTTTACTATATGAAATATAATATGAATCTTCTTGTTGAAAACATTGACACGCAAAATCGCAACTTAAACAAATTCTTACTTATAAATGTTGCAGAGTTGATTTTTTTCCTCAACTGTCCACTTTTTATAAATGAATTCAACGTCCAACCTGTATACCGTAACTTTCTTTCCAAATTTGAATTTAAAAACTGCATTGTATTTTATATTGAACTGCACACTCTATAGCTGCAATAATGTTGCCCTCTCCGATTTTTTTTTTTTTTGAAAGGGGGGGGGGATTCGGAGGATCTCCTGAAAATATCAGATTTAAAAAAAATCGGAGAGGGCTACATTATTGCAGCTACACACTTTAGTTTGTGAGTTGTGATAATTTGCATTACCAGGTTCTTCCTAAATTCTATTTACATCTTCTTTCATTTAGGTTTCTCATCTTTACACCATAGAGAGAAGCGAGAAATTAATACTAATTTTGAAAACAGGCATATAGTAGCTTTTACAGATACAAAAGAAATTAAATATGGCAAGCTTATAGGTTCAGTAGAAAAGTATATTGAATGGGAAGAAAACAGGAGGAAACACACACTGATCATTGCCAAAGTAGAGGGCACAGATCGCAGGAGCGCACGAAAATCCGATGTGACAAGAAAATTGAATTTGGTTGTGTCCCAAAAGTTACTGCAAGACAATGAATGCCAACAAGTGCCCTATAGACCCTATGGAAGTTCAAATCAAGCAACACCTGGTCAAGGAAGTGGAACGCCGAAAAAAACATGTCCAAACCCTACATCTCAAAAATATTTTCACTGCAGTGTACTACTAAATGAAATAGAAAGCCGTATAATTATGGCCGAGTTCGACATTAAGAACAGTGCAATTTGTGAATATTCGGAAAATGGGAATATTACTGTGGGTGTAAAAGTCGATAATAGTGTACAAACTAAATCGTTTTCCGTAGATCATTTGAAGGAGTCACGTTTGTTCCCTGAAAAAAGGACTTGCCAAACATAAAACTACTTCTCAAGATACTACTATGAACGTTGAAGTTTTCAATGATCCACTCCCCCCCCCCCCCCCCCTTTTTTTAAATTTATATAGACAGTCAACGTCTCTACTCGTGAAATGTCGGACATTCAATCCCTTAACATAACAGTACATGTATTGACAGTACTTTTTATCGCGTTTTACTTCGCTCTTTTAAATTAACTTTCAATAACTCATCTCCTTGAATTACATATCTCAATAGATTAACTCATAAAAATAAGCATTATGATTTAAAACAACCATTGAACATTCTACATCACTTGACATATTTGAAAAAAAAAATCTTCTCAATATCCTGAAGAACAAACCCCTTAAAGTATATAAAAAAGATGCCCCAAAAAGTCAATCATTGAAATCTATGAATATTCATGTACAGGCCTAGTGTTTAAACAGAATTATAAGGCAGTTTTGCATGAAAATGAATGAACACAACATAATAAAGCAGATTTTATTGAAGTTCTACTTCAACATTTACATGCAGAGAAATGAGATTTCTTTACTTTTTATAATTAACCACTGCAATTCTACGAATGTTATGTATTAAAAAAAAAATGAATGCTCCTAAACAGAACCTTACAAAAAATCACTAGAAATTATTTTTTCTTTATAATGCCCATGTTAATTAAACACCTATAAATTAATTATTTACTCAAATAAAATCTTGCATACAAATTCAATATACATACAAAGCATTTATATATGTTATAAACTTTCTGAAGTCAAATAAACATTTACTATCTGACCAGAGATCTTTGATTATGATTACAGCTTAATTTCTAAGTGCCGAACACATTTCATTTTCATATGCCCTATCCTTAACACTCTATATAAATACACTTTACAAAAAAAAAAACAAAAAACAAAAAACAAAAACAAATGTCCACTTAAATTTTTTTTTCAACTTCCACATTGTCCTCTCAAAAATTAATTTACTCTGATCTAAGCATGTTTGATTTTTTAAAAAAACTATTCCATCAAAATAAGACCAGCTGTTTTTTTTTTTTTTTTTTGTAATCAGATATACATTGTTCTTTTGAAATTTATAATGATAAAATTTACTTGGAATGTCAGCAACATTTTGTGTACTGTTTTAACAGATACTTTGATAATCTTGAAAGACCTGGCTGGTACATGTAATACATGTACCTAAAATTAAAAAGAAAAAAAAAAGAACAACAAGTTTTCATTTAATTCTTACCCTCAGAGAAGTGTTTGAAGAAAAATGAAGAACAGATGAAGTTATACATTTATACACATACATGTATACAGTAAATTATGCAAAGTCCTAAATTTTCATCTTCATGTTTATACATGAGTGAAATTATCAAATAAGCACTAAAACATTGATTACATTATTATGCTCAAAGAAGTAAAAAAAAATAAAATAATTGATAAGAAAAGTAGAACTTCATACAATGCAAAGGTTAAGAAATAAAACATACTTAATGTTCAATCATTTTTCACAAAATGTCTGTAAAGACACAAATAATAATTGTCTACTTTCAAAATAAAAAAAAAAATATCCACTCAAAAATTGGCCAGGCTTTTATCAACTATCATTCATACATCAACACCATATCTAACCTGCATATAAGATTATACATATTAGAAATGATCAATTAACATAATTTATCCAAAAATTTTAAGATGCAGCACATACATGTATGTACATGTATTCATGCCCTTTCTCTATTCAAAATGTAAGAATGCCTATGCAAGATCTTGACCCTGTTTCTCTATAAAATATGAAAAAAAAATTCTAATAAGTCAAACAAAAGAAGGCTAGCTTACTATATATGTAAAACAACCAGATAAGAAAATGATTGCACCTAGCATCATGCAGCACTTTATTATATATGTATAACTATCAGATACCAAAATGATTTAACATACTAGATCATGTAGCACTTTTCTCCACATAAATAGATAAAACATTTAGTTAAGACGTCACAGCAGAGATTATTTCTATAAGATATGTTTTGATATTTTTAAAATCTAATACATATCACCATTTTTACACCAGTAATGCAAATGTATAAATCATTTTCGCACAATGTTTCTTAACAAGAGTAATTTAATCTCATTTTGAAACATCAACAACAATGAATGTTAACATTCTGAATGGCATTTATCTAAAGCTACTCTAAAATATTCTCTTAAGGTGGCCTGCCATCTTGGTAGATTTTTTCTTTCTTACTTAATCACACTCAATGTCCATAAGTAAATCATCACCCTCTAACTTCATCTTCTTCTCCACAGCGATAGACTTCACGGTTCCCGAAGCCGGTGCCGTGACAACCATTTCCATTTTCATGGCGCTCAGCACCAGGACGGGTTGACCTTTCTCGACCTTGTCACCCTCTTTGACCTTAATATCCACAACTTCTCCTGGCATTGGGGCCCCCACTGACCCCCTCACACCTTTCAGAGCCTTAGGGTGGAAATGCAGCTCCTGGAAAGATACAATGTATACTGTATACTTTTCTGTTTCTAAAAGCAAGATTTGGATTTCACAACCGAGATTTCTTAAATGTGGTTACACTGACAGATTGACAGTTTAAATACTTAATATTGCTTTTAAGAGTGATGTGATATTTGATGGTGGAAACAGGAATGTTTATTTACATGTCTTAGCTAATTATCCATTTCGTCAAATATTCAACATAGTACTTTAATTTTGATATCATCAAATCTTCATGTAATAATATACAAATATTTTTTAGGGTCTTCAAGAAGATACACCAAAATTTGAAAATTTGCAAAATACTAAAATTTAAAAAAAATAATATTACAGCATTGCACAAATTTCACCTTGGCTGCCTCTTCATCTTTGACCTTCACTGATCTCAGCTGTCCATTCAATTCAAAGAACATCTCCCTCTCTCCATTCTTATTCAGGTCTCCACATGCTAATGTTTTAATGGACAGTGTCTTTCCCCTCTCTATTTGTACCTGTGAATAGCCAGAAAACTGAATTTTCTCTTTTATCTGCATGTTTCTGCCTGATGAATTGAAAATAAACAAACTAAATAAAAACACTGAACAAAACTAAATCATATATTTACTTATTGCCAGCAATAAAACATCAAATGAAGTATAAAGCTTCACTTTATGGAAGTTGAAACTAATGTAACCAAACACTTTAACAAACCTCCATTTCTTGGGCAACTTTAGGTCCCACAAAGAATATCCTTGTTCCGAGGGTATCCACAGGGCCATATTTATCACGAAACTCCAGGAACTCATCGGTGACCTTGGGATAGAGGGCAGCACTGATGACATCATGCTCCTTCACATCACGGCCATGCTTCTCCCTCAGGTCGTCCCTCAGTTTATCAAAATCTACAGGAGGAAGAGCTTCCCCAGGACGACCTTCAAGGCTAGGCTGTCCCTTTAGGATCTGGATTGTAAAAATATATAGATCTAGTGGCATATTTTTATATATTTGTGTATACTATGGCATCAAAATTGAAAGATATAAAAAGGTTATTGATAACTTTTAAGTTAGATATAATTCCTTTTGGCAGAACTTTAATATGCGAAATAACTTGCAGACATGAAATCCCGAGAATACAAATTCGTAAATGCTCTTTTGATCAAGACCTTTTACGTGGATTTCAGCAATATAAGAATAAAAGTGAGTAATTTTATTTAGTGAGTGGTGGTTCTTGCAAAATTACGATATAATAAATTTATCACTTATATTTAAGAATCTACAGTATACTGTACCTTGGTTCTGAGTGGTTCAGGATAGCCCCCTGGTGGAACACCCAGATATCCCTGGAAGTACTCAATAACAGAGGCAGGGAAAGATAACTCTTCTGCTCGGTCCTCCACCATCTCCTTGGTCAGTTTGTTCTGTACCATGAACTGGGCCATATCACCGACCACTTTGGAGGACGGGGTCACCTGTGAGGAATTCATATTGAAAGGTATCATTCAAAGGTGCTTTTAAACAAAATTCAGATTTGCACATATGACTATAATTCCCAAATTCACTATAACTGTATTATGAACAATACAGTCAAATTTTGTTATCTTGATGGGGCCAAGAAAAAATATTGTCAAATCCAAAGACTTGAGATACAGAGATTAAATTACATAAAAAAATAACCTCTGGGACTTTTAGCTCACTTTGACATATCTGTGGTATTCGAGATATCAATATCTGAAATACTGAAGCTCAACTGTAATTATAAAGTTTATTCAAGAAGTACAGATTTGATTAAGCCCCTGATCACAATTTATTTTTTAACCTTTTTTTCACATTACTGTAAACAAACCTTTGGAATATTCCCAAGCAGCTGATTGGCTTCTGCATACTTTTTTTTCACTTCCTCAAACTGGTCAGCCAGACCGAGGCTGAAGGCCTGAAACTGTAAGTTTGTGTACTGACCACCTGTACCAAAAGAGATAGTGGAATCTCATTAGAAACAGAGAAAAAAAAATTATAAGTAATCTTGAATTAACTATTTCCTATAAATATACATATTGCCCTATATTGTGTCTTTGTATACATCAGCGACATAGGAAGCATATACAGACCTGGAATTTCATTGATATAGACATCTGAGTTTCCACTTTTCAGTGTCTTGCAGCATTCAAAAGGGGCATATAGATTTCTAGTCTGTTCCCAGTAAGCTGAGTAATCGGACACATCAGACAGTTGGATACCTGTAACAGAATGATTTAAAAATTAAAACTAAGTCAAATAAGACTAAAAGGGGTTGGGGGGAGGGTCCAACAGAAAAACCTTTGTTCACAAAGAAAAATGTCACCATGTTTTACCTGTCCATTGTATCATATCTTCTTGTAAGAGTTGTTTAATAGCTGTACATCTATCTATATGGGTTTTTTTATTTTCATTCATGAGGAAGTGTTATGTAGAAGTCACATCACAGACTTGATAACTGACCTTATAGCCAGGTACAGTACTCAGTCTAATTAAAATCAGCTCCTACGTTTTATTATTTGTTATGTCAAAGGTGGCATAAAAAATAATAAAACGTAGGGGCTAAGAATTTTAATAAGACTGGTTCAGTACTTGTCTGTGGGTTTGTTTGCACCTGTTTCTAGTTTGTTGGTCTGTTTGTACCTTTTTCTAGGTCTGTTGGTCTGTTTATACCTGTTTCTGGGTCTGTTGGTTTGTTTGTACCTGTTTTTAGGTCTGCTGGCCTGTTTGTACCTGTTTTTAAGTCTGTTGGTTTGTTTACACCTGTTTCTAGGTCCGTTGGTTTCTAGCCTGTTGGTCTGTTTGTACCTGTTTCTAGGTCTGTTGGTCTGCTTCTACCTGTTTTTAAGTCTGTTGGTTTGTTTACACCTGTTTCTAGGTCTGTTGGTTTCTAGCCTGTTGGTCTGTTTATACCTGTTTCTAGTCTGTTGGTCTGTTTGTACCTGTTTCTAGGTCTGTTGGTCTGTTTGTACCTGTTTTTAGGTCTGTTGGTTTGTTTACACCTGTTTCTAGGTCTGTCGGTCTGTTTGTACCTGTTTCTAGGTTTGTTCCCTCCAATGCTGCCACCACTGCTCCCATACTGGGCTGTGAAGTCAGACCAGACATAGAATCCACAGCTACATCCACCACATCTGCCCCCGCTTCTGCTGCGGCCAACATGGACGCCACACCAGCACAGGCGGTGTCATGAGTGTGAACATGGATGGGAATGTCAGGGAATTTGTCCCTCAGGGCACCTACTAACATCTTAGCTGCCTTGGGTTTAAGCACACCTGCCATATCCTGAGAACATCGTTAAAAAATCTTATCAAAATCTAGATCTTCTCTTTAAGTTTCACAAATGAATATGCATTTTTCTGTCCATTTATAATTTATCATATACATGTACATGTTTATTTCACTATATTGTAATTTTCACCATTCCATTTAACCATGAACAGAAATAAAACCAAACAGAAAATAATGCAATTTTATTAGAAGTATAAAAGTTACATCAGGGCAAAATTTGAATTAAAATCTGGTTGTTAACTTTAATTTAATAAATCAAAAAATCATGTTTTATTCCTACCTTAATACTAAGTATATGGGTGCCAGCTTTCACCAGCTCTGTGGACAGATCCACATAATAATCCAGGTTGTATTTGGTTTTACTGGGATCAGACACATCACCAGTGTATGAGATTGCCGCCTCAATCACCCCACCTGGATAATACATATACATGTAAGTAAAACAAACTGAATATTCTTTTCAGTGTAAACCTTTTGCTTAAAAAGCATCAGTAAATAGGGTTCACTTTATAAATGGTAATTTCTGCAGCTTAAATTTTTTGCTACTTCAAACTTCAAAGGTAGCACTAAAATTTTCATTTATGACTGATCAATGCTGAAATGAAGATGATAATTTTTGGGGGGAATTATGTTTTTAATGATTTTGACTGAACTGCAGAAATTGGAATACTGGTACCTGAACAAAACAGCATATTTAAAAAGTAATACATACATGTATGTAAGAATCTTCTTACTCTTATTTGTAAGATCTATAAAATTTAAATCCATTGTTTAATATTTGGGGCATTATCCTTTTTTGCTTAGTGCAACATTACACATGTATTTGTTATTTTCATGTCATTAATACAATCTTATACATTCATTTCATCTGTACTAAAATTCATCTTTGTTAACAAAACAAGGAAAGAGCCATCCCTAATCATAATACCTGCTTTTCCGACTGCATCCATTCCTACAATGATATTTGGGAGGTAGTTCAAGGAATCAAATATTCGGAAAATATCCATCCCACTCTTAACTGCCATGTCACAGAACCTAAGGTGTCACACAACACAGACAAAATACAATAAAATATCATCATATTAAAACAAAATACATGTAAAACTGGTATTACAAATAAATGTGTACATGGTAATAGGGCTGAGTATGGGCTAGGAATTTCATATTATGATATACTGTGATATTTTTTGCTGTATTGCAATATGTAATGCAATATTTTCAATAACAGTTAATATGTCCTTTTCTTTTACACTCCATTCATACACAGAGTGTATATAACTTTGATTTGATTTCACTACAGTTTCGCAAGGAAATGCAACCAAACAACAGCAACTTCACTGTTTGGCACAATTGAAAGAGTTTCTGACATCTTAAATATAATATTTTACTATAGAAATCCCAAGTCCAAGCATTTTGCCAGTAAATGTATATTGGTACTGAAAAAATGTATTGTAATACGATATTTTTTGTCAACAAATTGCACAATATACCTGAACATTGATATTATTGCACAGCTCTACATGGTAAAGAAAGAACAAGTATGGCAACTGAAGAATATACATGTCATTACATCTCTAAATATAGTATTTCTTACTTGTAGACGACATTGTCTGGGTAATTAGTGTAACCTACAGCATTAGCTCCCCTTAGTAACATTTGGAATGGAACATTTGGGATCAGCTTTCTGAGTTCCTCAAGTCTCTCCCAGGGGCACTCGTGTAGGAACCTCATGGCCACATCAAAAGTTGCACCTAAAAAAGGAGGGTTTATTCTTTAAACCAGGGCATCCTAAGTTTGTGTTTGTCATCACAGGTCATAAATACATGAACATATCACACATGTTTGAGTGACAGTGTGGCAATCAAACTTCACTTTGTGGGAATAATAATTTGACTTTGAGATGAGTATGAATACTCATGGCTTTTTTACATTCTTAATTCAATTTACATAAAAGTAATATATGTACAAATTTGTATATATGAGGGAAAGGATAATAGAACTTATGCACAGCATTTCTTGATTGACAGAGATTTACCCAGAAAGCAAAAAAAAAAAAAAAAAAAAAAAAAATTACCATTGGTATTATTTCAAAGTCTACTTGCAATGGTTTTAGAGAAAAAAATCTACATTTTAACACACCTCCCCAGTTTTCTAAGCTGTAGAGATTGTTAAACCTCTGAGTTACAAAAGGTGAGATTCTCTTCAGGTCAAAGGTCCTGACCCTGGTTGCTAGAAGTGACTGGTGAGCATCCCTGAAGGTTGTATCCATCAAAAGCAGTCCTTTGTGCTCTCGGACTTTCTTGGCAAAAGCCTCTGGTCCTTCCTTAACCAGAATGTCCCTCCAGCCTTTGGGTGGAGCAGGGACTGTGTGATAAAAATAAACAACTTAAGTTATACACAGATACTAACACTCAATGATATTATGAATTACATACAAAATGGGAACATTCCATGTCAGCAAGCTTGCAGCAAGATAAATCTTCAAGCAACAAAATCATGATAGCGCATAAAAGCAAACCGATCAGCATAAATTTCTATCATTATACATTAATACTTTAATTGATTTGCAGCATATCTGACAAGACATATGACATGCTACATGTGTAGACAATAATGGCTAAATCTAAGACATTCAATCAATATACACTTTCAACAATACTAACCAAATTGGATATGTATGTATTAATATTTCAGTGCACTAGTATTTGTCAAAGTATTGTTAAAAGGAATGGAAATTCATTAAATACAGATTTTAAATATTTTTAATAGGTCCCCAGAAACAGTACATTTCACAAATTGGTGTAATAAATACAGGAAATGTGAAAATCGAGATAATATTAGAAGTACGGTAAATATGCATATGTACATGTTCACAGATTTAATATAAAGTATATAAAACATACATGAATGCAAGAATTTTTTTTCATATACCAGCATACTAGTGTCACATTGTGTGAATTGCACAAATCGTAAAATTATGTGTGTACATGCATATACATGAAACTGAATGTGTACTTTCAGTTTTTTTTCATCTTTTGAATAAATTTACAAAGCATCACTTTTTTGTTTGCTTGTTTGTTTTTAGTTTATTTTTTTTTTTAATTTTGTTTTTGTTTTGGTTGTGATCAGAACAAATTCTTTTCACAAAGATGTCTCAGAAAAATCAAGTATCCTGCGTAGATGGGAATTTCAGTATCTTGAAGATGGTCAACTCACAGATTTCAAATGGATGCATATGAATTAAATTAATCCAAAAAAAAAGAGTCCATGAAATGTACATAATGTAGATGTTCCAGATCGATGCATCGCATAATCCTCATGCACCTAGATAAAATAGCTGGCTAAAACCAAAGGACAGTGAAGAAATTCTGGTCAGAAAACTGGAAAAGAAACTTCAGTGCTATGCTTAATCTAAAGATTCAATCAATAAATAAATTAATGAAAGTATCTAATTCCTTACTAAGCCTAAGAACAGCCCCTAAAGCCTGGTATAAACAAATAAACAGTGGGATCCTGTTAAATATGGAAACAGCATACAGCATTTTCAGATTAATCAGTTATAGATTATTTATAGATTATGACTTTTCCCACTGTGGTGTCATACATTATGCTATAGAGTACAAGGGAGTACATAATAGAAAAATGATGGCTGCAATAAATGAAAAAATATCATTTCATGGCATTAATTGCTGCCTTGCAGTGAACAGCAGTGAAAATTCTTACCCCTAGAATGATTGTCCTCTGTTGGGAGCATAAAATGAAGACAGTTATTACAAATATTTGTTTCATTTCTCATTTAATCAACTATTGTATACTGGGTAATTTTCGCCCCTTTCACCTTCGAAGAGGGCAAATTTAAAATGGTGAATTCAAAATAAACAGCATTATCTCCTACATGCAACAGAGACTGGAAAAATTTAAAATGGGGCAAAAATGTTTACGAGTAAGAAAGGGTGAAAATAACATAACCCAGTATACAGTAATAACATGTACAAGAGAAACTTTATCAACTACATGTATTGAATCACTGCCCTGCAAAATTTCAATTACACTCTCTTAGCTGGAAGAACCACATATTTTTCTTGTTTAAGATACAAGTAGTGCATCTCTAAAAAGAAATTCCTTTTCTTTTAAATAAATTGTGACAAGAAACACTCAACAAAAGCCAAAATACAGACAACTGACATTGCAAAGTTGAAAAGTTCTTTAAAAACAACAGATCTGCAATATCATTTACTACGGTACTTCACATCTTAAAATAGACAACCTCTTACTTTAATCATTGCAAAATAACTAAAAATTTATTTATAGTCATAACTATTAAGGGAACTAATGTAAGAAACCTCCAATCAACCAATTTCATTTCATTTCAAATTAAGTATTCATGTACCAGCTAATTCTACAATGACTTAAATCTGACTACCGGTACTTGAAATTTTAAAAAAATGCAGTTTAATGATGGAATATTCAGTGGGGGTTTCTAACTATACCTCTACATAGCAATCATATATATGTAGTTTAGCTCTAACAGTCTTACCATAGGGTAACTGTGGAACAGTTGGTTCGACCTCTGAAGGCTGAAGGTCAGTGGCTAGGGGTGTCTGAGGGCCATTGACCATGACCTGAGCCAGATAATACAGCAGCTTCTGGGCCCTGTTCTGGGTGGGGAAGAATTTAAATAGCTGGGGGTTCTCGTCGATGAAGTATGTGTCCACCACTCCTGACAGGAACTGCTCGTGTTGGAGGACATTCAATAGAAACGGAATGTTGGTCTGCAGTAAGAAAGATTGAAGTTAGAAATTATTGAGTAATTATCACTAGAAATAAAAAAAATGTTTCCATTGTCATCTATAGTTCTGTTTAAACTTACTTGGATTTGAATTAGATTTTGTTTCTGACATCATACATGAAGTGAAAAGAACAGTCTGACCTTGAAATGTTAGCTACAGAAGATCTTTTAGATACATTTGACACCATTGCTGACCTTGACCCCTCTGATTCTAAACTCCTTGAGTGTCCTCAACATCTTAGCAGCAGCAGATGGGTGGTCTCTGGCCTTAGCAATGACCTTGACCAGCAAAGAATCATAGTAAGGTGAGATGATGGCCCCTGCAAATCCTAGGGCACTGTCCAATCTGATTCCCATACCTTCCCCGCTTCTGAACACCTGACATGAAAAAAAAAATCATCTAATTCTGCTTTCATCTTGTACACAAGATTCACATGATCACAGTGTAACTTCATACACATTTTCAAAATGTTATAGGTTAGATGCTGTAAAATAAAATGTAGCAAAGTACAAATTTGTACTTTTTATGAAATATTTCACAATTCAAGCTTGCATCACCTTTTAAAAGGTGTATTAAAAAGTCAGAATCTGTGCATTTTCAATAAAATTCATACTGCCTGGTTTTTAGCAATGTTTAACCAGTGTACCTCGATTCGACCAGTGTCCGGCTGGAAGCCTCGGGCTGGGTCCTCAGTGGTCATTCTACACTGGATGGCACAGCCATGTAATTCTATATCTTCCTGACTGAGTCCCATCTCAGGTAGCAGCCTTCCCTCTGCTATCTTAATCTGACTCTGTACCAGATCTATCCTACAGTATGCAGAACAAGGATTTGTGAATAAATTTATACTAAGTTTAAGCAGTCCAGCATATCCTAAATTTTGATAAAATTTTGGAACTTAAAATTTATACAAAAATGATATTAATTTAAGAGATTTCATATTATATATGGAAGACTTCTAAAAATTTATACAACATGCATTTGAAATATTCTGAACCCCCTAAAAACAATGATTGTGCCACCTACCCAGTAACCTCCTCTGTGACAGTGTGTTCCACTTGTAGACGAGCATTAACCTCTATGAAGTAGTATTGTCCTGATGGGTCCAGAAGGAATTCCACAGTCCCTGCATTTTCATAGCCCACACACTGCGCTAGTTTGACGGCATCTGCAGTCATTTTGTCCCTAATGTCAAGTGGCAGTTTGGGGGCAGGGGCAATCTCCACCACTTTTTGGTGGCGCCTCTGTACTGAGCAGTCCCTTTCATAAAGATGCACCACATTTCCACCTCTGTCACCTATAAAAGGAACACTTGTGAAAGTTCAAGATGGTAGTTCACAGGAAATTATCTTTAATTATGCAAAACTTCATAAAATACGAAAAAACTCTCTTATCTTATAAATCCTTTGCATTTTCTTTATACTGTATATCACTTTTTATTTGCGAGAACTTTATTTAATTTGCATAATTATGTGACACCGTGTTCTCCCATAAACCCATTTTCGCATATACCGGTATTTGTATTATCAAGGATTATATACAACAATAACCACAATTTGTGACAATTTTTTTTCTCCCATATAAAAACCAAATAACAATCGCATGAAAATATAGGGTCTCTGAAATAAAGATAATCTACAGTGTGCCTTCCACGGTAGAAAAGAAAGTATTACAGTATACATGAATTTTACCCAGAATCTGTACTTCTATATGCCTAGGTCTTTCTATGAACTTCTCCAGGAAAAGGGCACCATTTCCAAATGCTGCCTCTGCCTCTGATGTAGCTCTTCTGAAATTTTCATCTACCTCCTGGGTGGGAAAAATAAATTAAGCATGTATTTTCTTGCTCATAAGAAAATTTTCTTCAATAAACAGTATATTTTACCCATTCAATTATTAGAGTATAATATAAATCTAGGAAAAAAAGTCAAACCTTGATATCTCTAAAATGACAAGACTGTTTAAAAAAAAAACTTTGAAATATCTGTGCATCCCAGATAGGAAAGTTGAAACTAGAATTCAATATGAAATAAGGACTGTCGATTCAATTCGGCTCATCCTTGACATCAGACGTTTTAAAGCTTGAGATACTACATAAGCGGTTCTCCTCACACAGCTTGTAGACTTTGCATAACATACCTCCATAGACCTAACAATCCTCATGCCTCTTCCTCCTCCTCCGTATGCTGCTTTAAATATGACTGGCAGTCCATACTGCTCACAGAAATATCTCGCTTCCTCGATACTGCTGACAGGACCATCAGTACCTGGCACGACCTGCACACCTACAAACAGACAGGATCGAGATTACTAAGGAATATCTTGGTAGTATGACTGGAATTTCTGATTTTATTTTAATTACATGCATTTCTTTATTTATTTCCTTCCTGAAAAGGCATACTTTTTCTTCCTTAAAGTCCATGCTAAATTGCAGAAATACAATATTGGTAGAGCAATTATGATCATTTCTACTTTTTACAGAGTGAACATTTCAAGGATGATTGCTTATAAGGAGGGGGGGGGGGGGGAGGGGGACTGTACACAGTGTTCATATTCAAGAATTCAGCTATGATTTCATCGAATCTGAAATCTAAAAGAAAAGGTTAATGTATAATACCGGTAATATAAAATAACAAACACGCAGTAATATAAATGTTACCTGCTGCAATGGCTGCTTGTCTTGCTTCCACTTTGTCTCCCATTTTTCTCACAACCTCAGGAGAGGGACCAATGAATTTTATCCCTGCATCTATCACCTGCTGAGCAAAGTCATCTCTCTCAGAGAGAAACCCATAACCAGGGTGTATGGCATCCACACCATTTTCCTTCAAAAGAAAATCGGGTAGAAACTGACTTTTGCTAAACTGTGTATTTAAGAGTTACCTCCCTTCATATCACATTTTATAGATAACTAACAATTCAAACAACTTTAAGTCTAATTTACACATAATTCAATCCCCAAATTCTATCTAAAAATAAATTCTAAAGCAAAAACAATCAAAACAGAACATGGCTACCTTCGCAACATGAATGATTTCCGGAATATTCAGATAAGCAGCTACTGGAGGTAAACCTTTCCCAATGAGGTATGATTCGTCTGCCTTCTGACGATGCATGTGCATCATGTCTTGTTCAGAGTAGATTGCCACAGTAGTTATATTCATTTCTGTACATGCTCTGAATACTCTTATGGCAATTTCACCTAAAAGGCAGCATTAATAAATCACATTTTTCTCAACAGAATCAAATCCTAAACTCTTTTTTATCATTAACTTTACGATTTCTATTATAAAGATTCTCAAAAAAATAAAACATTTACCTCTGTTGGCCACCATGAGTTTTCGAATTTTTTCATCAGGTTTGGTTTGGGACTGAGCTTGTGTAGAGCTGCAAGCGATCCCCGGGGGTAGTTTGAAGCCATAATGATTGTGTCCCCTGGCAACGTCTGGTAGCTGTGTTCTGGCAGACTGGCACAGGGAAGACAGTCGAGCTTGCAACCGGAACATTTTATCACTGTGGTCCTCCTAACTTATATCTAGTCTGGATACCCTCTGTAAGGAAAGATATAACTGGTGAAGGCTGGGTATTGATTTTTCTCTCCATTTTGTTATCTTATAGACTGTTTATTACTTAGGGGTCATTGAAAATCAAGGTCACAGCCTTGAAATGATGTTTTCCTCAACAATCTTCAAATCCCTTGGTAAGCAATATAAAACATTACTTGTCTGTGTTTAAACAAAAAAAAATCACCAAAATAAAACACTGTCTACTGCTCTCCTTGAAAATATTTAAAGTTTAAAAAAAAGTTTTCTTCAGTCCAAAGCACAGTGATGTGCATGCATGGCAGTAAGAAAACTTGTATTACCAAGGAATAAATAAGAAGACCAAGGAATTAAACAATCCAAAGGGAGATTAAATCATCTGCAAACATGTGCAATGAGTGTCTACAATGATGCACATACCTTTTATAAACTAAAGGACTCCTGTGTTTGAGGTTTTCCAATAATCCCAAATAGTCAATATATTAAAAGTTGTGCACTACACACACAAGCTACAAACAGAAGGAAGTTTTATGACAAAACCCTGTGAGTACACCAAATATTACATTTCCACTTAAAATGACAACAAATGTACAGGAAGATACACTGTAACACAACACAGATTAAGAATTAATACCTTGTACTGAGTCAAGGAAACTGTGTGACCAACTTTTTGGAAACCGGAATGAAATCTACTTTAAATTCTATAGCTTTTTTAAAGCTTGCTATTAAAAGTACAAACGCATGTCTCTTCACATGATGCAGGCATCATTTAACACAGAAACTGAAGTTATATAAAACTTTAAATTGCATGTGTATCCTACCTGATTATATGCTAATCAATTTTCTCCCTCTAAGTGTATGGCCATGAAGAATAAATTTTATGCCAATACCTAAAAGCACTAGCTGCCAATGGATCAAAAATTAGCGATAGAACTACTGCATCAGCATACTGCTCAAAACTCTTTCAATGGCAAACAGGATTGAGTTAGGATCAGATAAATATTATGTTCACTGCCACACTAGGTCATATTCTCTCTAACTACGCACATGTTCAAGATTGTAAACAAGCACATTTTTTTATTGTGTGTGTGACCTATTATTGTGTGTGTTTGTGTTTACAGTTACTTATATTGCAAAGAATAACCTTCTGGTGTCACATGTGCTTAACCACACATTATCATTATCAATGGCTGTAAACATGTTTAAAAATAACTTGTTTTTTTTTTTTTAATTTAATTAAGTACTTAAGTCTCTGTAAGGATATAAGAAAAACATATTTTGTTGGGTTTTTTTTTTTTTTTTTTTTTTTTAGATTTTCAAGGATAAATTATTAGCATTGCATATCTGTACATTATTTTTTTTTTACATGCAGTAATGATTATTTTTAAATTATAATAAAATCATAGAATTAAGTATTCTGTACTTCTATGGCTTTCAATACATGAGACATCAGTGTTTTAATCATGCATTGATCATGTTCAACAGAAACCTTTGGACCCCTTGAACATGTAAACAGAATACATACCAATGTTGTATGTTAAATATTTTGCATATTTAAATATATTTCAATTTTACAAAAAACATATGTATATGGTTTTGTACATGTATGTATTCATTCTGATTTACAATTTTATCTAACAAAATATCATTTCATCAGTAAATTGCATATTTCTGTCAAAATAATTTAATAAAGGTTGGAGCAAATTAAATGTACAAGGTTACTAGCTTATTTACTACACTGTAATAGGCTTTTCTTATACTTTGGATATACATTTAGTAACACCATGTACTATTACTAGTGTTGGGAATCGGTAAGAATTTCAGAATCAATGAGCGGGTTACTGTAACTAACTAATTATCAATTATAATTGAACATTTACAAAGTCTATCAATTTAGTTAATTAAATGGTAAGAATTGGTAAATGACTATACTTTCTGCATATGTATTTGTTGTTCATTTTGCTGAAAAAGAATGAATCTGAGTGTTTTATTGAGTGTGTATCTGTTTTCTTAAATTTTTGTTCATACACTGTACAGATATAAACTATTTTTTCTACTATGGACAGTTCAACAGCTGGTCATTATTTTGTAGAACCCAAAGTACGTCCATACCTGGGAACGTGCTTTGTTACCCAGGTATGGATACAATTGTTTGTTCGTCTGCTCCATTACCTTACAATACACAAATGAGTTAATAGATAAGTTGCGGCTGGAATATTCGGCTTAAAAACTACTACGCTTGTAAAATAAAAAAATAAACAGATTAATCAGAATGAATTTTTTTAATCAAGCACTTGGATTACACCAGCAATTGACTGATTTTCGATTATAATCGAGACTGGAATACCCCTATAATACACACTAAATTCTAACAAATAAGCTCAGTAAATCAACTAAAATTTCTTATTTGATTCTGTTGATGTAAATCATCTGATTGACTCATTAATAATTACAAAAAATTAGTTATTTTATAATACTTTGATATACATTGTATACATATACCCTGGTATATATTTTTCTTTTATTAATATTACGATAAGTAATTTCCAGTGTGTCCAGAAAAGAATTTAAAGCAATATGAGCTGGAACTTTGAAGTGGCAAAATTGTAAATAACAATTTCAATGACAGAAAAAAGAACATTTATAAACTTCTGTTGTTCTTATTTGTGATGGAAGAACTATTTAGAGACTTTGATTGAAGCAAAATTACATTATTGTCGTCCTGTACAATATTGATTTCTTATATAATACTATACATTCCATTGTACAAAAACCTTTCTTCTGAAAAAAATTAATACTTTCTTTAGTCTAATTGATCATAAAGGTTTAAATTAAATACATATTTATCAAAACAGCACATTTTAACAGCAAAATAAAATTCTCAAAAATGCAGCTCATATTGCTTTAAAGTATTTGAGCATAACAGTTGTAATGTTCGGCTGTGTTGTATGTACATGTAATTAAGGTACTAACACATTTCACGATTTGAATACAGTTCTACAAGCAGTATATTATTATTATTCATATTCATAATGTTATTATAACATTTTTGCAGCTAATATAAATTGTAACTGGACACACCACTATTAAAAACTAGCATCTGTACCTTTTTACATTGTTTAAGCAGGACAACTTCAAAATTATATGGTCAAAATTAAATTATGTACTTTTCCCCATTAATTCCTGGACAAATTCAATGAAATCTATTCCTAAATTTCTAAAGAAATCATGCAAAAGACAGAAGGACAACAAGGTTGATAATATTAAATACTGCTTCATTTCTGCTTACAACCCAATGTATTTGTTTAATAACCTATTAAATGTGTTATGATTTTGAAATGTAAATTTTTATTCATTCTACTTTCTATACATATCAAGGCTTTTCAGTCAATCAAAGATTTTAATTTACTTGGATTTTCACTTCAGCAAAAACTTGCACATTTAATTGTCAGACTGACAATACCTGGTAGCATTGTTCTGAAAAGGATCTCTAAAGTTACATTTATTATATACAAATATGGTCAGCTGTGATCAAACCTGTTCAATGTTCACCTATATACAATTTGTAACAATATACATGTAATCCTATTTTATTTTTATATGCACAAAATCAAACTAGAAATATATATGTCCATAGGACATGAATGCCCCGCCGAGGGTATATTAGTATTGCAACATTAAAATTTGTATTAGTGTTTGAAATTTGATGAGAATATCTTGAATAGTTTCTTTAAAATTGAAGTCTACAAAGTTGGATATAGATGATAAATTCTCACCAAATTATGTATAAGTGCGTAAGCTTACATAAATATATCTTAAATGGTTTCTTTAAAACTAAGCAAAATGCAAATTTATGAAAAGTGAGGTCAAGGTCACAGGAAAGTTCAAGGTCAAACATTTTTGATGCAGTTGAACAGTTCTCACATATATATGTATCAGCATATTTAGTTTGATAAAAATATTTTGAATAGTTTACTTAAAACTGAGCTAAACACTAATTTAAAATAAAGGTCAAAGGAAAGGTCTAGGTCAAAAAATGTTGATGCAGTTGAATAGCTCTCATCAGTATGTATCAGCATATGAAGTTTGATAATACTGTCCTGAATGGTTTCTTAAAAACTGAGCTTAACACTAATTTAAGAAAAGTGAGGTCAAGGTCAAAGGAAAGGTCAAGGTCAAAAAATGTTGATGCAGTTGAATAGATCTCATCAGTATGTATCAGCATATGAAGTTTGATAAAAATATCTTGAATAGTTTCTTTAAAACTGAGCTAAACACTAATTTAAGAAAAGTGAGGTCAAGGTCAAAGGAAAGGTCAAGATCAAAATGTTGATGCAGTTGAATAGCTCTCATAAGTATGTATCAGCATATGTAGTTTGATTACACTATCTTGAATGGTGTCTATAAAACTGAGCTAAACACAAATTCAGGAAAAGTGAGGTCAAGTTCAGAGGAAAGGTCAAGATAAAAAAAAATGTTGATGCAGTTGCATAGCTCTTATCAATATCTATCAGCATATGAAGTTTGATGAAAATATCTTGGATAGTTTCTTTGAAAATGAGCTTTGAACTGAGCTTAAAGCAAAGGAGGAAAGATGGGAAGATGGACATGACAAACACTATATGTCCCAGCCATATTCATGGTGGGCATAAAAATTGGGCAGAGGAGTAGGGATGCAAATAATTTCTGATCTCTTCTCATTCTGTCTATCTATAACTATAACCATGCTCACTGCATAAAAAAAAACATTAGGAAAACTTCCTTTTTTTGGCCCCAAATTAAGTTGCATTTGGATATGGTCAAAGTGACAGGGTTTGGAAATAAAAAAAATCTTGTTGAGTGCATAATGTTGTAATTCAGAAATTTATTTCATACTGGGCACATTTTGCAGAGAGGAGGTGCCATATGATCTTGACTGATGGCGACAGACGGTGACTTTTTAAGAAAATTTTAAACAAAGAAATATTAGCTCATACTTGCCATAAGGCTATGTTATCTTTAGAAAATGCATCACAACTCTGAACTAACATTATCTGAACAATGTCAAGATTATTTTTTTACTCATTACAAACGGAGCCACTTTGAGCATTGCTGGTTTTCACACACACACACAACTGTAACAAATACATATTGTTTATCATTTTATCAGTACCATGACAACTAAAAATTAATGAGACATCCCTTTCTTTCCTAAGAATTTTTAAACCTCTATCCCAAATACTTCTATTTATCCATTTTGCCAATTTATATATTAAAAAAAAGTTAAATTATGCAATTCATAATTTATGCAGAATTTTACAAAAATGGCTTAGAACTCATATCATTAATATGTTTAAGTGATTAATATGAGACTACTATTTTTCGTAAATTAAAGCTGTAGTTTAAACATTTTACCAATGTCTCTTTTAGGTACGAAGCGGTAATTAGACTCTCCAAGTGCACTTGATTATCACGCTGGATTTGCATGCATGGAATACTTTTAGCTAAAATTAACTAGCTTTATTTTAAATAAAGATTTATGTTTTCATTTTCAAAATATCAATTAAGAAAGGACACTTATTGCTATGCAAAGTCAAATAAATTATGCAAAAGAGGATTTTTTTTTAGTTTACCTCTTACGTGTGCGTCTGCAGATTATACAACCGGAAATTGATTGATGAAACTAGAATCGGAAATACGAGCTCACCAATACGGAGCTTATCGGAGTTCTCTCAGTCTTAGTCTGTGCGTTAATTGTCTGATTGCTGACTTTATACAACAACATGATTTCTTTTTCTTTGTGAAAGATCATAGTTGCTATTTTTTTTATTGTGTTGTAGTAAGTTTTTAACCTGATTTCGCCAGAATTGCCTCTGGTGTTGTTTATTACCAAGCCGCAAACGCTGTGTTCATTTAGGTACATAAC